TCTCCAGCCCTGGTCCTAGAGAGAACTCCTGTCTCTAAATCTTACTACTTCTAAATAGTCTCTAAATTTCTTAATTTAACAGGTCATCTGTTTAATTGACCATAATGCAATTGTTCTTTATCTTTAGAAACTGGGAATTTATAGGGAGCTGCAACACTATTTTTATTTTTAGAAAGAATCGGCATTGATGAGTGCATTTCAAACCACAATGAAAGTAAAATGTACATGGGAACATGTAAAACCTCTAATGTACATCCCAAAGTGACAAAACTTCCAATTCTGCACAGTGCCATATTCTATGATCCAGAATGAGGCAACAAAAGTTCCAGTGATGTGAAGCGGCCTTATGACACCGTAAACAAAAAAGGCTTGTAAATACATCTCTTTTAACCCAACAGAAATATTGCTTTAAAGATCACATCGGAACATTTCTGCAGTGAGTACTTATTTGCTCCTACATTGCAGTACATTAGTTATTACAGTAACTAGTGAGCAGGAAGGGCGGCTTCACGTCACTGTTTGCGCAAACTCTCACTCACCTGTGGCGAGACCAGTGGTGCTCGATGACATGGTGACCATACAGTACTTTGACAATGTTTAGAATTTTGTGTTTAATTTGGAATTTGTAAAATTTAGCGATACCATCAATACATTTATTTTGTTACCGAGATTTAATAACCAGTCTGAGAAATTGGGACTGCAGTTCCCCTTTAATGGTGATCTACAAAACCTGCCAGACCAGATTGGGAGATCCCCTCTTTCACTAGACTGCTAGGTGAGATCAAGGTAATATCCTGTTTAGAAGAGTAGTTGAAGTGAATTCATTTTACCCTTCTGAATTATGGGATACCATAATTTATGTTTACTACTGAACGGGAACTAGGATGGATTTTTTTGTTATTGTGTTGGTGATGCAGGTAGAACATTTAAGTCACTTTTGCCTAGATGATGCTACTTAAAAATAACAGAATTAGAGAGTAGAGAGTTGCTTCCTATTGGGCTGCATGTACAGTTATATCATTTGTTTTAAACTAATAGGAACATCTGTGCTGTGGTTGTTGTTTTATCTTATCATCACATTAAGCATGATTCTACATAACTTACCAACTATCAGATTACCATTTTGATCTTTTTGAGCAAAGCACTTTTACCGTTTGTTATGAAGAGAACTTAAACTCTGTATATAGTTTGTAAAATTATGGTAAATGCAGATAATATATAAGACAGTAATACATTCCAGGTCTGTAACAATTATGATTAAAAGCTTATTTAATGCATGATTATATAAATTATGCTTACCTTATGAAAAATGTCTCATTTCAATCTTTTGAAGTACTAGCATAGATTAATCCTTTTCATAGTTTTACTCACCTTTTATTTTCTAAGCTAAAACTCAGTTATTTCAATGAAATGAATGCATTTTTAAACAGATAAGGCTGTGCATAGGTTTAAAATTTCTATGTTGGGTAATGGTATTATATGAATTCAGGAAAGCATTTGTGCATTTCATACTGTGAGTTCCATACTGTTGAGAATGATCACTGTTATTTTTATGTTTCCATATTACTGACTTTCATATCATCTCCTAGAGTGCCACAGTACTGCAGATTTAGGTACCTTTAAATCACCACTTGCTCAAAACCCTGTTGACCATTCCAGTCCTGTGAAAAACTGGTCATTGTGCAACATGGTTCATGAGAAATGAAAACAAGAGCAATCCATGGGTTTATAGCTGCACTTTAAGGGTAAAAATGTACATAAAGTATCCCGAGTGGAAAATGTTTTTATGTACTGTATACCACTCCACCTCATTAAATTGTGTTCCTAAGAGCTGGTACTGTAGGTCCACCCCCTGTGGCAAATACAGCAGCAATACACTGGTTTCACTACATGGTCACAGATGTCAGAGCAGAAAAAGAACCACTCACTGGGTTTCCTGACAAGACTCGAGTCCCTTTGGTTCAGTAGCTTCTTGAAACCCAAGTTGTGCTTGCCTTTTTTCCCCTCAACCACTCACTGGCTGTAAACTGTTGCGGCTGTCTGAATTGACAAAGCAACCAGGTCTGCTGTTGCCTTCAGCATCATACCTCTTTCTCAAAACACAACACAATGAGGAAAAAAGGATGCTCAAGTACCAATTGACCTTGTCAGGAATCATGTGACCCATCAATCGACTTGGGTCATTCCCATTTCCTTGGGCACTTCCATTGCTTAATTCCTTTGGAATATACTGGTATCATATTCCCATAGGACAATAAATACATGTATATGTTACTTAAATAACAAGTTAACCATCTTAACCAGTTAATTTATACATTTACCAGTTATAAACGTAGAACAGTTAGTAATATTAGACGTGAAATTATAACTTAACCAGATAATCCACAAATTTACAAATTTTAATTCTTTCAAATTAACTTTAACATATATACACATAGGAACACGTAATAGGTTTATTCCATGCTGAAAAGAGAAGAAAGAAAACACAACGTTTCAGCTGTGGAACCTTCTTCGGGTGTCCACAGACGAAACGTTGCATTTTCTTTCTTCTCTTTTCAGCATGAAATAAACCTATTACTTGTTCCTTTGCAGCCTACGCATGCTGACGCATCTACCCACCGGAACTATATATACACATATACATGAAGTTAAATAAGTATATAAACACATTATAGCATACATGCCCCTTTTTTCTTTGGTAGCAATACAAATAAACTTTTTAAAGTCTTCTGCTTCCAAAGCTTTAGCACAGCCCAGCAGTCCTTAAACAGTCGCTCTTAGAATGTGTATAATTTCTACAAGTGCATTTAATGAGTAACTTGAGAGAGAGCACTCACATACTGGACAGTTTTAAGAAATATGTTTGGATGGAAATTAATTTTTGCTTTGCGATGTATTTTTTTTCCCCCAAAATAAAATACTCACATTCTGGTAAAAGATGTTATATTGCTGCACGAGCTATTTTTCTCTTCCTAAAGACACTGGAAGAAAAGACCAGCACAAGCCTCCCACTTTGTTTAATGGCTTGGTTGATACCAAATACAGCACAAACACATGCAACTTGTGTTCTACTCAGGACAGACATTAGTGTTGCTAAGATTCACATAATATCAGTGCATCTGGTCCGCAACCAATAAACAATCTTAGCAGATTTGTCAAAAAATACAGTTTTCTTTGATGACATTCAGGAAATTCTGTAAGAGGAATTGGTGGATCAGCACCATTCCTAAAGTATCTAGACATGGTTGTCAAAACACATTCAACTGTTCAGTGACCTTGAAACTGTAGCAATACATTCAATATCCTGGTCCCAGAGATGTACCTGAGAATTCTGTACTTGCTGTGAACACCGAGCAGCCTTCTGCACCCATGTGAACATTTCTAAACTTACTTTAGAGTTTTTCTATAAATTACTTCTCATTAAGTAATAACTTTGGGGAGACTTTACTAGTTGAACAAACTAGACATATTCTCTTACTCTGATTCCTGAGCCCGTTATTCATTCTCCCTCATTGAATAAATTAAGAAAAATAAAACCATTAAAAGCCAAATGCTTCCTAGGGGCTGTGGTAACAAATGTGACAAGGTCTTGGGCGCAGTGTTTTGACACAATGCTGACTAATCCTGAATAACAGAACTGTGCGTTATAACAGGTACTGTATTTCCATGTTGAGAACGGGTGCCACAGGCCTTGAATTTTTGGACGGTTAAAAACCTACAATGTGTGCACTGATTATGAAGTGTAGCCCAGAGATGCTGTTTTTCATTATCAGCGTCTGTTGGGTTAGAAGAAAACCTGCTGGCAGTGAAGTCACCAGGAGTTCGGAGACCTCCTCTTCAGCAGACGCCCCACAGGGCTGCTGTGGACAAGTGATGTAAGTCGGCGCAGTGGTTCGGTGATCTTGGAACGCTGCCCTAACGGCGGCTCTTCCTCGTCATTGGGGGGGGAAAAAAAAAGCCCAAAAGACAAAAACGGAGGAAGAAGAAAAATGCTAAATTCAATTACAAACAACCCCAAAAAACCCAAGCAGGTATTTTCTTTTAGACGTATATCAATAAATAACATACAAAATCTTAAAATAAATATCCTGCTGGACAGTTCTCCGTGAAGTCCTTAATGCTCCGAGTCTTCTCTTGGCCACCCCAGCTCTTCGCCCTCCCCCCCGCCCTCCTCCTCCTCGTCTCCGAAGGTCTGCTCCTGCATGCAGGAGAACGCGTGAGACCTGGCCGCCACCTGGGCAGCCAAGGCCGAGCTGAAGCTTACGGCCGAAGAGCCGTGCAGTCCCGCCAGCCTCTCCTTCACCGTGGCAGGCGGCGGCTTCCCCGCCGGAGAGCCAGGGCCGTCAGCTGCCTCCGTGACGCCGCCCCCCCCCTCCGAGCTGTCGTACTCGAGGCACGGGGCTTCCCCGGCACTGGCAGGGGCCCGCTGCTCTTGTGCCGGGCCGTGCCGGGTCTCTTCCCGCTCCGCCCGCCCACAGCAGTACTCCGTCTCCGTGTCTAAGGGGCTGGGGGCCGACTGTCTCTCGTGTCCTCCTGCAGCCACGTGATTATCCTGGCCGCTCTCTCGCTCGTGTGAGTCCGTGTCCAGAGGGGGGGCCGAGATACCGTCGAGGTCTGAGCTCCCCACAGGAACCACAGGCTTCAAGACCGCTGAAAGACAAGCGCCAGGAAACTTGCCAACACCACAGTCGTATTCCTGACCCTCAAGCACGCCTCTTCTAATGCCATTAGGCTGCAAGCTGTGCACAGGCCTGCAGGGCTCAAACGCGGGCTAGCACTGCTCCAGTCTGCTCCATGATGCAGGCTGCCAGCAGATATGTTTGCTACATAAACTGGGAAGAAAGCTGGCATGTTCAGCCATGTCTACAGTTATGAAAAGTCATCTACATGGCGGCATATGGCCTCCGGTCGCTGTGTAATCCTTCTTGAAGGAACGAGTAGTGTACACGGTAGTGATGATCTAGTATAACAATACAACAACTGCCTGTTTGTTACATTTTCCATTTTAAACATATTTCCTAAAACTAAAGGACACATAGAATTCAATACAATTATCCCAGTATGTGTGAAAATTAAGGTGGTGAGCATTTAGAACTGAAAAGCATATAGGCCATTTCTTTCCACAAAGGGTTGTGAGTGTCTGAGATAAGTTTCCACTACAACACTGAAACAGAGTCCCTTGAATGGTAAAGAAAAACTTGGGCCAGATCCTGATGTCAACTATTAGCAAACCAATAAGTGAGATGGGCTAAACACCTAACTGGGGTAAAACCCCTCATTTCCTCCACAGAAAACCTAATTTTGTCTGATATTTCCAATTACTCTGCCTTGGTGCTCCTGAGGGACAGATGTCTACAGTGGGGATTATTCTTACATGCACATAATGAAATAGACTACAATCTGAAAACAAAACAATGACCAAACAGAAGTATGTTTGTGAGGAACATATATGAACTCCACACTGCTCTCTGCATATTATAGCTCTCCGCAGTGCAGAAAAACACACAGAACTGCTTCTTAATTAAAAGATCCGAATGCTGTGAATTTAAATTACATGTACAGCATTTGTTTACTTGCTTTCAACAGTTTCTTTACAATCCCTGTTGTTCTTGGATGAGTCATTGAAAATGAGCACACTGACAGTGGTAGTGCCTTCTTTTCTGTCAGTTATACATAAAACATAGCATTAAAGATTAAACACTTTCCACTCTCTGTATCATTTCAGAGACATTTAATTATTCTCCCTCAGCTAAACCCTCAATTCTAAATTAGCTCCATTAAGAAGTATTCACAGACTACCATTAAGGTTGGATTTATAGTTAGAACTTTCACATGATCCTGCATCACCACAGTCCTTACAGCTGGAGGTGGTGAGTATAAAATATATTTAAAAAAAAACTAAGATGCCATACAAAGTGGGGAATAGTTTTTGTAGACTTCATTTTTGTTCTTTCACAGATTACTTCATTAGTAAAGGCACCCAATTCTAAGCAAAAAACTTCTACGTAGTTGAAGTTCCTGCAGTATTCCACTAACCTTGGTCGCTGAACAGCAGCTGTTTCCATTTCTGCCTCTCAGCCTCTGACGCTCGCAGCCCCAGCACAGATTTGAGCTCCTGCAAGACCCTCCTGGACTCCTCGCGCTCCTTCTTCTGCCTTTCCCTCTCCTCTGGAGACAGGAAGTCAAACAGGCTGCCGTGGTGCTCTCCGTCAGAGTCGGAATCCTCCACATAGGCTTCGAGTTCCTGACACGACAGAGCACAGATGTCACTCATAAACCAGGTGAATAAAGGCACAGCGCACAGGGTGTTATCTCAAAGGAGCTCCCGATCTAGAGAGAAGCCTTCTGAGGAAGAGAACACTTCTACAGGCTCTGGATTCAGCCTGGACTCATTGCCTGCATGTCCTCAATTGAAATGTTCCACCAACAAAATCGCTTCCCACTGTTACTGCTGAGAAAGCCGGTTGTCTGAGAAACAGGCCACGCAGTTAAAGCTATGAGTTTAACTGAAAAGTGTCAAAGACAGCAACTGCCAGTCCAAAAGTGGGTTTAACTTCAAGCACAGAATGAAACGTATAAATATGTTAAAAATGGGAACAAATTAATTCCCATCTCTTGACCTGCCTATAATTAAGAAAGGAACAAGTAATAGGTTTATTCCATGCTGAAAAAAAGAAGAAAGAGAACACAACGTTTCGGCCGTGGAGCCTTCTTCAGGTGTGTTCTCTTTCTTCTTTTTTTCAGCATGGAATAAACCTATTACTTGTTCCTTTGCAGCCTACGCATGCTGACGCAGCTACCCACCTGAACTACTATAATTAAGAAATACCTTTATAATTTTTCTTTAAGATAGATGAAGCATAGACAGAGGTAATTGTTTCATAAAACACATTTTCATTCAGCTATACAGAACAACGTGGAACAATGCTTTATAGTGCCTTGAGCTCATGAAGTAATAAAACCAATATTCTGAGAAACAGGTGCCACCAAAATCCCAAGTATGCTTATGATCCGAAACCTCACGGAGGCAGCAGGTAAAAGCATGGTTCCCTAACTGCACAGTGTGTGTGGCAAGCAAGTGGACAGTGGCCTGTGACGGACTGGAGGGGAGAGACATACAGTACCTGCTCCTCTGGGACAGGGTCCCTGTCCTCTATCTGCGCAACAGGCTGGGCCGCAGGAACGATCGGCGAAACCTGGCTCTTCTCAGGAGATTCGTTCTTTTCTGCAGCAAAAATGATGTTTTAGGTTAGCTCAAATTTTTACTTTACAATTTCGACAGCAATGGTTCTTAAATGTAAAATGTACTTTTCCTAAACAGAAAACGTCCCTCCAGTGGGCTTCATCAAACAACCCCCTCTCTGGACCTGCCTATAATTCAGAAATACCTTTATATTTTTTCTTTAAGATAGATGACGAATAGACAGATGCAAATTGAGCAATGGCATTAATGCCATATGGGTTCCTGAAGAAAAGTGAAAACATACGGATGAACTAATATTAGTAACACTCAATGCTTTATGCTACAACAGGCCTAGATTTCAAGCAAAGACCCTAGAGGGATGAGCCTGCATCTGCAGCATATAGCCGGCCATAGCCCTGCAGAAATAAGATTCAGAAATAATTAAATACCGGTTATTTCAGGCACTTCTCTTGACTGGTTGTTCTCCCATCTCTCACTACTCCTTTCAGGATTTGTAGTGTGGTTTCTTTTCTGCTTACACTCTCTTTTGGTGTTGCCCAAGGGCCTGTACTAGTTCCCTTCTTTTTCCTTTCTATACTTGCCATCTGTTTTTCTTAGTTTCTCACATGGCTTCTCTTAATACTTCTATGCTGAAGATCTAGATATCTGTTTCCTTCTCAACTCTGAACTTTGAAACATCTGTGTCCCCATCTATCTGCAAACACTGACCTTTAAGTTTAAATAAGAGAATATTTTTAAATATTAAGCAGATGCTTAAATAATAACCTCCGATTTAATCGTACGTTATTAGTACAAGTCTCCAATGTTATATTTTTAAATAAAAAGTTACAGAGGTGGCAATTTAGCATTTTGCCTACTATACTAGTACTTACAGTTTACAGGACTTATCATAAATTACAGGCTTTACTTTAAATGGCAGATATGCCTCCATCACAGTTACAGGTCTTACTCAGGCATAACCAGCACTGAGACCTCTGAGATCAACAGGCTCAGATTGCCATTCAACACAACTATGCATGTCACACTAATTTAAAATCTGGACAAAGTGTTCATGCCATCTACAGAGTGCTGATAATGACAGAGTCACCTAGACTGAATTTATCGGGATTAGCAGAAACAACACTGGGAAAAAAGACCCTGGAAAAAAGGAACACTCAACTCAAGCAAGAAGGATTATAAATCATATATTCAACTGCTGCTCATGACAATTATATCACCGAATAAAATCATGTGGGGCGTCTAGAGCACCTGCATACACAGAAACATGTTATTTAAAATTCCCATTCAAAGAAGCCGCTGCCAAATGTCAGCAGAATGCCTTGTGAAACCATGACCCACTCACCATTTCAAAGGGGCCCCAATACATTAGCTTATCTCTCCCCGACTGGTAAGGAAGAATTTTACAATGCACCAAGGGGTGAGTCACTGCTGCATTGTTCTGTAGACTTAAAGACGCATTCACATAACAAAACTAATACAAAAGGGACTGCGTAATTCTGCTGTCTAATAGACAATTCAGTGAACTTTAAGCACAGGATTCCTGCGGATAACCCATTGAACGCACAGAAGGGTTTAGAAGCGTGACTTCACTGTTTGTTACTTGCAAAGACTGCACATACTTTCTAAGATATATGGCTTCCTATTACTCTGCCAGTCTGAAAGTCATTTTTCATGTTTAGCAGAAGGTAAACACGGGACTGAATGTTGTAGATGTAAAACCACACCCTCTGTAGGGCTAAAAAGGCAAATAAAAAAGCACATCTTTAACCTTAAACCACAAAGGTATCTAAGTAAATAACTATTAAATCTTACGATCACTTGAATAAGAATCCTGTCACCACTATATACTTTATTTCAACATAACCTTTTAGAACTTGTCTTTCTACACAGAATGTTCTCATCAGAAGCAGTCTAGGGGGCCAGTCTAAATGTGACACCCAGTTCAAATCGCATTTCAATTGAAAGGTTCAGTGACTTTGCTGTACTGTACTGATGCATGACCAAGTTTTTTTTTTTCTGTAGCAGGTTTAAAACAATCTGACATGTACTGACAGAGAAGAGGAACATTAGGTCTACAAATGTGGGAACCAAGATCTAAAACTAAACTGATTTCTCTGATGCTTTTATCCAAATCAAATTTCACGTGTATCCATTTATACAGATATGCCCGTGAGCAATGTACTGCACTAAGACTGCTTTGCCTATCGGTCATGTCCTCCAGGGATCTGAAACCATGACCTTCCAGTTAAAAGTTCAAAGCTACTGTATAACCACTACTCCACACTGCTGTCTTATGCGGCACAGTGCAAAAGGAAGCCATCAAGTAAAAATAGCATCTTCTGCCAATGTGTACAAACTGAGTCGTACCCTCTCAGCTATGTCCCTTCAGCGCAGGAGAGTCCAATCCTGGTGTTTCTACAGGTTTTCATTCCAGCTCAGCACTTAAGAAGCTTAACCAGCTCATTACTGGTTTATGGGGCCAATTTAACGGTCAACGGTTCAGGTGCTGGTGCTTTAAAGAGACCTAGAAAATCTGCAGGCCCTCCAGGACCAGGACTGCCCACCCCTGCTGTGTGTGGTAAGGACCTGTGCAGTTGGTGGCCCTGCGCATCATCTTGTCCACCTGGGCCACTGCCTCCTCCCAGCAGCTGGAGCTGGCCTGCATATGGGGCTGGATGAGCCGGAGCTTGTTCTGCAGGTCCTGGTATCCGGCGCATGTCATCTCTGCAGGCTCTCGCAACACCATCAGCTTCTCCAGCTCGTCCTCCAGGATGATCACCCTGCAGGCAGACGGGGCAAACTGGGTAACAGAGTAGCTGCTGAATTGCACTGAGCCCTCCAGTGCCACACTCAAGTTCCACCCCTTAAAAATACAGGATTATGAAGGCTTAACCTTCACTGCTAGATCTTCAGGGTTATTATGAAATGCTCTGGGATCAATGGTTGGTGGTAGAAAAGTGGCCAAAATACACACAAGCTGTTGCTTATACATATTCTGTATATACAGTATACTTAAAATGTTAAACTAACAAACGAGTTCTTACTCATTATGCAGTCTAACACGTATTACAATGTAGCACGTGTTTGCGTCAAGCACTCAAAGAAATGTGCCGGGTGCACACTGTACTGAAATTCAGATGACTTCGAGCTATAAAGACAGCAGATTAAACTCTACATCGGGGGCGTCCCGTGTGGCCCGATTGACAAAGGTGCTTGTCTGACCTCTGTGATCACAGATTCCTGTCTGGGTCGTGTTGCTAGTGGACTGTGACCAGGAGTGCCTACACTGAAGGCCGTGTGGAATTTACTGGTTCCCAGTAACACAGTTACCCCTGTGGCCCGAGGAGGTGCCTGGAGGCAGGTGGTACTGTCGGCGAGGGTTCCCCCGCTCCTCCAACTGTTCGAAAGACAACCGGCTCAAAGGCGGGTGGATCGGAGGGCTCTGCAAACGCTTCCTCCTTCTTCCCCACGTGGGGTCGTGGGAGCTGGGAGCTCAGAGCCGAGGCGCGAAAAGACACGCGACTGGCCATTCCAAAATTATCTGGGTACGATAAAAACAACTGCCAATTCTTCACTTCTATATAAAACTCTGCGCTGTATGAAGTCGGGCAAGGATACTGTTTTCCCAAGAGGATCTGTGAAAGAGCGCAATAAGTAACTGCACTCGGCTGATCGAACCACACACAGATGGCTGAAGGCACACGAGATGGGTAAGGCCAGCGGACGTACTCGTTGAGCAGGGCTTTCAGATGCAGCTGCAGGCTGCGAATGGCGGTGTACAGGCTGTTGAGCTCCCGGCACTTCTGCCTGACTCTCCCAGCCTGCTCAGGGCCTCCCTTGGGCAGGTGCTGGGTCTCGAAGTAGCGGTGGAAGTCGTAGCTGCGGCGCAAGTCCCCGAGACAACCGGTCAGCGTGCGCCGGAGGGGGTCCGTCACCTCCGACACGGCCTGGTGCATCAGGCAGAAGTCCGGCTGCTCCTGCTTCTGGACGGGCGACAGCAGCAGCGCCATCCGGCGGAAGAACTCCGAGCTCTGCCCCACCCACAGCTGGAAAAGCACCTTTCCACACAGCAGTGAGAGAGGAGGAGTCAGGAACGAGCACAGACACCCCTTTCTTTGCAATTTAAACAACTGAACCAGTCATTTTTGAGCCTTGTTTACCTTTGCACATTGCTTTCTCAATTAATATGCAATTGTCTCAAACAAAAAGTGAGGGGGGCGACTGAATAACCCCCGTCTTTCATTGAGTCATTCACTTACACAAATCCCTGCAGCCCTGACACTTTCACCCTTATGTTTCCCTGACAGACCACTGCAGGAAGAAAGGAGCAGGTGGGAAACCGGTTTACTCTTGTTCCTCACCCCAGATTCCACAACAGTACTCGCAAAGTTTCGACGTGTGCTTGATGCAGGATACATTTCTGAATAATCAAACCGTAAAACATTATTTTACTGATTAAGAAACAGTGTTTTGGTGTTGCTGTTCAGTGGTCTAAGAATATTAGATCAACAGCTCAAAATAAACCAACAACAAGACATTCACAAAGAGCAACATCTGCATTTGAGAAGAGAAAAACAGTAAGGCTTTAAAGAAGAAAGACTAATATCATGAGGATGTGTTCATATACAATGAATCTAACATTAAAAAAAACCCACAACAAATAGTGCATTGCTGTTTTTGTACATTCACGCATACTTAACAGGTGTTTTAGAACAAAGCACTACTGTTCAACTGCCTGTTAAGCTATGTTCTTGTTGCCCGATACCCGTTTGTATGATACATTTTAGATGCATACAGGTAGGCACTGTGATTTCCATTGCAAGCACTGAGCAGGTATAATGGTTGTGCTGATTACAATAGTTTTACCTGCCCCAGCAGCTTGACCCTTCTTGTCTTATGCAAGTGTCTAGTCTACCATTTACTGTTGCCAAAAGACTGTCTGTTGACATTCTCCAAGCTCCTGAAAAAGCGAGCACTGGTTTCACTGCTACCCTGTAATGACAGATTTGCCCCCAGCCGGAGAGGAGACAACCCACCCTGCTGCACAGAGAAGAGACACAGACCACAACCAAAGCTCTCGGCCACATGCCTGATTAGTCACACTGCTATTTCTGAATAAACTGGTTCAAACAAAACTGGAGGATATGCAACCGTATCCTGTTTAAGCAAGGAAAAAAGGATTCCTGCTTTCACACAGTACGCAGAAACAATGCAACGCAAAACGAAAGGGTTTGGCGTCTTTAAGAAAGCCCATAAGCTGTTGAAAACTGGAAATGGAAAAAATGGAGAAAAAAAAAGTCATTAAGAATATCTTGCTCCACACCAGAACAGAAAAAGAGAGGCCCTTCCCAGTGTGGAAAAAGAGAGGAACGCCACTTTCCGGCCCACTTCAGCCACAGGAAAACTCTTCAGTGTTGTATCTGCTCACCCAACGAGACGGAGGGGGCAGAGCAGTCGAGGGGGAGGACAGGGAAGAGGGAAGACGAATATGGGAGGAGTGTGGGAGAGAGGCGAAAGCAGGAAACGGGAAGGAAAGACAAGCTCAGGCAGGAAGGAGGGGGGGGGGGTTACCTTCAGCGCTGGGAGGTTGTAGTCGTCGGTGAGCTCCTGGGCCCGCTCGTCCGAGAGCCGCTCCTCACTCAGACCCAGGCCCAGCTCTTTCAGAGGCACAGTCGACACGTAGTTCGTTGCGTTGTCGATCTCCGAGTTCAGGGGATAGGTGCGACAAGGGGGTTAAGGCAACTAAGGAAACGGAAGAAATGCCTGGCCGTTTTTACAGTGGCACACGCTGTTGCCTACCCTTTTCACACCTGCCTTTCTGACCATCCCTGGGCCGCCGCTTCTCAAGTGGGAACACTCCCAAAGAGCTCTCCTAGGGGAAAGCCATTTTCCTCAGGAAGAAGTCACTGTAAGAACACATACTTCAGCTGAAATGCTGGATATGTATGCCGGTGGCTGCCGATTTGTCTTCACAAACTTGTTCATGGATATTTCAAGATATGAAACAATGTACTATGCATGGTTTGACATCTTAGCACATCAAAAGGCATAATAAAAGTAATACTAGTGAGTGATAACAGACACTTCTATAGGAAGAGGTATTCTAATTATAGATCTAGAATAAGCTGACCTTTAATGTATAAAACACTTCTGTTCCATTCAAATTATCCAATTTGATTAACCTGAACAACCACGTCTGAATCATTCCAACCTGTCTCTGCCGTTTTCTTGGCTTCACCTTATTACAAACAGGAGTCCATGCATACTAAACTAAAGATTTGTAGCTTCCCAGATTAATTACATGACCTGCTGTAACATAGTTACTGTATAGTCTGACTGGATAGCTGCCGAATCAATTCTGTGGTACAACTTCACAAAACATATCTTGTAGCCATGATACCACACACCACATTACTTGTAATTCTCATAGTTTCAGGCATGACCTCCCCAAAAAAACACGTTTTTATGGACACAGTCCTAAAATAATGTTGATAGTATTTCCAATATGGCAACAACAAAGCACACTCATAAAGATCATTACCCAGAAGCAAGAAACTGCTGTTTAGTGTAGTGAAACCCGCTATCTAAAATGGTCTATTAACTATTTGAGGGCATTATGCAGCTGTTAAAAAGGCAGCTCGGACAGCCTCAGTTAGTTTAAGTTTATTTTCCCCATCTGTTTGTTTGTTTGTTTCTGGGCATTACCTGTTTTTTGTTTTTTCACATGAATAAATCTAAGAGAAAATGTGAAAATACCAAGATATCACGACTGAGACCCAGACCTACAGCCTTTGACCAGGGTGGCTATATGACTCAATGTTCATTGGGACACTGTAAGACACGACATGACTTAAAAACAGGCTTTAAAATGAAATATGTTAATTTGTAAAAACAGCATTGCACCTTTGCCGGGGTGACAACTGATGATTCACGTCCGTGTGCAGTAAAGTACTGATAGAGTGCTCACTAAAGCCAATGATCAGACTGTGTGCAGAGCTTAACAATGAGATCGAATGGTTCAAAAGTTAGCTTTAGTGCTCAACAGCAGATCAGTATTACACATTTAATGCATGTGGGCACTAAGATTCAATTTGTATTTAAGTAGATGAAGCTGAATTTATAAATAACCTATGTATAATTTGAAGGGAGGTTTTAAAATCCCATCCGGTCTCGGAGTGTCAGAGTGACCATGGAGTCACATGTTCATCCAATTTTTGAGCCACATTTAGTCTAAACTGCCCCACATACCCCTTTAGCTACAAGGTAAAAACATGAATCCCAACAATGTTAAGATGCTGGCTTGATCACACAGTGTCTGGCAACACTAAAAAACAAAACTACTTGTATATAAGTCATCCCATCTCTTCACAGCCTAGACCTGTAACATGTTAATATTCTGAAAACTGCAAAATCTTAACATTTTTCCCCGTACTGCCGAGTCATGTTTTGCTGCACTGAACAACTCGGTCAATCTACGGCAAAATCGGAAAATAAAAAACGGTGCCATTTTTTCCTTTGCGGACTCTCTGGCGGTAGGTAGGAGCTGTCCAGGACATCGAGCCCCCGCGGCCCGAGGTGTCCGCTCGCTCTCCCTGTGACACTAATGAGAACGGCAGCGGGCGAGCGGACAATGTGGCACTTGTGCGCTTCTGGCAGCGGTAAGAGAGCGAGCCCCAGTAAAGGGCAGCAGAGGGTCCCCGACGCCGCCTCCTCCCTCAGCTGAGCTGGAAGGGAGGAGCGGGCGGGGCGGAGTGACCCGGCTTCCTTCCACGGTTCCCATGGGGGGGGGGGGAGCCCGGCCTACCGGCAAAAGGATATGACCTCAGCATGTGGCAGGTGGCCAGGCGCGAGGCGCGGACGGCGGCGCGCAGGGACCGGTACACGGCTTTCCGCAGGCCCAAGAGCTGCTGGCTGCGCTGTTGCCCCGCTTTGTTAAAAGGACAGGCCGCACTGACCCTGTCAAGCAAACTTGAAAAGTGAAATGTGATACAACTGTGCAGATGTCCCAGAACATCTCTGAAACTACAAGCAGTAAAAAAACAAAAACAAAACAGCAACAAGAACAACAACAACACCACCTACACAATGCAATGGCTGAACGGGCAGGAAGAACAGAGTCTTTTTGATATGTAAAATGTGGCCAGCACGCTGAGGTGGGAGGACTTCCCTTCACAGCCCATGCGCCCATTTCCTACAGTCCCCTAGTCTCCATACCCGCTAGCACAACCAGCCAGCATTCACTAGTGAACAAACAGAAAGGCTGGCTTAATATTTCCTTTAAACCCGAGTAAATACTACCAAAGACCGCAAAAGAAAAGTTTTTTCTGTCTTTTTGTCCGTGAGGGGCTGGAACAGAGCTAAGATAAGTGACATCTACACTTTAAAATGAAAAGAAAAAGCCCACGTGAGTTTTTAAATGAAACTCAATGTTATTTGTATCTCCTCAACTAAAAACCAATGAACCTGCCAACAGTGGCTGGGAAAATCACAAATTTGTAATTTAGGTCACATGAAGTTAGTTTATTTTAAAATGAAAGAGCAATCGTCACCTGACGTGATCTAAAAAACACGACAGGCACTTAATCGTTTGCTTAATGTAAGGTATAAAGAATCCTCCACAGTCTAACCCAATTGCTCCTAGGGTGCCCAACCCGAATGCTCAAAACTTTCAGTGGGCTGAAAGGAAATAACATTAAGAATAAAACCATACACACTAATATAATTTTAAACAAATCTACATTACTATATAATCATTTACCAAAAAGGTCTCTGGTCCAGACGCAGAACTGGAACTGTATCAAATATGGACTTTAGCCTGGTCTTGTAATTAGACTGGGATCAAGTGAAAGGCAAAGCTTTCCAAGGATGGAGACTTAAGAACATCAATAAACTGGGCCTCACAGTCCCAAGACGTCATTGTACAGCTTTTGCTTTTATGTGGCTTCACATATATGCCGTCCTTTAACTTCTAATGGCAGTGGAATGGCTGTGGTAAACAGATGACAGGGCATTTACAATCATGTTATTAGTGTTAGAGACAGGCTACTGTATAAATGATCCATACATTTTAGGCACTGGACACTTGTCTTTATCTTATTTTTTAAAATGATTTTCATTCTGTAACTTTGTATTAATACGTAAAATGGCAATAAGGGAACATAAATTGTCCCTAATGCTCAAATATATATATATATTTATTTCAAAATCCTCTTCTCAAAATGTGACTGAGCGTGATACTTGCCACAAAACCCCAGGAAGAAGGTGCTCAGCACATTGGGGAAGTTGGTGCCTAACATGACACACATTGCAGTGCAGTTCCTAGACAAGATCCTGACTAGCGAGAAATGGGGATTCTCCCAGGCTCCTGACAATGTAATCTTATCCCCAACACAGAAAATGCTCCTCACACAACACAAATCAGACTCTGAGGTTTAGGAGAAAGAAATTCGCATGAAGACTGGCCATGGAGGGTCCCCCTTAATGACAGAAAAGACAGGGTGAATATGACACTGGGAAAAGAGGAGAGGAGAGACTTACAGCGTAAAGCCCCGGGAGATGACCTCCGTCTCCTGGATGAGGCGGAGGGCCTTGCGCACCAGGCTGGTGAAGGCCCTGCTGTTCGCGGTCAGCTCCTCCAGCCTCCCACTGCAGCTCCGCATGGTCCGCTGAAGCCTGGCTGTCCTCCAGAGGCTCAGGCCCCGCAGCAGCAGGTAGGCCGTCAGAGCCAGGAGCCAGGGGCAAAGGCCCACCCACGAGAGGCCTTCGGTCAGGAAGTGGTGGCCCACCAGGACCCCTGTGAAGGCGGCCAGCACCGACAGGTCCCTGCATGAAGACAGAACCAAGCCTTCTTCCTGACAGACTCACGGAACCCGGCAAATTTTACAATATCATCTGAAGAACAGACCCAAAACAATGTCTATTGTCTGAAAGTGTCATTTTTGACTGTGTTATAATTTGTTACTACATATTTCAAAATGAGCGCATGAAACTGGTTGCATACCACAGCCATACAGTTTCTGAAATGAGAATTTCCATCCATTAATTTTTTTTCGAACTGCTTCATCCAGTTCAGGGTTGCGGAGGGGGGGTATGGAGCCCATCCCAGAAAGCAATGGGCTCAAGGCGGGGTGCATCCTGGATGGGACCTCAGTCCATCACAGGGCACACACAGACATATACACACACACTCACACCAGGGCCAGTCTTCCCAGAAGTCCATTAACCCACCTGTATGTCTTTGGACTGTTGGAGGAAACCAAAGCACCCAGAGGTGCAAACTCCATGCAAATAGCACCTCAGGTCTGGAAATGAACCCAGGGCACCAGCTCTGTGGGGCAGCAATGTTAACCTCTGCGCCACAGTGCTGCCTAAAAGGATATTTCAACATCTGTATTTCTTTATTTAAAAAGTTGCAGTCTTTCCTAAAATATGACTTTCATACATGACAAAATACAGCACTAAAACTCTTCCCACATTCACTGCAAATGAAGGTTTTGTTCTCCTGTGTGAATAATTGTGAAAAAGTGGAATTGTAAGTTGGAAAAGAAGCGCAAGTGAAGGAAGGTAAAGCAAATTTGATCCTCTCAAGGAGGGACTCACTGATGGAGGGAGCGAGAAAGGAAAGATAAGAAAGAACAGAGAAGCCTGAATCGTACCCAAGACAAACAGTGTAGACCCTGGGATGCCATTCTGAAAGCAAGGAATAACACAGAACCTGATCCTCTTCACATTCCAAGAGGATTACTGATTCCCAGAATAAGAGGAGAACAAAGCGACAGAGAGTAAACCTTTGGCACATGAGGGAAGAGGCATTCGGAGGATAATACCAAACACTGGGTGACGCGAGGAAGCGCAGGCCTGGCTGGGAGCCACTTTGTGCTTCTGGAGAGGTTCCTGTGGAGAGGATGCTGGGGTCCAGCAGCTCAATCAGCTCCACATCCTCCTGCAGCAGCACTTCCTGTTCCAGGATGGTGTGCAGAGAGTACTGGCGAAAGCCCACATCCTAGTCAGCAAGAGCACGGAGAAGAAAACACAAAGCAAGACCGTGTTAAACGCCCGCCACCGGCTCTCCACCCTCCGCGGCTGAAAGCAGCGTTTAACCATACCGAACATTAAGGTTACAAACCAGAGGAGGACCTTTGTCCCAGCTTGCTCATTTGGTTGCTCACAGATAACGGAACACTTCCGGCTTTGACAACGTGGCTGGGTGCTTTGTTCCACACTCGCACACGCATTCGGGTTAAAAAGTGCCTTGTGGAATGGATATCAGACTTCATGCCACCTAAACTAACCTGCTCCCAGTCAGACAAATAAGAGTTAAATTACCTCCACACAGTAATTGACAGCCCAGCGCAATTATCCTACCAGTATTTCTCAACCTTTTATGAGATTGTCTGGCTGCCTTCCTAAGCTTTGTGGGCCGCATGATCCTTTTGTGGTACAGGTTATTTTCCACCTGCTTCTTTAACGTTTCAAATTGCAGATGGTTTTTGCTATGATGATCCAACCAAAGGATGAACACACCAGTTGTGTTTTTTATGTTCCAGCTAGCAGCTATGAATCATCTGTCAGCACGCTGGGGAGAATGAGGACATGTGGGTAGACTCCTCTACCCAGCACAGGTCCCCTGTGTTACCGGGCTCTTGTGAGAACAGACTTGTGGTCCCCGGAGGCACTGAAGAAGAGAGGCGTGTCCCTCACTGACAGCAATGCATGCCTGCAAGCTTCCAGGAGCCCGCAGGAGGTGCTCTGTTGGCGACAGCACCCTTGAAGGATTCGAGTCTCAGTCAGTAAGTAACATGACCCTGACACGAACCCGTGATCACAGGGCTCAGCCTGCGCTTGGATGAGTGCTTTTACCGGTTGAGCCACTTGGGAGGCTGATTCTTCACCTTTAGTTTCGTTCACATAACTTTGCAACTGTAACCATGTGATGTAAACCTTACACCTGCAGTCAAAGTGCACACTGTGGGTCCATAAAAAAATGACGGCCTAAAGTTGCCCTTTTGACACAGGCAGCAATATGAAGGCCAGTAGCTTATGCCAGACACAGTGCCAGAACAGCTGTGTTTTAACAAAGACAAACCGACAGTCAATCTACAGACTTCCTATGTGCACAGTGCATGTTACATGAAAGACAAAATTCACATTAGAATTACCAGCTCACATTTGACCACATTATAATTACCGTGATCCTTTTAAGAAACTGGTCAAAAGTGATGAAATTCATTGACCATATACTGAAACGGGGCAACAGAGTGGTGTGGTGATTAGTGTAGCTGAATCATAGCTGTTTGGTCATAGGTTCAATTCAAGGCACTGGACTGGGACAGCTCCTGTATGGAATTTGCATGCTCTCGGATATTCACAGGCATTGCGTGGGCTCCAGGATGCTCTCACCTTCCAAAGACATGCTGGCTAGGTCAGCTGGTATCCCTGGACTGCCCCGGTTTGCTTGTGTGGGGCTTGTGAATGACTGTGTAGTCTGACTGTGCAGCTTATGCCTTCTGGACAGGCTCCAGGTGGCTGAGAACCCAGCTCTCTGATAATGGAGCTGATATACAAAATGTGTCTGCCTGACAGAGCTGTCTGACACTGCAATCTGGAGCAGAGCTAATGGAGCAGAATGAAAGCTTACTAGGAGCAGTCAGCGGGGGGTAGGTGGGGGTGGTGGTCCAATTTTCTCACATTCATTAAACATTAAATCTTGCCAGCTTTTCTATTTTTACGGAAGTCTCCCACTGACTGGCAAGGAAGTTGCCACAGAAGGGTGCCAGCCCTCAAATTGGTCACTGAGAAACGCTCGTCTAAGCAAAAACTAAAAAAAATTGCACCAGATAATGGGAGAAGGATTTAATAAGACAAGAACATACTCCCTGGCAGCTCCAACCAACCATAGTGTAAAATAATAATCAATTATTATTATGCAATAATAATAGGATACCGATTAAAGGTTCGATAAGATTACCGAAGAGCTCGGCTGGAATAAAAAAAAAACACAGGGGTACTCGAGGAACAGGACAGTGGAACTGCTTCAGAACATACTTCAGTATGGGCTATAATGGACTGCCTCCCTCACCTCAATTTTCCATCTCGATCGTTTGAAAAGGCTATATCATTAAAGGCATCCTCTCTTGTGGGCACACCAACCAACCAGAAGAAGAAAGCAATCATTACCCACATCTGTAATTTTTGTTTCAGTTGCTGACCTCCCCCAATGTTTTTTTCTCAATCTATGTGAGGAAAAGTTATACCTCCCACAACAACCAATTTGTATCTTCAGATTAATTATATATGGCTGCATTCATAAAAGGAATTTTTTCCTTTATTATTATATCTGAATTCGGTGGTCTGTAGAATACTCATATCACTTTACCAGCTCTATATTTTTAATATGGGGCATAAGTCTGCCCGGTATAGTTTCTGATACTCAATGTCCCTCTAAGATACATCCCCGTGTCTGATCACATTCACTGCTTCCCATGCATTCTGTCTTTCCAGAACACTATGCATCACTAGTGTTGCATTCCACACTATTGCAATCCTAGCGATGTTTCTGTGATTACATTTCCGTGCATGCTCATGCAGTTGCGTCTATCTCTTGTATTTTATTGCTAACAGTCTTGGCATTTGGGAATACAGGCATTCAATTACCTGAAGATTTCTGTTTTTATTATGTTCTGTGTGTAAGCTCCCTTAAATATTTTCATTGGATCCTACTTTTCTGATTCTACTTCGAAATGGTTATGAATTTCACTACAGATCCTTGTCCCGATTGACTTGCAGCAATCTGATTCATTCAGTCCGAATCTGATTTAGCTACATAGTGCCATAGTACAGTGCCTTTGCTATAAAAAAAAAAACTATTCCAGTGGGTGACAAAACTGGCCATTTCTTCGGCACACTGTTGCAGGTACTAGCAGGATACCGGAGAAAAACACTGATGAACCAAATCCTGTGCTTCCAAGTTTTTTAAATTTGGTTTGGATGGAAAATGTGTTATAAAGCAACACAGTGGCGGGAGGGTTAGGTGCTCTCTGTGTGAGCCTGAATGTTCTCCATGTATTCATATGGGTTTCCTCTGGGTGCTCCAGTTTGCCCCCACAGGCCAAAGACATTTAAAGACTGGTAGATTAACTGGCTTCTGGGAGAATCGGCCCTGGTTTGCTTATCCGTGGCCTGCAATGGACTAGTCCCGTTCAGGGTATAATCCTGCCTCACACTCATTGCTTGCTGGGATAGGATTCGGCTGCCCTGCGATTGTGTACTGGATACAGTGGTTAGAAAATGGATGGGTCGATGTGTTGTTATACTGAAACTGTTTACCCCAACACCGGCAAAAACAACGGAGTCTAAACCTTGCTTCAACCTTCTACTTTGTGAACGATGCTAGCCTCTTTGGTTGCAGGGAAACAGTATGCTGTTGCTGACTTTGGGGTCTGAGCTAAGTATCTCACTTACAAGATTACTAAGAAAAGAGATTCCATCAAAACAAAACTGTAGCTTTTTAGTGGATTTGGTGTCACTGGCACTGACTGAAGTTATTGTCACTGATACCTGCACTTGTCATGGTGTTGTTTTGAAAACTACTGCCTTGAGCACGAATGCTGACTATTGGCAAATCCTGGGATGGAGCAAACTTGATAGCGATGTTTTGTTACAAAGCTTTTTCGTGGCAGTATTATTTCCATTGTTTTGGAAAGAAGTTTTTTTTAATATCCTATAATGGGTACAATATTATACAATTACAGCTCCTGCAGCAACAAGCTTGCTTAACAGGGTCTCCTTTGAAACTACTGCACAAAAAGCACAAAGGTGAATCTGAGTGGGCTTGTGTTACTATCGGACAGTTTGGAATTAGGTTCACAGAGTGGAACAGGAAAAACACTTACACTGTTGCTTATACTGCTTCTTTGAAGCTGCTAAAGAATATGTTTTGGTATTAGCTGTACTAAATTTGAACATATTTCAGACTTGCAATTCCCATCTTGAAACCCCTCCTGATACTGGATTCAGAAATCATAATCTCACCCACTTGATCATCTGTTATATCTATAGCCTATATAACAGTCTATATTATAGACTGCAATATACTGTATACTGTAGTTATATTAATATAATTTACAGGGAAACATTTCATGGTATAAGGATGCAAATGGCAGTGATCCTATTTATCAGTTAAACTATTTATCAGTTAAAGACATCAAAAAGAAAATTATCCCTGTTACTTTAAATGTTTGTTAAATTGTTCTGTGTTCTAACAAGCACTGTTTTGACAAATCACAGGTTGTAGCCGAGAGTTGAATATTCATAGTCATTTTAAAGATCCATCAATCCATTTTCAAATCACATTATACAATGTAGAGTTTCAGGGGACATACAAACTCCACGCCTACAGCACCCCAGGTCTGGAATGGACCCCAGAACCCCAGCCCCCAACCTCTGAAACACCAAGCCGCCCATATAAGAAACTATTTGGTTTCAAAATCCACATTCAGGGAAACATGCGTTTGGACTGAGAATAAGTTGAAAGTATTCACCTCCTTCCAAATGATATTCTATTTTGGTGACTTACAAACAATGTTTATTCATCATAAAGTGAACATTTTTAAGCAGTACATGAACACATCACAATCTCATTGGACGATGGCAAATATCAAGGCACAGTAGCGAAAAGATTAGAATTTAAATCAAGGGCTGTTATGTTACAATTGTACAAAATAAACACTGATTTTTAATTATGTGCATCTAAAACCAAGAACAGGATGCACATCTTTATACACGAGACTGTGACAGTATGGAGTAGGCATGTACCCAGCCATGATGCTTAAGAAAAAGCTGGATGACATCCTTGAGTCACTAGTGACTGAACTGGCTAAAATGGGACAAATGGCCTCCTGTCATCAGTAAGAAGAACATGAGAAAGGCTAAACTCTTCTTTATTAAACGCCGACAATAACAGGGTAGAAATGAAAAAGTTTTATATTCTGACACCATTAAGCAACCAAAAAGCAGACCGCAGGCCACCAAAAGAGCAGCACAAAGCAGACCACAGGGGGTTGATGGACAGGATATCTGACAGAGTGACACTGAGGGAGAGCGCTCTGTCTGTTTAACAGATAAGAAAAGACCACTGCCTTAACTCTGCAGCAGCGGCACTTGTGCATCTCCTGCAGCATTCCCTAACCCGGCAGGTGGGCCATGGGCTGGGTTTCATCTAGCGTGGAAAAAAAGGAAAAAACTGGCACTCTGTACCAAAAAGCGCACACACATAAACTCTCATGAGATGAAAGATATTTTATAAAATAAGAAAAATGTAAGCGACTTAATGTACTGTAGCTGACCACGCTTACTCAAATACCCCAAAATATAGATCTCAACAGCACACTTAGCCAAAGTTTCAGCAGGAAGCATGCTAGGAAGGACGAATTAGCTACAAAAAATGCAACAATAATGAACACAAATCAGAAATGAAAACTGAAATATCACAACAGTTTAATATCACAAAAAATTATAAACAATAGCCAACATAAAACATTTGTCAAATATCCATATATCCATTTTCTAACCACTTTATCCAAAACAGGGTCAATGGTGAGCCGGAGCCTATCCCGGCAAGCAATAGGTACAAAGCAGGACCAGCTACCAGCATGTCTCTGTATGATCTCCACATTTTGGTGTGGGTTTCCTCCAAGTGCTCTGGTTTCTTCCCACACTCCAACTTCCCACAGATACAGTAGCACCCCAGGTCTGGAATTGAACACAGGTCCCCAGTGCTGCAAGGCAGCAATGCTAACCACAGCGCCACCCATTTGTCAAATATGTGTATTTTAATTCCAATTAAGCAGTAGAATTGCACTTTGCAATCATTAGAATGTATTTAGGAATATTTAAGCAGGACTTTCGTCGGTCCTCCATACAAATGAAAAGTTCTCTTGTGGACAGAAACATTGTCTATCTGTTTTGTGTTGAAATACATGTTTTCGGAGCATTTTTAATAATTTTTCAGACTCACCAGCTGCTGCTCTGGACCGTCAGACATTGTGCCTCTTTGAAATGGGCTCCACTTCAGGAGGGCGTTAGCCAGTTTCAAGAAAAGGCCTGCCTGAAATGACCAAGAAAGCAAAAGAAAGGGTCACAGACAGTAAAAACGGTAAAAAACACTACTGAAGCCTTGGTGATGAATGTAAACCTTTACGTTGTTTGGTCTTTAAATAAAACTAGGTGACAATTTAGACAAATGGACTGAAGTAATAGCATCCCAGGAAAAAAAATGAATTCATTTTTTTTAATATTAAAAGCAAACAAAGACATCACAGACACCTTGGTGACACAAAGATTCATTGCCAATCTCTCCTAGTATATGTATTTGGTTACCACATTACTAAAAGATACTGCTGCTCTGGAATTAACCCAGAGAAGAACATCCAGATAAATTCCTTGGCTCAAAGCAATGTTCCATATAGATAAGCGAAAAGAACTGTATCTTTTAGTCCCGAAGAGTGAACACTGTGATATATTTGTGCCTTACTTTAATATAAAACTGTCAAAGTAAGGCACTTACTGGACATCATCAATGTGTTGATTAACTAGTAGGCCATCAATGACACAACACCACCACGTTGTCACAGCAGTATCCTAGCCTCCTTCTGGAAACTTCTGGATGAGAACCTAAGACCAATTAAACTAAGAAACTGAATCACCCCTCCTCTTCCCTGTATTTTCTAAGATTGCTAAATTAAATTTCTCATCTTGTGACATGGATGTAGAATTCCTCACTGTACGTTGCTAGTCTACTACCTAATAAACAACTAAAGAAGTTTAGTTACAAAAAGATATGTACTCTGTAACATATGCAAAAGAGTAAAATTCTTCATTGTATGTTCTTTATATTGATCACACTCCAATGGGAACAAAATCAAAGAGCAAAAAATGTAAGCAAAGATGATTGTTGAGACAGGACAGATAAATAGTTGGCATGTTTTCACTGCACAATGCACTAGGTCATATAAGGCCTACATTTAATCATTTATTGATTTCGTTCACAAAGTCAAACACTTTTTGAATATCACAATTGCAGTGATCTGGTCTGTGACTATTACATACAGAGAGAACATCACCTACAAGGTTCTGTAACAAACAGTTCAAGTAAACTGACAGGTGGGTAAAGATTTTCTTTCTTCTCGCTTTCTTGAAAAGGAAATGTTTCAGTTATTTCTAATAAGTTTATCTGAAGTACGTTAGGCATGCAGGCAAACCTGTATGTTTAAGAAAAGATGTTTCGTGCATTCAACGCAGGAATGATTACGAAGTGACAACTCAGCTGTGGGAGATACCACTAGTTCAGATGGGAAACAATGGAATCAATGCTTCCCTACTTCAAATATACTATAAAAACTTCCCGTTTTCTTTTCTAAAAAAATCAAATGCAAAGCCCGACAATGTGTCTGTATTTCAGTTGCTTCCGGTTTTCCTTTCCAGGCGAGTGTTCAGAACTGAAAGTTTTGTCGACAAGAAGGCTTCAGTTCCAGCTTTAAACCCCTACGAGATTCCTAAAGCAAACTTTGCTCCCCTGGTCCATAACTGGTCCGTAACTGTAAAATACAGCATATTGTATCTTGCATTGCCGCCACAAAGGTTTGAAAGATATCTCGTCCAAGTTCACAACAAGCCTTCCGTACGTGTCATTCCTGTTCTGCTACATGTTCAGCATTACTGACTTTTCAGCTATTACATTCTTTTACATCATTCCAGGTGGTTCTTCCACGTACCGTTCATGAAGACCACAGAGAAGTCCATGCTGGAATGCAGAGAGATGTCTGACTTAGACAGACATTACAGTAACATAACATCCATAATCCATGAATATCCAACAAAAAAACTGGATGGAGAAAACAATGTACTAAAACAAATACGCAAGACATCAGACATATGATATCAGCTCTGCCCATCTGTCTTTTTGCAGGTATCCGCAGGTACTTTCTCTATCCAAGAGCTAAATCGAGCTGTTTCTTTTGAGCCTCCCGTATACAGACTCAGCGTCTACTGTGTGTTCTGGACCTGCTGGCTTTTCACTCACATTTTCGAAATCATTGCCGACTGCAGTTCACTGCGATCTGAAAATAAAGGTGATAAACCAAACTCTATTTAGTAAAATCTGGTCTTGGTTTACATGTGCTCATTTCTGACTTAGGATAAAATCTAAAAGACTGACTCAAAACATTCTTGTTTGCACATCAGAGTTCTTTTATTTTGCCAAAAACGCTCTGCTGAGCTAGTATGAATTACCTCGTTGGAGAGCCTGGAGAAACATGTTCCTGCATGACCTAAAAGGATATTAAACCAACATGATGGCATGCTGCTTTTTCAGATGATTTTGCAAGCCCCGTTTTCAAAAGCACTTCAAATAAATAAAACCGACATACAACAATCCTCCTTCATCAGCAAGGGGGAAGTCATACCAGAATGCAGGTCAGTCAGTGGTGTGTGTAGGGGGGCTGCGTACAGTTATGAAAATAACCATCTTTCCTTGAATGGGGCTGGAGTATGGGCGTCAGCTTTCTGCAGTTAAAACTGTCCTCTCAAAGTGCCAGCGTTCCCCTGCCTTAATTCAAAAGCCCCTGTTTTGACTTACGATAACACTCAAACAATGAGGAGCCTTTTGATTTTTGAAATCTCTGCAATTAAAGGAAAGCCCTGACTCAGGTTCACCATGTCTGGACTTGTCACTCGCTCAGTTCCACCTATTTCAAGCGAGACCAAAGTAATCAGCCCACCACATCATACAAGAAGCCCATCTGGAGTCTGCAAGTCTTTAACATGCTGTCCGTGTGGACGATACAGTTTTCCACCTCCAGCTTAGAGCAGAAGTTGAGTTTCAGGTTTCTGGAATCGCCGCCAGGACCAACCAACCATATAAACCAGAAGAGGATAAAAGCTACTGAAGAACTCGGTTATTTATCAGTAGTCATTGCGAAAGGAGCTCCTAAAATGCAGGAAGAGAAAACATTTCAAATATGAGGAAGAAAATAATCTCTCAAACTCCCCATCTCAATAGCTTCCTTTCGGAGAAAGTAAATCCTTATGTGATATTTTGGACAAACAAATACATATAAATAATATAACCTTAGAAAAAGCACTTTAAACCTTTCCACATTTCTTGGTTAATTCATCATACAAAATCTGCCTAAATATAAGAGCTCAAGTACAACCAAGCAGATCATATACAAAATAAATTAAGTGGTTTAACAATAAAACATGGGTGATATGAATCAGGCAATTGTGGGCACTGATACCACCATCTCTACATGTTGCGTCAGACAGTTAATTAAATGACTTGGATCTAAGGCTGAATTACAGCTTATGTGTTGCAAAAAAGGGAAAATTAGATTTGGCTATGCAGCTCTTATGTAAAAAGCATAGCATCAAGCTCCCTTTTGTACCGTTTGTTGCTGTATTTATGATTTGCTCCTCTCAACCAGTATCAAAACTCAACTCTTTACTTCCAACACAAGATGTTAAAATCCCACAAGAAAATTCATGCCGGCACTGCACTTAATTTTCTTACAGCAAATTACAGTATAAGGAAACTCTGTATTGACCACATCAGATGTGTATTAAATATATTTCACCAGTATGTGTTAATAAAATAAGCGTCTGAAAGTGAAATCTTCTTTTCAGGATGGGCTTCAGACAATCACTGCCTTGCATTATTAACTTGATGTTTTTCAGGGAGGTTTCTCAACAAAGAGCCTTAAATCTTTTTTGCAAAGACTTTTACATAGACCCTGGAGACATAGTATATTGGTGGCAGAGAAACGTGATCTGACTGATGTGCCATTCTATTGGTGGTGTAGAGTTTACTTTTACAAACCTCTACTACAGAGCGTAAAGCCATTAAACTTCATGGCTCGTATGAAGCTGATTCAGTTCATAAGCAAGACTAAAACAAACCCTCAGGACTAAGCTGGGCACCTGTCTCACAGTTCATGTTAAATCCCACTCGATATGAGAGCAAGCTCTTGAGAGTTCGCCACTTTGTCCATAAGGTCCTAAGGGCATGGGAATAAAAAAGAATGGGACCGTCCACACTGAGACCAGTACAAAATGAAGAGGGAGGGGGCTGTGAGTATTCATCTGACCTCATGAAACTCCTCAGCGCTTACTCCTGATCAAGGGACATTCTCTTCCTGCAATTACTATAACGGCTCTGCACATGATTACAACACTAAAACATTCTTCCCCAATGACAGAAGGAAAAATTAAAAGGCAAGCTTAAGTAGAGTCTTCAACCTGACACTTTCGAGGTCAGGAGGACAGTACTGGCTATGAAGTGACATTCTAGTTCTCCAAACAGCATTGTCATCTCCTCTCAAGTTTATTCATCAGACTCGAGACATGATAATGTATCAAAAAGGTACCGCATGCAGCAGAAGCAAAGAACTGAAGACTGTATGCAAAAATCCTGCGACCTCTGTACAATAGCTATCACAACTCATTCCGTCACTGAGCAAAACAAACTTCAAAATGCTCTTCTACTACAGTCTATAACAGTATTAAAGGTATGAGTCAAGAAAACATTGTTAAAGTGGAAATTGATTACAGCTGTTAAGTTGAGCCATGAACCAACAGAAAATCACACAAAAAATAATGTGGATCTTCTGACTAGTACAATAGTGAAACCATGTGTGTACCTCTACTGTCATCAATTCAGGTGACAAAAATGATGTAACAGTATGTGATTCATCCTGGTAGTGCCCTATTTTACACATTACTGACAGTTTGACAAAGTGAAAAACTGAATGAAAAATGTTGTATACCATACCAAAAGTGAAAGAAATAAACAGCAGCTGTTTCTACATTTAGAATAAGCAGTTGACACTTCTAGCAGTTAATCTGGGGCCAAGTGCTCCCTCTGATATGATGCCACTGTATAATCTCATCTTGCAAAAATACTAATCTGCTGTGAAAACACACAGCAGTTCGAAATTCTGCTATATACTCTATGTTTATCACTCACATAACCAGGCTTTAGAACATAACTGCATAAAAACACACTAGCCATGATTTTGTGCTGCACAACTGCAACTTTATTTCAACTGAAAGAGGCTTTTGTACAGGAAAGAGATTCTTATTTTCCAGGATATAGTTGTGCCATGGGCTGTGTGTGACAAGCAATGGACTCAGAGGAAGAAAATGTGAAAAACTTTCCTAAAGCAAAAACATTTCCAGACTTGATAAAAACATGCTTTACAAATGTGCAAAGATATGTGTAGAAATGGCAGCACGGTCACAAACATTATCAGTGTCATGAGACTAGCCTTGTAAATCCTGCTTTTATCCCCTTGAAAAACTGGACTAAAATAATTTAGCATGTTTACAAGCTTGCTATAAATAGGACCGAACAGAACTTAACAAGATGATGCAGCATCGAAATATATTCTCAAAATTAAATTTAGGGTTTGAGTTTTAAGGCAGTTGATTGAGACTAAGAACACTTAAAAAAGAAAAAATGGAACGTGCTTAAAACCCTAGCTTCACTTTAAAATGCAGATGTCTTTGCAAACAATTTCCCTGCTAACAGACATTACCTGAGGCTTCTTTCTGGATTCTAGATTTCCCAGGGTCATGGTTTGCTGGTGTCGTATTTTGTTGTGCTTTTTGAATTTGAACTCCTAGCCTTAGAGGATAAAGTGAGCTATGATAAAGCCTCTTGCATTTCATCTCCCTCTGCACCATATCCCAGAAGCGATGTTAATCAGTGATGGAGCAGGTTCATGGCGTGCCCTGGATAAAACTCACATGCAATAAAAACGAGGGCTGCTTTAGGAGCATGCACATCTGCAAACAAACCTCTGGAAAAAAAAAGCGCTCTTGATGCCCTTCATTTGCTGAGCCTGGTAATAATACGCCTCAGGCTTGGGCTGTTGTGGCTCAGTTCCAGTAGGGGCTTCACTGACACTGCATGGCAAAAGAACCACTGAAACCACTGTCCTGGATACGCAATGTGCTTTGGGTTATACTATGAAAAGCTCGTTTTAGGTATGTTTCACATAACCTGGATAAATATCAAAAAGTAATAAAGTATAAAGTTCAAATGTAAAATGCTTAACTACACCCCTCTGGGCCTTCCCCATCATCTTTATGATGGTGTGATGGCTGATGTCAGTGGGTGCCCACCTCGTGTTGTTAAAACTATTTTCCAGACTGTTAAACTCCTTTAGTGTAACAGTAAGCTTCTTAAAATCACAAAAATCAAAATCAAGAGGGCGGTGAAACACTAATAGGATGACTTTCAGTGCTGTTCGCTGCACAGCACAAAAAATTGTGTTTTTCTAACTTCATTTGAGTTCCAGTTCCATTTTCCAAGTGTTTATTTTAGATATTGAGGGGCATTCAATAACACAACATGCTACTGGTGCAGACACTCATCGGTTACTTCAAGCTCTGAAATTAATTCCAGAGGAAGAGAAGTAAACTTCAGTGTAACACTGACCTCAGAAAATCAACCTCTAAATTCAAAAGCTTAGCTGACCAGGAGAAACTCACACCTGCCCACGACAGCTGCGGGACAGGTCAGGGAAAAGAGGTAGCAGCCCAGCGCACAGAGCAGGGGCATCCGAGAACAGGAAAGTGAACAGAAAGCACAGCAGGCAGCACAGGCCCCAAAGGAAGGGCCAGTGATTCACGAGCAACACTCACTCTTGGTGTGGTGGGGATATCCTGTAGGAGTGGGCCCTCCTCTCCTGTGCATTGTCCTTCCTCTTGTGAAACAGCTGGACATGTCTCAAAATCTGTGTGTCCTAGGTCCTGCAAGTATTGGAACAGCGGAGAATTCTGGTGAAAGGAAGAAAGCAGACGTTAGGCAGGAGTAACGTATTTCTGCCTCTTGCCATTTAAAATCGCCAGAGCAGCACAAAGTCACAAATCCCCGCACCGTCTTATCAATATCATTAAAAAGATTATATTTTCTTTGTGAAGACCGTTTGAAAAATAACTGTCGCACAGTAGCAAGGGACATATTTGCTGCAGCCGGACCTCAAATTTCAGTATCCTCTCCAATTGTCAACGACAGACTACATAAGTGCCTAACATATTAGGTAACAGAGACCTCTCGTCATTTTGTCGTCTTTTTTTTCCCCCCCAGTCTGAAACTTACAAAGATAACGAGGTGGTCACGACTATGCTCAAAGCTCTGAGATCCCAAATGGCATAGCACATTTAGATCGTGTCAATTGCAAAAATAATCTTATATAGGTTATCATTTGCAGTGAATTTTTACACCAAGATTTAGCCCTTTACTTCCCTCTCTGAGTGTCAAACTAAGAGACTTACAAACTAGCTCTTAACACAAATAAAATCACTCAAGGTGTAAAACCTGTGACCAGGGCTGATTCTGAAACTACTACCTGCACGGTTCTGAACATCAAAAACCATCCCTGTGCCTCTCAAACTAGCCCTGCTTCTGCACATACCCTGCACTTGTTACTCCTGTCAGGAAACATGAGCATTTTCTTTTTTCAACTGAACACGATACTGTGCTCCCCTTTTAAACGAACAAATTCAATAAAGCGGGGAATAAAAATGGAAAACTGCATTACACAGCTGTCCAGACAATTCAGGTTCAGACAATCCTGAAAACCTGTGAAATTCAGAAGCACCTCAAAGTAGAGACCACAGGGTAAGGATGAGTTAACAATTGACAAACCCATCCCTTTTTCAGGTAAAGCAGCAAGTGCTGGAAGTCTTATTCCATTACAAAGCTTATTCCATAGATCAGATAAACCCTATCAATGACCATTCATCTTGTTATTGATCTACTCTGCATGACAGTATTAGATGTGCCTCATCAATATATCAATGAAACAAAACATTTATCTGATGCTGAAGTAATCTGATTACGAAAGGGACAAATGGGTTTATTTGGAAATCTATTTTAAAGCTTGATTTTATTTTAAATTAAAAATGACTGCATTTAAAAAAAAAACATTCCAGCATTTACATCAATTGAGTATACTTAAGAGTCCTTTACTAGAAGACTACTTGTTAGCATGGCAGTATAATCCAAAAAAGACAACATCATTTTAATACATTTTTTTTAATAAGGTGCCTTTCTTACTTCTTAAATTTTGTTCTAAATCTGATGTGGTCACTCGTATCCTGCCGTTCAGTATTTAAATTACTGTATTGGTATAGTTGCCTCTTGGTCTGATTATTCACCACCGCAGACTTCGGTTTCACTGCTAAAATAGACAAAACTGTAAAAAACAGAACATTTTGTGTATGACTTCACATTACTGGGTTAAAACTCTTGCTCTGCCTATCTGGTACTAGAAAACTGGGGATGCCTTTAATCAAGATTAGACTACTGCAAAGCTCTTCTTACTGAGGTACCTTCTAACGTACTTAACAGGATTCAAAATACCAAGAAGTCTGCATCAGCACCTTAACTCCTGTCCAGTGGTAACTGCACCTGCTCCAAGTGAAATGTTAAGTGGGCTTCAAGATTGTCTTGTTCCACTGGAAGGTACCAAACAGTCAGTTCTTAGATTATTTTAAGGTGGTACTGAATGAGTGTGGTCAGCTTTTTTAATCACAGACCTGATCATACTTGCTTTATGTGTGCTGCACCACATCAGTAAAACTTACTGCCCAAATCCTTTAGACTTTTCAGCTGCTTACACTTTCAGAACTCTCTTCCAGTCCTACCTCTTAACTAAAGATTTTGATACAGCATTTAATTGTTTAAAAGATTTTAGTTTAGTTTTATTCTTGGTTCAAGAGAGTTAATTTGTCGTGCCTTTTCTCTCTCTTACGTTTGTTGTCTAGCATGTGTGCTATAGTACAACGCTTTCAGTAATAAAAGTGGATTGTTAGTGCCAGTATAAGTTATTAGTTAGCTCATGTACACGTGTTTTCCGATGAAAGTCTATATACAGGTGATCCATAGGAATTACAGTATATAAATATGGTGGGGTTGTGGACGTTATGAGCATAAACGTTACCCTTGCGACTTAAACATGAGACGCTTTTCCTATACGGACCATCAATTAGACTAAGCGTTTCACCTGTAGCTACGAAATACAATACAGAGGATCCCGTTATCAGTCCAGGTTCCGTTTCTAAACACTGCAACGTATAGTGAAATTATTTAGAAATGGGAATTAATATCCATCGGGAACAATATAATTAGCTTCCAAAGACGTTGCCAACATACAGTTTCAGACACGGGTACATAGGTTTAATTTACGAATAATATACAGAAAAATTAGGATAAACAGCGACACCAACTCCTCCCGAATTGACCTCTCATCGAAACTAATAAAGTCATTCGCTGATTCAGGGCAGAGTTTTTCCACCCTCTGTTCATGCCATAAAGTTAGCGATCACACCTTGATCCATTGGTTGGATCAGCGGCGCAGTGCGGGGAGGCAAGAGCCGAACTTTAAAGTTGAATGCTGGGGAAAACGATTCATAATCTAAGTCATGTGGAACAGCACTGTATTCAAGAAGAAATTTTAAGATTAGATTTTGTACTAAAGTATTTACCCCCCACATTTCCGAGAAAAAAAACAATCCAAGAAGCACCTAAATTGAAGGTTTTTGGTGCCTTGAAAAACCACGTCCAGTAGGAGCAGGATATTTTCACTGTAACCGGGCGACTTACAACGCGCACCACCTGTATAAAACCAACAGGAATGCGACTCTTCAGGTACAGTATTTCCACTCTTATACCATGTAGCTAAATTAAAAAAAACTTGAATTGTATTAAAAACATAAAGTTACACTCTGTATATGAGTTATTTCCATTAGCAGATAAAAGTAAGAAGGTTAAGCGTACTTCTGAAACAAAAGTATTACTGCAAAATCGTTGTTTTTGTAGATATATTACTGTATTGGATTGATTCCCACGTTTAACGGTATTGCAACGCAACTGAGTAGGGAGAGAAGCCTCATTTGTTTGTAAACTGCACTGTAACACGATTGCAGTGCGCCAAATTTACACTGACCTACCTATTTCTCAGCCTGTTGGTCCGTGCAAATCAATTCAAAACACAAAGGGGAAATCATGCATGATTTTCAACGATTTACTTATTCTAATGTATGAAAAATACTTAAAAGCGAGCATACAATCTATTATTTAGATGTTCGGTTCTGACAGTTACCCTTGGCGCTTTTAAAAGCTTGGCAAACATATACGTAAAGAAAATGTTAACGGACTTCTGCACTCAGAACCAGGTTTGTACATCCTTAACCTATTTTCCCGTTGAATTAAAAAAATAATGGATGAATACATGCATAAATTATGTCCACTCATTTACTCTATCAGTTTAAACCAAGCCTGTCGCGATTATCGATCTTAACCAGTTTAGAAATGCATCGCGGTTACACTCGTTTAAAGTAAAATACCCAGCAGGCGTTCATGAAGTATAAAACATCTGTAAACACTGCACGAACCTCAAATACAACCTCTTCATCAAACTCCTCAGTCATCGCTCTCCGCCATACAGCCCTAACCGTTACGCATTCTGGGATTGTAGTCCAAGAAAATCATCAGGAAATGGAACTCCCGTGGCTCCCGGTAGCGTAGTGATGTGAAGTTCTCAAACTACAACTCCCGTGAGCGGCGATGAGGACGGCGCACGCGCACTGCGGATCCCTGTTGTGGCGGCCGTGGTGGGGAGCGCTCGCGTGGGCTATGACGTCATGTAGAGGCACTGTTCTGTGATCCTGCAGAAAGGAGCACAGCGCCGCTCTGAATCCGAAGAGTTGGATTGGGTTCGGAACAGCGCGGAGAAGGGAAATCTTTCTTTCTATGGAAGATTGTTTGGGATTACCTGAGCACTCCATTCATCGCATGGACGAGGAGATTGACAGTACATTTTGAAAAAGAAAAAGAAACGATCACAATGGAATGCATGCTGTTCGAAAAAAAAATATTCCATGACTGAGGAAAAAGTTGTGGGAATCATGAGCACAGGTTAGTTTCTAGAGGGGTTAAACCCAAGGTTTCTGTGTTGTTGTCTTTTTTAAACAGTAACGCTCAAATAACAATGCACATCCATTTTCTGTACAAAAAAATCTCCTTATCTGATAATGACCTAGAAAATAATTGACAACAACGGTTTTTTTTTCCTTTGTACGTACTTTACGCCTGGGTCGTCTTTGTTATGTTAAAAGAAAAGGATTTGGTAACGAGCTTTAATCGCCAAGGGTATAGATTGGTAATTAAATTCCATCTTAACTTTCTGATATATTTTTGAAAGTTGGAGACGTGGCTAAAAGTATTATTTTAGTATTTAAATTGGACTAATGCTATTTTCTTCTTATTTGAAGAGTTTAGTTACAGGAGGAAAACGACAAAAGGCATGTGAATGGTCTACTGATGTGGTCAGTTGTTTTAACTTTCATAGCCATAGAAGAGACTGACTTTGTTTTTACCGTTTTGGGCTCTGGTGTTGTTCAGATTAAGGTGGATTAAGTAAAAATAAATAAATCTTTAGTTGCGAAAAAGGCTCACCATTCAATGTGTGCGGGTTCAGACAGAAACAATATATCTTACCGAAAAAGTAAACTCGCAAGAAATACGCTATAATTATACTATAATTACAAAAAAGTTGTCAAATCTCGGTTTTCATGAATCTTGATTTTGTTCGTGCTGTTCAAATAATGCGTTCCTCCCTATGGACGAGGTAACCGCAACACACCAAGTGTATTCACCGTGTAATTAAGGAGTAAATGATTGTCTCGGGTACGCTACCCTAGCGTTATTGAAAACAACTTTATATGAGCAACTTTATGGTTTTGCTTTACACGTCTGGTGTAACCTCTTTAGAAGCTGCACAAAACGGCAGCAAAGGAGAAGTAAGAATAATTCAGTGATATTTAACGCAGTTTTTCAAGTTGCTTATGTGTTTTTATATGGAAATGAGTAGAGGGTATAGTATAACGTCATTCCCGAAGACTGGAGCAGTCGTCATTATAATCTAAGAAATAAGTCTTTTCTAAAGTGTGTGCAATGTTACCTGCACCTGAATTTAATTATCATGTACAAACATATCCGATATATTAATGTACTTACTCGCCCTGGTTTTAAAGGTTTCAAGCCTGCTGGCGCGTACATTTGTAATAAGACAGAAGGTGGGACTTCAACCTGTTGTGTGTTGAGATTCTAGGAGAGTAAGGCATTAGCTCTAGTGAAATCTTTTGACCATTTTCTTTGTATGCATGCGGTGTGTGTTTTAGAGGACATAGATTGAAACGAGCATGTTATCCTGGCTTTTTTATCTTACTATACCAATACTAATGTAGGCTCTTACTACGCATTGTACGCGTAGTTACTGAAGGTATATGGCCGCAGACTCTGATTAATTGCAGACAATGAAAGGTAAAATACATATAAGGCATAAATAAATACATAAGAATGTAATTTGGAACTTGAAAGTGAAGGGTTACAGGGGATAACAACGATGTAGGTTTTGAATGTAAATGTAGCGGAATTTAACAGTATCACATTCTTCATTGTTCAATCTGTTACCGCATCGCGAGTTCCAGACTTAAAAATTATAGTAATGACTTATTTCACTGCCAAAACCTGAACAGAGCGCACAATAAAAAGGTTTTTAACTGAAGGGGACGTAAATCAAGAATTGTTGAGTGGATCTGAGACGGTTGAACTAATCAGAAATAGACTACAGAAGAGAACTCTGTTTTGCCTGGACCATTTCCAAAAGCCAAGACCACATTTCCTTACATACATACAGAAACTAACCAGTCATTTACAGTGTTTTTGTTATTGTTAAATGTTATTGTGAGGATACATTTCAGCTGGAAATACCATTCATATTTCTGGTTGACACAAACACCTTTCACCTTTTATAACTCCCCCCCGTAGGGATTAAAAAAGTTTTGTTTTTTTAGTCTCTGCTGTTGTTGCAGGATAAACTGTGGGGTTACCCCTCCAGCTGTAGATTTGAGTTTGATATTCCATTTGATCCAACAGCTGGCCTACTTTGCCTTGTTACTTGTGTGTTTTTGCAGTTTTACTAGAGGAGGCACAAGATTAGAAAACCGTCTTGTGACACTGCGTTAGAGATGCATAATATACAAATGGGTACTATTGCAATTGAGACATGCTTCTTGTACTGAATTTGATATGTTAGCATCCAAGGAAGTGCACAGCTATATGGGACGCATAACAGTGATGACATGCTGAACCATCACAGTCTGACATGTACCTTGACCTCTTTTGTACCGACACGTGTTTTCACAGAATGATTCAGTCAATGAAATTACTAAGTCGTGATTCAACAGTGTTTGACAAATCTTGATTCATCTTCCAATAATGATAGTGAAATACATCTGTGTTCCCTGTGCATGGGGACATTCAGATTGTTACACCGTGCTCATTTGAACTTGAAGCTTTGTTCGTTATTTAAGATCAGGGTAGTGTGGGATTTCAAAGAACGGAGCTGTAAAAGTGTCAAGGTTAGCTCTGTGTAAATAAATATTGTTGACTTTTCAGCTGCATGGCTTTCTATAAAGGTACAGTATGTTAGTGTGCCCTAATCGGAGCCCAGCCATGTAGCTCCAAGCAATACCTTTCCCACGTTACAACATAGTACTTTCTTTTCTTAACATACCTCTAAAAGCCTAGGTATTAAAAATTTAATGAATTAAATTATTTTTTTCAAAAACAAATAAAACTAATGTCATGCAGTGCTGCACACATTGTGCAAGCAATTGTATAGAACATGCCAGTATAACAGACAATGGTGAAATAAAATCACAACTTGATTACATGTTGTTAATGCAGACTCAGAATTTTGTTTTAGAACTCTATTTTCTTAGCCTAGTTCAATTTTTCACTTTTTTTTATTGAGAAACTGACTCTTGATCTGCGTTCATGAAAATAAATGAAGGAAGTTGCTGTACTACTTTGAGAAGATTTGGTTAGCAGAGAGAATTTAAGTTAGACTGAATGATGTGCTACATTGGCCCCCAGTCTTTGAGTAAACATACAGTGGATATAAAAAGTCTACACACCCTTATTGAAATTGCGGGTTTTGGTGATGTAAAGCCAGAAATCAAGATAAATCATGTCAGACATTGTTTCCATCTTTAATGTGATCCTGCAACCAACAAAATTCAAGAGAAAAACAAATAGATAATTATTAGGAAAAATAATTGAAATTAAAAAACCTACAACACCCTGTTTGCATAAGTGTGCCCCCCCCCCAACTAATACTTTGTGGAAGAACCTTTTGCTTTTACTACAGCAGTAAGTCTTTATGTGAATAAGTCTCCATCAACTTTTCAAAACTGGACTTTGCAGTTTTATCACACTCTTCCTTGCAAAAAAGTTCAAGCTCCTTCAAATTGCCAGAGGATCGCCTGTGCACAGCCCTCTTTAGGTCATTCCACAGGTTTTCTATGGGATTGAGGTCTGGGCTCTGACTGGGCCATTCCAAGACTTTGATCTTCATTTTCTGAAGCCATTCCTTGGTTGACATGGATGTTTGCTTTGGGTCGTTATCATGTTGGAATGTGAAATTCCTCTTCATCTTCAGCTTTCTGACAGAGGCCAGCAGGGTTTGTCTCAAAATATTTTGATATTTGGAGCTAGTCCTTATCCCATTTGTCTTGACTAGAGCCCCTGTCCCAGCTGAAGAGAAGCAGCCCCAAAGCATGATGCTGCCACCACCATGCTTCACAGTAGGTATGGTGTTCTTTGGACGATGAGCTGTGTTGTCTTTGCGCTAAAGATATCTTTTAGAATTAAGGACAAAAAGTTCAACCTTTGTCTCATCAGACCATATGGTTTGGGGTGAGAAAAAGTTATCAAACCTAAAAAAGTTACCAAAGTTTAGATGGGCTTAGATGTTCTTTTTGTGAGAAATGGCTTCTGTCTTGCCACCCCACCCTGTAGCCCAGACGTGCAGAATATGGGAGATTCTTGTCACATGCAAAGAGTGACCAGTACCTGCCAGAAAGTCCTGCAGCTCCTCTAATGTTCCTGTAGGCCTCTTGGTAGCCTCCCTGATAGGTTTTCTCGTAGCCCTGTCATCAACTTTGGAGGGTCATCCTGATCTTGGCAATGTCCCTGTGGTGCCACATTTTCTCCACTTGTTGATGATAGTCTTCACAGTGCTCCATGGTACATCCAATGCCTTTGATATTCTTTTATACTCCTCTCCTGATTGGTACCTTTCAACAGTAAAATCCCGTAGATGTTTTGTCAGCTCCTTGTGGACCATGGCTATTCTAGTAGGATGCAACCACGAAAGTTTCAAGGAAATCCTACAGGAAGAGCTGATTTTTATTTAATCAGAATCACTTTCATTGATGGCAGGTGTATGCTACTTACCTTGGAAATGATTTTGAATGTGATTGGTTAACTCAGCTACAGCTCCCATTATAAAAGGGTGTGCACATTTGTGCAACCAGGGTCTTTTAGGTTTTTTAATTTAATTGTTTTTCCAAATAATTATCTATTTGTTTTTCTCTTGAATTTTGTTGGTTGCAAGGTCACATTACAGATGGGGAAAAATGTCTGACATGATTTATCTTGATTTCTGGTTTTACGTCACAATAACCTGCAGTTTCAATAAGGGTGTGTAGACTTTTTATATCCACTGTAGTTCTGGGCAGATACGTTCGAAAACTCCCCCTTCATCATGATTTCAAATAAATTCACTAGGGGAAGCTCTTTGACACTAGTCCCTAAGTTAAGTTAAAACCTTGTCCCAGTCCCCAGTCCTAGGATTAAGACATTTCGAGAGACTGGGAACTATGTGTGGTCTATGCCGCTGTTCAAATTTGAACAGTTTAATACATACTGTACAGCAATGAGGAAACTCTCATAAATATGTCCTTAATAAAGTTGAACAATGAGTGTGTTTTGCTCTGACAAATAACTGTAGCTTTACATGCTTTAGCCACTGATTTGTGTTTAGGAAAGACTACACTATAAACATTTACAATAAATAGACATAACTGTGTTCAGAGAAATCAATATGCTTAATGTGAGTGCACACTGATAAACTGATATATCAGCCCCATCCAGTTGCATATCTTTTCCTAGTTAAAGGAGGACACACTGGGCTGTAATTGCAACTGGACATCAGTCTGTTGAGGGATGTGAAGGTATTAATTAATGTAGGGTTACAATGAAGAAAAAATATGTTGTACTCTCAGTGGTCTGAACATAGTGTGTCTCCATGTGTATTGGGATTCTACCATATAGCCTTAATTTGGCTACAGTTTTCTTAATGTAATGTAGTATTTGTATTTTTGCTGAAAAATGGAACTGTTTTCATTTCCTTGCTTTCCTGCCCGTTCTTTGCAGCAACATAAGTATTGTTTAAAAACACCTCTGTGACTTTCAGGGAGCGCAAAGGTGCAGTAAAAGAATTTAAGCAGATTCTAAGGACTTGAGGTCAAGGTTCATACCTAGATAGGTGGTCTTCAAGTCTCCGATGAATTTAAATGAAGATTTCGCATGTACACGCCTGGACTGGGGCGAGGCGGTGTGAAAAAGTCCTCACGTGTTTTTCTGTTTGAGTGGTTAAAAATACATGGCGGGCAATAGTCCCAGCTTTCATTTGACTTGCCTTGGTCAGGTCATTTTAATTGGAATCCACTTTTCCTTGTTTTATTTTGATATACGTAAATGGTCATGTTTGGTCATTAAAGGTGAGGAAGGAGGTTTGTGGGAAGATACTGTGAAGGAAAGAGTTCTAGCTGTTTTTCTGGAAGTCATTGCAGAGCAACTGTTGCCACATGACACGATGAAACATGTTTATTTATAAAATGACTAAATTAGAAACACTTTTCTGCATTGCTACTTGTGTATAAGAAACACATGGTTTGTATGGCACATGTCTTAAAACTGTTATTAACCACTGTTAAAACTCCTTGAAGGTCCTTGAATCTTAATGGTCAGTAAGTATCCAGTGCCGGATCTAAGCAGCTCCTAGTTCATCCTCTGTTTTCGTGGGCTAAAAAACACCCTTCTCCTGTCTTTGCATCTTGCTCTGAAGTGTGGAAAAACATACTACAGACAAACTGCCCTGTGCAGGATGGATAATCTCACAAAGATTATGTTAGAAAGATAAACAGTTCTGACCCTATTACAACCTTTAAATCGCGAATTATCAAATTAATTTCAAGATGTTTTTAAAATACGTTTGACTGTAAAGCTTCTTCTTGAGCTTCTCTTTTTACTTTCTTGGTTCTTCAGCTTTGAAGGTTTTTATGGAAAATTAGTTCGTCTGAGCATATCGGCCATACTTCTCAAGTAACGGGCTGTTTAAGTATTTTATAATGAAGGTATTTTGACAGAAATTTGAAATAACTTTGGAGTGTTTATGTTAAGACCTTTTTGAGAAGTTAGTGTTTTTAAGTGCTTAGCTGTGATGGTGCGAATATGATACATCGCCTGCTTTGTCGACATAAGACGTTTTTAAACTTCGATGTCAGCAGATAGGAAATGCATATGATTTCTGACAAAATTCTCAGATATGAGGTAATTCAAGGAATAAGCAGATGAAAAAATCAATCAGTCAAAGATTTTACTTTTGAAGTAAAATGTATCGGGCAGCAGGGAGGCGCAGGGGTCTGTGATGCTGCCTAGCCTTTGGGCCCTGCTTAGAGTTTGTATGCTCTCCCCATATTCAGTTAGGTTTCGTTCACAGGCCAAAGGCATACTGGTAGGTTAATTGGGTCATGGTAATACTGGCCGTGGTATGAGTGTCTGTGTGCCCTGGAGTGGACTTGTGTCCAAAAGGTGTCCTGCCTTATGCCAACTGCTTCCAGGGATAGGTGCTGGCTCCCCTGCGACTCTGATGGATGAAATGTATTGCAGGAAATGCAAGAAGAGAATTTGTTTTTTTATGCCAACAGGCCTAGTTGGATATCCATGTCACATGTTGGGACTGTCCTGCTGCATTCTTAGAATTCTGTAAAGGGATGACTGCCATAAAGGCATGTCATTTTTCTTTTAATTTAATATAGCAATTAAGTTAATTTACATCCCTTTTACACTTATTCCTTTTGGTAAGTAATCAGATCCATGCTTTTACTGAGAAGTTTTAAGGCATCGTTTGACTGTAAGATGGAATCTCAGAGAAATTTCTGAATAGAAGTGCATCCAGTCGATGTTTTTCAAGGGGAGTCCTGTCCATGGATTCATGCATGAGAGTACAGGAACACATTTACAATTGGACTGCCACCAATAACTGCTTGTTGTAGGCTTTTATTTATGTAGCTGTATGTTAGTGCTTATATTTAAGTGAAGCCTGGTAGATATGTCTAAACAGTTTTAGTTTTTTTTTATATTGCAGTACATTAGACTCAAAATCTCTGCACCAGAAGCTCCTAGACATATATTAAAAGCTTGCTGTTGTTAAGAAAACTATCTGGAAAGTAGAGGGAGTCTTTGTAGTGTTGTGATTGTTTACTTAATGCTGGAGAGACTGCACTTTAAATAGAGTGTAAGGCAGCAACAAAACCTTAAGTGTAGACGACTGGCCTGATATTTGGACAAATAAGGCATTGTTCCAGTGACTTGGAACTGCTGCTGCTCTCTGCACATTCTCCAGCATCTCCCAGTCGTCTCTGCTTTCTTCTGTGCAACTCTATTTTATCTGTTTGACCCCTTGGTAACCCCCTTAATGTGTCTTTACCAGTAATCTACTGTAGAGTTTTAACCTTATTGGTTACCCCTCTGTCTGTAAATGACTTTATAGCTGGTGTTGGCTGTTTGTATTCATAGTTCTTTAGATTATACACTTGAGTTAATTTGTACAAAATCAGGGCTGTACTGAGCATGAAGAAACATATTCCTTTATTTGCGCGTGTATAATTTTAGAAAAATGCAGCGTATGGATTTTAACGATGAAATGTTTTTGCCATCATTTTCATTAATTGATCACTCGTGACGGCCCATGATAGAGTAGTGATTCTGACTGTTGCATGAGTACTAAGTCTCCTCATTAGAGGTGGGCTTAGGTGATGATGTGCTTTAACCCATTAAATGTCAAGCCTGGCCAAAATCAAGGAGGAAATAAAAGAGGAAACGCTATCTCACTTATCATGAAACAATGCTCTTGTGTCATCAGTGGGCTGGAGGCTGGAACTCATCAGCTCAGTTGGACTCACCAGTAGTGGAGCCATGTCATCTTTAGAGATAAATCAAAGTGTTTTCCAGACCCCCCTGATGCACGTCAGAGAGTGTGGCACAGATGTGAGGAACAATAAGCCAATTGATTGTGCACAGCAGAGCAGTCTATGGGGACGGACAGGAGTGATGGTTTGGGCAGGAGTGGCTCATCACTGCAGAACATTATCAAGTCCTTGGACCTCTCACTGCCCTTCCTGTATCCTGTATCCTGACGTCATAACATTCCAGCAGGACGACACACATCCTCATGCTGCTCGTAAAAGAGCAGCTATCTTGCGAGGCGAAAGTGTGACAGTTGTGCCCTGGGCACCCTGCTCTCCTGACTGTACATCTGGGGGAAGAGCTGGGATGACACATGACTTCTGGGCCTTGGGGATCCAGTACACCGACACTGTCCAGGCACTGTAAGAGGAATGGTACACACTGGGGAAAACATCCTGGTGAAAAGCATGTTTCACAGATGTACTACTGCAGCGGCCACAAGGTACTCACCTGTGGAATGCATGGCAGACAACCGTGTTAATGACAAATGCTAATCAGCACCAGTTAAATTTACTTATGTCATACCTGTTAAATAAATCATAATAAGCCATTTCATCTGCTGCAAAAAAAGATCGCAATTTTCCTGACAATGCTTAATGAAACTTGTGGTTAGTTTTACATTCCTGTGCCAGTTTGGACAATGTATTGCTGGATTTTGTTTGAATATTGTATAGCCTGAGAAAATCCCTCGGCATTGTATGAAACATCTATTTGTGTTGTCATGTTTCTTAGTGTGTACATTTGTTTTAGGTTTTAAACAAACCTAAAGTTGGGATCTGTATTTTTTCTTCATGTGTTATAGGACCCCGGAACAAGTTGCCTACCCATGTTTTCAAAGTTGATACCATGGGTTTTTTTTAAATAATGGATGGGTGCCATGCTTGATCAATTATCTACTTGTAATCCAATTAGATAAGCCAGTTGCCAGCTCTCTTTTGCAAACATTCTGGTAGTCGGTGGCATAAGCCTGTTGATATAATTATTTCACACTACTTGGTCTGTCAGATTTCTAGTTCATTTTTTTTTAGATGAGATAATAATGTGTACACTCTTCTGTTTCTCTACAGATATAAAAAAACCACCTGTGGCACCTAAACCTAAGATCGTAGAATCCCAGAAGGCATTTCCACCCCCTGTTGCACCCAAACCGGACATTGTTCTTTCCCACACTGCTCCTGCACTGAAGAAAGCCAAGCCAGCTGTTGCACCCAAACCATTGTTTTCTAAAAGTGCCTGTGTCCCTGAAACAAAACCCGTCATCTTGAAGAACGCATCCAGGATCTTCCCTGACGAGAAGACCAAACTCTCTGAAGATCTGGGCCTCCTTAACTCAAAAAATGGCCTGCAGACAGAGCTTAATAAGCTTAACTCAAACTACATCATAACAACTTGTACGTGCACTGTGGACTGCAGATCCAAATGCAAACACACTGAAAACTGCAAAACTGACTTTGTCATTGATCAATTGGAAAAGCTAGAAGCTTTGCAAAATGGTAGACTGGACGGTGTACAGGTTTCACCTGCTCCCAGGGCTAGAACTAAACATGACACCAGCCATGAAAAGATTGGGAGCAAGAGTCAGGTGGTGCTGAACGCAAGCCTTCTGGAGCACAAGCTCAAGAACGTTTTGGTTCAGGCTGTGTCGCCTAATAATCACCACCTTAAGTTCAAATCTCAGGAAAGAGCAACTGCTCAGAAATGTAAGGCAGGCAATTTAGATTTGGACCAAACGTCAAATGCAGGTGGAAGTGCTGCTGAATTGGGAGAGAAATGTTCGAATTCTGAAGAATCACAAAGAGAGACAGGTGGCCTTGATTCCCACAGTACAATAACCCTTTCCAATGAGCCTCAATCTCAGAATATTCCCGGTCCTATGGAAAGCTTTGTCAGTTCCACTAAGGGCACATGTAAACCCAACAACGAGAGCAGCGTATCACATAACACATTCATTTCCTCACCAGCACCTAAGAAACCTCTTCCAATCCCCATGCCAAGAAAGTCAAAAAAATCTGGACTGGTGAGGCAGGACTGCGTTGAAAGTAATGTGCATAGTGTGGATGGACATATTGAAATGCTAAACATGGAGCCAGAAGGAGTATGTCTTAAGAGCAGTCCATTTAAGTCTCCAAAAGTTTGCATTCATACTCAGAGTGTCTCGTATTCTAGAAACCTCAGTGAAAGTCATGAAAATGCAGGATCCTCCCAAGGATGTGATACAGGTGAGAACTTAGAAATACCTCTTCCGGTGAGTGGAAGTTTCCTTGCAGGAGAACTGAGCAAAACGCCCCACTTTTGTGGTGACGTTTCTGGAGAGACGGAAATGGGGGAACAAAGTAAGTCCACTGCAGGTTTGGAAAGCGAAAACGGTGAGAAGAGCGCCAAGGGCGTCGTCTCTTCCGTGGAGAAAACATCTGTGGCTGAGGTGGACTTTAAATCGGAAAAATCGCCAAAAGTTGCCCCAAAGAAACCCCAGAGGCACAGTTTGTCTGCATCTGGACTGCTGAAGAAAGAGCTCTTGGAGGAGCTGACCGTCAGGAGCCCCTGCGCGGAAGACGTGGAGAGTGGTGTGCCTGATGGAGACTGTCCACAGACAGAGGAGCTAGGTCCCTCTGCCGAAAGCGACCGGAAAAGGGAGCTACCAGCAGAAAAACCAGTCTGGAAGCTTCCTCGCCCTATTGTCCCTTTATTCGGAAAGCCCGAAGCTTTAAAAACTGGGAGGCAGAGCGTCATGCACAGCAAAGTACCCACCCTGTGTCTTGGCAAACCCAGGGCAAAGTCCTTCTCATCGGCGGACCTGGAACGGACTGAGGGTTTATCCAAGGATGGTCAAAAGAGATCCTCTTTCCGGAAGCTGCTAGAATTGAAGCTTTCAGTGAAAAAGCTCCCCAGGTTCTTGGCCAAGAGCAGTCAGTCACTGGACTGCACCTCAGTCACGACAGATCCTCCAGCGTATGGTGAATGGAGCAGCAGCAAAGAAAACAGCCCTGTGCTCCCGAAGCACGGGTTTGTAACAAATGGCCAATGCGAAACTCCCATCAGTGTGAACAGCAAACTTGATTTGGCAGATGAACCCAAGGCATCTTGTTCGAAGAGTCCGGAAGAAGGAAGTTTGTATTGTACGTCCTTCCCGAAACAGGACTGTGCTGTCGAATATGAAAACCTGCCTCTTTATGAAGAAATTCCTGAATACATGAATTTACCTTTCCTAATGGCCTCAGGATTACGTAATTCTGAATCCCCAGCTTTTGGCTGGCAAAATTCCTCAAGTGTGGAGGATGAAGAGGCAGATCTTTATGAGGTTCAGGAGCCATATCTACCCTACCAGAAATACAGAACTCACATGCGGACGAACACATATGAGAGGTATGTATGACACACTTGCATTAACGCGTTTTATTCAAAGACTTGTAAATTGTATTTAGTAACGTCCTGTACATGTGACAATTCTATATATTGGCAACATCTTTCGTTACAAAACTGGTATTCCAGAGAACCTTCCTACGAACTATGCGACAAATGTAATGAGATAGTTCAGTTGTAGAGCAAGTGTGAGAAAAAGATGGGTTTCACCTGCAGTGGCTGCATGCCATTCTCAGATTTAATGGGAGAAATAAAAGTTTATTCCATGTTGAGAAGGAAAGAAACACAACGTTTCAGCTGTCGAGACTTCTTCAGGCGACACCCTTACTTGTTTCTTTGCAGCCTACACATGCTGACGCAGCTGCCTGCTTGAGCTACATTCTCAGGGTGATTTATAGTTCAGCCTCTGTCCTGTTTTATTATGGGGACAGTTTTTACACATGTGGATGGCAAAGTTCTGCAGAACAGGAGCAGGTAAAGGTATGTTTTGTGCCGAAAACTAGACAGTAGAGAATAGTTTTATTCATTTTCTTCTCTTCAGGACCGAATTGACCTTGACTTGTTAGATTGGAGTTAGGAAAAGTAAAAATATGTTGTGGCTCCCCGTTCTGTCCTCTTCTACACTATATGACCTGTAACGCATTGCTTGAATGACATATCTTAATTAAGCGTGTAGTTTTCCAGTAAAACTGGAAAACTTCTTTTTAAAGAAAGTTAGTTTTTGAAAATCTCAGGGATTGTGTACTAAACAAATCAGAAATCTGTTAACAAATGATCTAGGGTTTTTTGAGAAACTAGTTTGAGAAACTTTAAATGATATATGTACTCTTTTATATGTTCATGAGTATTGTAAGATGTAGTTCTGCGATTTGGAGGAGTAACAAATGCAAAAGTTATTTTCTGGTGTTGCCCAGTGTTGATCAGATTGACAGCAGCACTGTTGGAAGGTCTGGCCTATGCACAGTTATTTTGTTAAAACACTTAATAAACTCTTGTTGTATATGTATTGCAATAGAAAAGCCACTTATGCTTTTCTTATACTCATCTCGTGCCACAATTGGCATTTGGTTTGTCCTCTGTCAAATGAGTTGAGCCTTTGTTTGCCAGTTTTGAACAAGAAAAGCTGAATTCCTCACTCTTTCTGATGGCTTGGTTCTGTGAATGTTCTGATTCCTTTTAACTTTGCATTTTGTTGGAAAACCTAGTGTTTTATGGTCACTTTGTAATTGTGTGGGTGGTCGGGAGTGTTATAGTGAAAATGGTATGTACTGTAGGTAATATTCTTACAAATATACTGCATTAATATAAAATGCTTCCTTCTGACCTATTTTATTGCAACAGTTGTGTGAAGCTTTTCTTTCAAAAAGTAAAATGGGCTCATTGGCTCCTGGTGAAATGAAAATATGAAACCGCAAAAGAGAAGCTCTAAAGGATTTGGGTGTCTTGTAGATGCAGAATAAACAAGGTACTGTACAATTCTGTGTGTTTGGAAAAGTTAAGTTAAAAACAAAACAAAACGGTAACACCGGACTTCTCAGTTAGAAAATAGGGTTGCTACAGCCTGCGTTTGAAACTACTGTAAAACAGAACTGGCTGCTCAACTCTTGCAGGACTTCCACCTTACAGATCGCGTTGGTAGTGAAGACGATGAAAGGGGCATTCATACAGCTGTAGAACTGCCTTTTCCTGTGGGTTATTTTCAGCGGCCGGGCAGGAAATGTTTGAATAACGTGAGCTTGATTAAATTTTCTGGGAAACTAAACCTTTCGTATACTCTCTTTGGTATACTTCTTTCAGCCTTGCCCTAAAAATCTTTTCTGAAGAAATGAATTTATCGGGGTGCAGAGCTGTACCCCCCCAACCTACCCTGCCCTCCCTTCTGTATTCTTAAATTGCAGAAGTTATGGGCCTCTTAGTTATTCTGTGATACCTAAGAAAGGGCTAGTGGGACATCTTTCATCACCAATTATGAGATGTTGTTGGTCAATGGCCAGGTTTCAAATGTTGTAATTTTGCTATAATACCTATATATAGGTATATATACGCCTATATTTGGCTATAAATGTTGTAATTTGCCATAGTACCAGGTAACTAGTTTTGGTTCCCAGATGGGTCAGTTCCATGTGTAGGTGTATGTCCTCATGTTTAAAAAACAGTAGCAGGGTCAAGATCTGAGGTGTAGTCTGAAGATCGACAAATTGACCAAGATTAAGATAAACTTGTTAGCATGTTTAGTGAGAAAAAGGCTTCAAAGTGAAAATACTGAATTTTATCTCTCTATACATCTCTATACCTTGGAGACTGAACCAACATATGATACTTTTAACCCCAGCTTATAATATAAGATTAACCTTGAATAGTTTTATGATGTAAGTATATAAAACATGTAATTTATTTCCAATAAATGTTATTAGTTGTGTCATCCCACTTGCTATGACAGAAATGTGAATGACATTCATGAATACCATGTGTCTTCCTTTCATTGCATTCCAGGGATTTCAGTACTTTTTATTCCAAATGAAAAAAAAAGGGTTTGAATGTAATGGTTTGGTTCATGACTACATCAGTGGACTGTTAAATCTCTATACACCTACACATTTGTGCTCCTAGGAATCTGCCTTTCTTTCACTTTCCAATATGAGGCTTTCTGCTCTGTTGCTCCAAGGCTGGGGAATAATCTCCCGATCCATATTTTGGGTTTATATTGCAAGTCAGTCAGCGCTCTCAAATCCTGTCTAAAAACTGATTTGTCTCAAAATACCTTGAGCATAAGGCTTATTATTGTCCTTGTTATCGGAAGGTTGCGTTTCATCTGATCTACCTATTCACTGTGTTAATTGAAACAAAAAAAGCTGGACTAATACTTTTGAGCTGTGATGCTAATGACCACAACAATGTGTCCTTGTTTGCTCATCTCTGAAGACTAACAAGTGCCCATTGTGAGTTATGGGCTACACTTGAAAACAAAGACTTCCTGTTTCTCATCGGTTAAGTTTGGCGAAAATGTTTCCATCAAAGGGTAATAGACTAAATTGTCATTTGTAAATTAACAATTTATGAAAGTACTTCCTTGTGGCACTTCCCTTGGTAGTTCTCTTGCCTTGTATACTGTTTATCTGTGTGTGCCGCATATCACTTATTTGAAAAAATCCTTTGCAAAACAATTTGATTTGTCAAAGTTTCCTTTTCTTTCATATAAATAAGCAACTTCTTTGCTTGTGCACTTGCAGTATTTCCTCTGAACTTTTCTGATGGAGGCCAAGTCCTGATAATAAGTTTTGAAACCTGGGCTGTTTATTTTGAACTTCGCCCGCCAGTATTTATATTTAGGCTACTTTTTTGATGTGCTTCATAGATTATCACTCTGTTTCCTTGAGCATTTCAGGGGGGTGTTGTTGTGTGTTAGGATTTTAAATAAGGAGTTGGGATTTGCTTCTGGTACATCATAGAATCTGAAGAGCCATCATCTCTCTGTATCTCCTCACAGTTGTGCATGGCTTGTGTAAAGCTTGAAAACACCTTATCTTGGTCAGATGGCATCTCCTCTCTCTGAAGCTGGAATAATCCTACAAATCTTCTTTAGTGCTTCCCAGAAGGCAGGCTTTGTACCTACAGTTCCTGCCAGACAGGCAGATGGCCAGCTGCCTTGGCATGTCTACTTCACACTGTACTGAACGCACCTGGCTGCCAACCAAACCCATTATCCACTTAGCCTTCTCGAGTGCTGTGTGTGAACACCAGTGCTGGGCTGATTGTTCCATGTTGGGGCACAACATTCCTTGAAGAAGTGAGCAAATTGGGGCTACAGGGATTGGTTTTACACTCCTGTGTTGATTTGATTATTGTTGTGATGCAGTGAAGGGAAGCCATTTTCTGTTCCCCTTGGTTTGAAATATGCAGTGCGAGATCTGAGGGGGCCTGAATCTTATCTTTTTTTGTGTTTATGCACACTGGATTTATTTCCTTATTTCTTTAGAGAACCCTTTTGCTGCCAGCTGTAAGATGTTCACGGGCCTCCCTGACAGCGTTCAGTCCCAGAGGTGCCTGGTGAGCCCACAGTGTCCCATCTCTCAGTTAGCCTAAACCCACACAAGCCCAGCAGCTCTCAGCTGGTTGTGCTTGGCCGCCTGTGAGCTCCCAGCCATGGTTCTCTAGAGTTGTAACCTGGATTTGACCCGGAAGGCCTACACAATTCCTGATTTTATGCACAGGGCACTTGGGAGTCCATGAAACACATCCTTGCATCTCTCAAACTCTTTTTTTTAAATAAAAGAACAAACAGTCCTGCAGCAGATACATAGTTGGAAAATAGTTAAATTGATTAAAAAAACATGTAGATAGAGACTTTATTGATCCCGTGAGGGAAATTGCAGAAATTTAAAATGTAAAATTGTAAAAGGTTAGATTGTATTACCATCACAAATGTAGATTTGGAAAGGAAATAGGCATCATCAGTGGTTCCCAAATAAAAGAAAATGCTCTTACATTTATAAAAGTTCAATAGGAATTGTGTTATTTATGTTTATGTTTCACCCGGTTTTGTTTCGCACTGGAAGTATAAGGGAATGCAGATCTTGTAAAATACATCAATATTTGTTTATTTTTGTACAGAATTAAAAAAAATAATTACCACAGAAATGCCTTAAGAAGCTTTTTTAACATTAAACAAATTCCAAACTAAAAACAGCTTTGGCGTGGATTAAGTCAGAACATTGTCGGTGACTCAGACCTATAGATTGGTGGGAGCTTTGTTTTTTTTTTTCTAGAAGCATCATCCTTTTACACCCTAGTTTCACTGTGCTACTAGACTGCAACTGTCCAGTCCTGGGGGACTGGCTTTAAAGTTTTTATATAATCTTCAAATTTATTGAATATTTTTACTTCACCTGAATTAATGACATGGCCAAGTCTGTTGATAAGGTGCGTATAAGTAACTGGCACACTGTAAACTTTGTGTGCTAACGTGGTGCCCTGCATTCTTGGTATAGTATGACTGACTTGCCTAAAATGGTTTGCATTTATTCCACAGGTTTATGGCAACACAGCTTGAGTTTTGTTTGCTTCAGCCTTTCTCATCTCAAACATAATTTGTCACCACTTTAAAAAGCAGAATGGAATTTACAGTCCAGTATCCCTGTTGAACCTTTTTGTGTAAAGATCATTAGCTCCATGTCCGCTTAAATTAACTTGAATGTTGTTTATACTTTCATTTCTTCACCAAAAATGAAAGGGAATGTTGACTACATAAAAACCCACAGCTGTGCAGGCTTCATGGTGTCTTAAAATAAAATTGACTTATAAGCATTAACCTGGCCTGCTTTTGTCCACTTGGCATCTAGATGATTTGCACAAATTTCCTAATCCCAGATTCCAGGTTCTTGCATTCCCCAAGAACATCAAGGACATGTGAAGAAATAGCCAGAAGTGAGGACACTGAACACAGGGTTATGTGAATGATTGTTCCAGTTAAGAGCCTTTGAGGTGATTTTTTTTTTTTACAGCAAAGCAAAAACATCACCCATCATCCATAACGCCCTGGTTTTGTGGCAGGAGGCCAGAATCTGCACACTCGGTGTTCAAGATGGGACTGTACCATTGTGTGGACAGCCAGTGCCAGTGTGCCAAGTGTCAACAACATCGTTGTTACGTTTCTGTGGTCTTTGTACTAGAGTCTGTTAACTTGTGATGGGCCACAATATTGATTATTTTAACAGCTGTTCTGGCTTCATTCGTTTGGCAGCACTAGTGGAATGTGCTCAGCTGTGTTTCAGGTTGTGTCAACTTTTTCATGCTACAATGGTGGCAGCAGTTTCCGTCCCCAAATGACTGAAAAGAACAGTGAGGTTTTTGTTACAGAAACAGGCTTCAGTAAAACCATGTGAAATAACACAGAAGAAATCCTCCATTTAATCTGAGAAAAGTCCGTTTGCTAGACTTGCCATTGAGATAATTGTGAAGATCAGAATGCCAGAGCAAGAAAGGGAGATTATTTGGTAGACGTCTGTACAGTTTGAACCGAGGTGTGAAAAATGTGCTTTATATTTTTTTACTAATGTAAAACTATTCCTATTCTGTGCGAAAGAACATGCTTTGTTGCCCTTCAAGAAGATTCCCTTTCTATTAAGAACTCGCAGGGCTTCAGGAAGCATATAGTATTTAAAATAATGCAGCGTTTCTCCAGTCTGTTTCATGCGTTTCTGTGTTTAAACGTGTATAATTATCCTCTCAAGTGGTGCTTCTGCGTATCGCTGTACTGCATATTTGTCTCTTGCTCCTATGACTTTGTGTGTGCTTCGGCTCGTTTCCGCAGGGAAGAGTGACCAGGCTTTCCTGTTTTTTTTTTTCTTCTGACAGGCCCTCCCTAGATCAGGACCTTGGACTGGAAAATGAGCACTCTGAAGAAGAGGAAGTCGTAAATAGCTCCGACGAAGATGACAACAGCTCTTCGTCCAGTAAAGGAGACCTTAACTTGTCAGGGGACAGACAGGTGCTTGCCTCTTGCCTCTCAGAGTCTTATTTCCTCAAATCTTTCACGGCTGGAGTGTGAAGGAATTTATAGTTCGTTCAGCTTACAATGCAGGAGTAATTCACCGTCATGTTAACCTATGTTTGTGGACTTTCTGGGAGATTGTGTGTAATTTCTGGGATATTATTTCGTTTTAGAGATGTGTGTTCCTATTAGAAAACAGTTTCATAGTCTGTTTAAAAAAACCTTTTTAACGCTTAAATTTGTATTGGCTTTCTTACTGGTCAAATTGGTCTTTGACACAACGAGCAAAACCAAAACTGAGAACCGTGTTGTTGTAGTGAAGGGGGGAATTTTCAAAAGATGGAGGGAGAGGAATTAAAGAGGTTACTCTAGGGAATGGCAAACTAATTACTATTCGTGATTATTAGTTGGTCTTGACAAACATCCAGAGTAGCTGCTTGTAGCAGCTGAATGATAGAATTTTGTTTCTGGACCAGTGAGTTTGAGAAACTGGTCAGCTTCCCACGAAAGTGCTTCTCAGGCCTGGATTACTGCCCTCTCCTCAGACTGGCAGAGAGGAAAATTGTCTCCCATGTCTTTTGGTAATGCGAGTGGTTTTTCCACTAACAGAGGGAGTATTTGTGCCTCTGAAATGTTTCTACTTTAAATTTGATTTTTGGGGTAAAATGGCCTTTTTAGACCCATTTTGAAAGCTTTTGTTCTCTCCCCCCCCAGAGTATGTATTGTATATGTATTCAAAGCAATACATTGTGTCACTATCAGTGAGCACACATTGACATAGTACCTATGCTGGTAGTATCAAGACCGTACATAAAAAGTATAAAAAGGCCATGCTCTTAGTTTTTTCCTCGCTCCGGTTTGTCAGATTGCCTGCCACTCGACCCATTCTGCGAGTGTGCCAGAGACTTGTCCTGAAGCTGTCGTGTCTGTGCTATTCTTAAAACAGAATAAAACAGCGCTGTTGTGAATGGATAATGGGAGGTTGCCTCATCATTGAGCTTTTGCAGTGCATTAAAATAACTGAACTGAATAGATACCTTAAAATGAACACTTAAGCGGGTTTGTTGTTGTTGAAAGTTTAACTCATCAGAATTGCCCTGTTGCCTTTGGAGAAGAGTACTCTTAAATAAGTTACCGGTAGTCTAATGAAGAACTCAGGCATCGGTTTCCAGTGTCTAATTTTCAGCTGACTGGGTTATTTAGAAATGTCATGTTACTTTTCATTTTGCAGTTCTTTTACTCAGCACACTTCTGTGGAAATAAAAAGAAGTGCCAGCCTTTCTTTTTTAAGGCAGATGTTTTTTTTTATGCTTAAGTCTTACAAACACAACCCGTTTTTTGAGTTGATGGGCTAACACTTGTTGCTTGCATTTTCCATTTATTTCATTTATTATTGATGGATAGAGTAATGTGTACGTTATGTCTCAGTTTGCTCTAGTGTTTGTGTTTGTGATTTTACTGGGCCGAGATCCAGCGCAGACGGCTCTGGAGAATCACCTGTGCAGAGAAGAGGTTGGGTTCTGTGGAATCCCACATTGCTTGTTTGAATCTGAGCTGTATTTTTAGTTGCCTGTGGCAAGGAGGCCCTAAGGGATGGCACACAGTTGGCTGTGCACTGCTGAAATTACTTTCACTTCGGCTTGCTAAGCTAGATTACCCCTGTAGTCTACTGGGGGTTTCAGAGCTTGCTGTGTTATGTCTTTTTAAAGCCTGAGATTCTCTTTGCTGGCACTCTGAGCTTGTGTTATGAAAAGGAGCAGAAGACCTGAAAGTAGAGACACTTTTCAGGGGGCATGTACAGAATACTGCCTTCAATCAGTCTTTTACTGGTTTAAGAAAATAGTGCTGCTGTGTTTTAATTGAATTTCTGGAGATTGTAAACTTATTTTTGACAAGATAATGTACTGAGGTTTGCTTTTGACATTATTTGTGATAACAGTGATGATGTGTGGTTTTGAAGCGGTTTATGACTTAAACTCTAGACAGATCAGCTGATAAGCAATCCATGCTGGCTGGTACTGAAGGATGGGAGACCTTTAAGCAAAATCAGGTTGCTGCTGTGTTGAAGATCAGTGGGTGGCATTCTTCACTGAAGACCAGAAATTATATTTCAGTGGCCACGTACAGTGATTGTAGACACTGCTGTGTTGTGCTGTATGAACTGTTGTCCTTGTCCCAAGAAACCTTGGTCCCGACTACTCATGAGTAGGGATGATACTTGTGCTGTCATGACTATATTCTACCATGGGCTTCCATAGTCTCGCTTCTCCACTGTAGTAGATGCACTGTAGCGCATGTCATCCAGTTAGGTGCTACATTGCACTGATGGGTGACTTGGGTTCCTTCCTGTGACGCATTGGGATAGAAAGTGAAGTTGGTCTTATTCTGATGTGTGAAGGGTTTCGCAATCCTTTTGGGATGAAACGTCCCGCACAAATGCAGGTCATTCTTAATAATAATAATAATTATTGCTTACACTTATTTAGCACTTTACAGGTAATGGGGACTCCCCTCCACCACCACGATGTGGTGGATGATCCGACGGCAGCCATAGTGCACCAGAAAGCTCACCACACATCAGCTATCAGTGTGAAGGAGAGCAGAGTAATGAAGCCAATTCATAGATGGGGACTATAAGGAGGCCATGATTGGTAAGGGCCAATGGGAAATTTGACCAGGACGCCGGGGTTACACCCCTAATCTTTTCGAGAAACGCCCTGGGATTTTAAATGACCACAGAGAGTCCGGACCTCGGTTTTATGTCTCATCCGAAGGTCGGCGCTTGTTTACAGTACTGACCAGGCTCACACCTGCTGAGCTTCAGTGGGCTGCCTGTTGTGAGTTGCAGGGTGTTATGGCTGCTGGCCTCTTCTTTTTCTTATTACTACCGACAGTAAAATGCATTGGATGCCCTGCAAACAACAACTGAGAAACTACATTCCAGGAGATCTGCACGAGTCCTTTCATTTTAAAAAGCTAAAGGTTGATATAAAATACAAGAGAGCCTCCAGCCTTGTGTGTCTGGAGTTGTGCAGGTCCTGCTCAGCTGCATGAAGTGCTCGGGCCCGAGCCGTCAGACGCCAGAGCTGTTACAGGGTGACAGTGCTCTTATTTCAGCGCCTGCCTGGTGTTGGGGAGAGCGCTGTCTCTCCTGACAAGGAGTCCCACACTCCCTCAGCGCAGCTCCCCTGGACAGGACACTTCGCACGCTGACCTTTCCAGCCGCTCCATCTAGGTCTCCTGCACGTTAGGGGCTAAACTGGGATTTTCTTTTTTCCTCAGAGGGAAATGGTGGGCTTTAGTGACTTTGTGAGTTGGCTTTGTGTTTAATTTAAGGCGTCATTCGGCCTTTTTTTCCCCCCATACATAGGGGTCGTGTGTGTTCAGCGCTCTATTTTTTTTCTCCATTGCAGCATGACGGAGGGGTCAAGCAGACCAAGGTGGTCCACATTGCCAAGGAAATCATGAGCTCTGAGAAAGTGTGAGTGGCGATTTATTTTATTAACATTTTTCCAATATCTTGGTCGAAACTCCCATCTTATTATGTTTTTTTTCTTTTGCTCCAAAAACAGATTTGTGGATGTCCTGAAACTCCTCCATATTGTAAGTATGTTTATTCATTGTGTGTTATATGTTGCCTTGTTTGGAACACATTTTTTGTCTGGTGTATTCTCTAGTTCTCAGACATTTAGAAGAAATCCTTCTTCCTGCTTCCTAGCACAATCCAAAGAACATATTCAGCTGCTTGCTAGGGTTGTGCTGAGGGGAAATAAATGAATGGTAGGGAGATTTGCATATAATAGCACTTTGCAAGATGTTTTTAAGGGACTATGGAAAGCAGAAATGAAAAACAAAACATTAGAATCCAGTCCATTGGAATATTTTGCCTGTTTTGTTTGAAAAAAAGTTGTAGGTGGGCTACAGATCTCAGAAGCACAGTAACCATGTTATTTGCAGACATTAAATTAATATGTTTCACAATCTTTCTATGAAGTGTGTAAATATTGAGCACACTGAAAGAAATGGGTTTTATTAAGATAAGCTCACCAAACAAGAAACCCTACGTTTTTAACATCCAGTTAAAAATGAAAGTGTTTAAACTGCCAGTGGTCTTGGAACAAACTCTGTATATGTAGGTCTTAAATTATAAATGTTTCATTCAGGGCCCTCATACGTAATCTGAATAGGAGCCAAAGCAGTGTAAAAATATCCTTTTGTTGAAAGGTGGCGATATCTGAGCTGAATGCTCTGGAGACCTGACAGGTGCTGTGAAATTACCATGGGTTTCAGCATTGACAGATGTAGGGTAGAATTCTTAATAGCGGTACTACTTCTGCTTTGTTGTTTTATTTTTAACAAAAAGCCCAGACCATAAAATCATACAGGCATCACGATGTGGTGTCAAATATAACCTAGCACATGCTCTGTTTACAATAAATGAAAGTGCTCTGGAGTGCTGTTTAGTGCAGTTTTCTGAACCATGACATGATTTTTAGGGGAGGGTCTCAAAGCAACTGTGCCTTTCTATTTCTGGGTTATGACTTGATATGAATGGTAGGCAGTTATGCACCCAAGGCCAAGGTGAACTTGACAAATCCTGATTCCTCAGCAGCAGCAGGAGACAGCCTTATGTACTAAATGTTTTTAAAAATTTAAAAAAAAATTTTCAGCATGGATTTCACCAGCAGATTGTGCATTTTCTAGCCTCTTGTCGGTGATAACAATGGCACATTGTTGATTCACGTCGTTGCAGTTGTTGAAATTTAAAAGCATAGAATGAGTTGAAATCCCTTTAAATGCAATATACCAAGGAATCAAGGAATGAACCAGACAATGGACTGTGAAGTCTAGCAAATAAAAGTGCTTGGGTAATCCTGAACAAGACTTGGAAGAGTTAGCTTTCTTTAGGGCATGTCAGTCCAGGCTGCAGGCTGGAAAACCTATCCCGTTTTTCTGTATGCAGTTGCAACAAGTATTTTTAATGTATGAACACTACAAAACAGACATTTTCGTTTTCCACTGTTAGCTGAAAATAAACAGTTGGAAATGCGCGTAGTCATTTGTTTAATCACACTTGCTTTTCGTCACTGGGCTGTACCAGTTAATAAACAGAAAAACTATTATGGTGTAGGTGAGACTAAGGAGTTGTGTCTCACTTGCTCATTACTTTTACTTCTTTCTAAGAAATTGCAAATACTATTGCAGCTCATAAAGCCCACTCTGTTTAATTAGGCTTTTTTTACAGACCACAGACTGTGGTATTAATTCTCATAAAGCCTCTTTTATTTTGACACACCTTATGTTTGGTCCCTTAGCAATAGTCATTAACTGAGCCTTTAATTTGTATTGTTCCGACTTTGATGTTTTTGTTCTCTCGCTGAAGGAGGTTAATTCGTATGCGTTTTATCTAACAGCTGGAAGCTCAGTCTCCGGAACCCCACCCCCTGTTTCAACCTTTTTTTTTAGAAGGTTTTTAGAAGGAAGTGTTTAAGCAGAGTCAAATGTTGTTGTTTTTTTAATGTGCTTTCAGTTTTTTGTTTATATTATGTGGCAGCAGTGATTTTTTTTTTGCATGCCACAAATGGGGGTTCTGTAATAAATGTACAAGCGCTGTGATTTCTTACTATCTAACCATCAGAACTTCATGTTTGGAAAGGAGAGGAGTCTGGCCCATGGAGCTCATTTGGTTGCTAGTTGCTGTTTGATTCATCCATTTTTTTAAAGAAGCGATGGGATCAGCTTTGAAAATATGACAGGGAAGCTTGTTTCAGCCTCCCACAACCTTTTGTGTAAAAAGAAAATGCCTCCTTTATCCACCCTTTTTTATGAATGGGTGCTACATGAGAAAATTTCCAGACAATAGGTATTACCGTTCCTTCCTTATTTATTAAACAGGCTTATCTATAAAACTTGCAAAGGGTTTAACTTCAATTTATTTTGTTTTGATGTAGATCAGGCTGTTGAGTGCGTTAAACATTGTATGTGGCAGGAAAACTTTAAAAATGAATGCTTGGGAAGGAAATAGAAGACATTCAGTGCAATTTCAAATGGAAAAAGTTTGTGTTTAAGGCACATGACTGGTGTGACAGTTGCCGTCATGGTCACGGCAAGCTGCTATTTTGGTTGCCTTGCACTTACAGAGGGGGGAAATCTTGCAAAATTTCTTCCTCAAAATTATATTTCTTCCTTTTTTCCTCGAAATTATATGTTAGCAGCAGGGTCATTCAAATTTGATTCCAGCTTGATTACTCAGTGAGGAACTGGGAAGGAAAAGCAGTAGTGTAACTAACCTCTTTGCTACTGTACCTACCCGCATGGATGGCTGATTTTTCACTGATGTCAATTCAATACATCAAAGGGTATTTTGTATAGGCAGGGAAGCTTTGGAACTGTGGGACTTAATCGTTAGTCAAGGTCTGTTAAATTTTAACTGAGTAAAAAATAAGAATACAGTTTGAACAAAGTATGGTTGCAAAGGTGAAAAATTAGTATCATGTCCTATGTAATCACTTTCATAGTTTACTGATCTATTTTGCTTTATTTGTAAATGTTTATTGCTTAACGGTTACTTAAAAATGTGAACATTAATGAAAGCTGTCCAGAGGTAACCACCTTTATGTTCGTGTTTTCATTTACCCCTTGGTTGCTTTAGTTAATAGTTTTTTAATTGTTTGAAAAAGGTCCTGCACTCGCTGGCTAAAAGAACTGAACCTGTTCAGTGTTGAATAGAAAAGGCTAGGAGTAGACCTAATGTATGTGTTCAGAATTCTCAAAGGCACCGACCCAGCCAACCCAACGGCCTCCTCCAAACTCGGCTGAGGAGAGAAGTGAGAATCAGATGGAAATATGTTTAAAACCAAGAACAGGGGGGCCAAGAACTTCCTTATGCAAAGGATTGTGGGTCTGCTTTTATGAAAGGGCTAGATGAGATACTCGGATGAGTTATCTGCTAACATGCTTAATGGCCTCATTGTGTCGTCCTATGCTCTTATGAACAAAGACGCGTGGGGGTACGCAGGTCCTCAGCAGTGCCGACTGGCATACCTTGGGGTGTAGGTGCAGCTCTTGCCTTCCACAAGCCAGCAGGCCCGTCTTCACGTTTGTTCATGTTGCGGTAATGTTCTTGTGCTAGCCAATGTAATAATTACCTCAGGCAGAAGTATTTGATTAGAAAAAAATGCAGCACCAAGTCAAAACATGAAAAGGCCAGCCAGTGAAGTTTTACACCATACTATTTATGTGTTTTTAAACCAGTTCAGTCACGTGATATTATATGTGAACACATCAGTGATCTCAGGCTCACAGAGTACTTTTTATGGAAAAGGTTAAGGACCAGTAAGGATTTTTTTCACTTGAGGTTTTTCATTATAGAGTGGTACAGAGGCTTATTCAGTACTACAGTTATTTCTAAATATGTACTCTGAATTTCTTGAAGTCTGGGAGATTGTTTTCCTCAAAACAATGGTTAGCTTATGTACATTGGCCATTGCATTTATTTGATTCCTTTTTTTTGCATGCTGTTTAAGAATTATTTTGTTGATTTGCTTGATATTCCATTAACTTTTTTTGTGCTAAGTCAGTGGTGTTGGAAGGCGTGTTCTATCTAAAACTATATGCTGTAAGTAAAGAATAGTTTTCATATATATTAAAATGTGAGTTTAGTAGATAATAGCTTCTTTTCAAATGCAAAGTAGATTTGCCTAGCGTATTTAGATACCTTCAACGTCATCTGCTAGCAGGCATGAGATGACAGGTTTGATGGCACTCACAAATCACAAATGAAACACATATGAAAACTGTTGTTGTCCATATGCTGCTGAAGGTTCTCTCTGTACTTTTCAAACTGTACCAATTGACACAGAAAAAGCACATGCCTTCTTTGTTTGCATATATGTTTCAGCGATTGCTTGCACATATGAGATAAGGTTAAGAACAGCTAACAAGATATGTGGGCAAGGACATCTTTGTCACTACAGACCTGTAAAGTTGGCTCTAAAAATCACGATGCTTACCTCCTTAGCTGGTGTCTGGGAAAAGTCTCATTTGAATTCTAAGTTTCACAATACTTTGGCAAGTTTACTGAAGGTGGCGAGACAGCAGTGTGGTGTAGTGTGTAGAGATCTGGACTAGAAAGCTGTGGGTTCAGATCCCTTGAGTAGCACTGATATTGCAGCCTTGAGCGAGGTACTGAAGATTGATTCAGTAACATGACAAGCTGTGTTCATGGGGACAAATGGTAAAAACTAATAGAGATAATAACAGAGACTGGAAAAGCACTGAGAAAGAGCGAGAGGCACTAGCTGAACAGCTGGCAGTATGTGGTTTGTCTGTCTGCCCTGTCTGTAGGATTTCCGGGACGCCGTAGCCAAGGCATCCAGGCAGACTGGGAAGGCCGTGATTGAGGAACGCATCCTGAACCAGATCCTGTACTACCTACCACAGCTCTACGAGCTCAACAGGGACCTGCTGCGCGAGCTGGAGGAGAGAGTGGCTCACTGGTACTTGGTGCTTTCTCCCAGTGCTGCAAACGAGTATTCATTCCCTTGAATTCTTGTGTTGTTTTTTTTACTCCCGTGTTCTGCTCTTCGGTCTTGTCAGGAATGACCATCAGAGGATAGCAGACATCTTTGTGAAGAAGGGCCCGTACCTCAAAATGTACTCCACGTACATCCGGGAGTTTAATAAGAATGTCGCCCTGCTGGACGAGCAATGCAAGAAGAATCTTGGCTTTGCCAGTGTTGTGAAAGAATTCGAGGTATCTGGTTTGACCTGTTTGGCAATAGTAACTGGGGTGAGGGGGTGAATTTCCGTTAACATGTGTAACCCCTCAGTTTTACAAGAAATGTAAACCAGGAACATAGTTTCAGGAGACAAGGGGGGAAAAAACTGAAACCCCCGAGTTAGGGAATTTCAGAGCACGTTTTTAAAAAAATGTTATGGGAGGGGATGCACTTCAAACTACAGAAGCTTTGATTGTAATTCTCAGTCTTTTGTTTTCAGATGAGTCCTCGTTGTGCGAGCCTGGCACTCAAGCATTATCTGCTGAAGCCTGTGCAAAGAATTCCACAGTACCAGCTTCTGCTCACAGGTACTGATAAGTGAGAGGAACGAGGAACAGGCTCACAAACAGGGTTCTTTGTTTCCTGTTTCTGGCACTTGTCTGTAGTGCCGCAATAACTGCCGAAGGGTTCAATGTAGGTTGGGCCAGTACACGTCCTTTCTGATTTATAATAATAAAAACAAGGTTTGGTTTAAAATTGCTGATACTGTACGTTAAAAGTTCTTTTCACCCAAGTGTAATAATGTCTGGCCAGCAGCCATATCACCCTGTAATTGACAATTGGCCATCCACTGAAGCTAACCATGTCTGAACCTGGTCAGTACCTGGATGGGAGACCTCCTGGGATAAACTAAGGTTGCTGCTAGAAGAGGTGTTAGAGGGGCCAGTAGGGGGCGTTCACCCTGCTTTCTGTGTGGGTCGTCATGCCCCAATATAGTGATGGGGACAATATACTGTAAAAAGGTGCTGTCCCTCGGATTAAATGTAAAACCAAGGTCCTGACTGTTATTAAAAAAAATCCCAGGGTGTTTCTCAAAAACGGTAGGGGTGTTAACCAAGCATCCTGGCTAAATTTCCCATTGGCCTTTACCAATCGTGGCTTCCTAGTAATCCCCATCTCTGAACTGGCTTCATCACTCTGTTCTCCTCCCCACTGAGAGCTGACGTCTGGTGAGCACACTGTGCCCACTATGGCTGCCGTCACATCATCCAGGTGCACATTGGTGGTGGTGGAGGGGAGTCCCCATTACCTGTAAAGCACTTTGAGTGGAGTGTCCAGAAAAGTGTAAGCAATTATTATAATAAGCCATTGTTTATGGGAGATGTCACAGGACTAAAATTAAATACAAGCAATCTGTATAAAATGATTTAACAGTCTGGTTCAAGTCAGCAGATGAAGAGTTAAAAATCTGTCTGTGCACATTTTTTTTTGCAATACACAGCAAATAACTTCAGAAAAATCAGTTTAGTGAGTGAAAACAACATCGCCGTCTAGAAGGAGTGACAATAAAAGCTGAAACAGACACAGAACATCAACTTCCAGATGTTAAGTGGAACGTTTTGAAGTGACCAAATTTTACATCACAGTCTCGAGTTCTAAATGCAGTGGTTAAATAAACTGACCCACGGGAATTTAGTTTTATTTAAATCGGAGGCACAGCACAAGGGCTCTTTTACTGCAACTTAGGATACAGTATAAATATACTAAATACAGTATATTTAGGCTGTGTACCCACTGACAGCTATTTTGACCCAGGGATTGGAAAGGTGCATTTTAAGATTTGAAATTCAGGATGTGCTCATGGGGCAAAGAAAATATATATTTTTGCACTGTTACCTAACAACTCACAGGAGACTCTGGAGCTGCTTTCATGGGCTTTCTAATTTTGTCCATATTTACTTTAAAAAAAATGCTGTTTTTATACATTAACTGGCTCTTAGAGTAGCTCTTTCATACATGTCTTTACTCCATAGTATGTTCTCATCTGGCCCGAATTGTGCTCGGAGCTGCACTTTTGTCATTTATTTGCTTTTCATTTGTATAGTCAATACAGTGATCATATAGTAGTATTTGCAAATATGTCAGATTTTCCAGAATACAAAATAAGTGTACCAAACTGGCTAAACTAGGTGATGGTGTATTGGGATTACATAACTTTGGTATTTGTTAAATTGCCTTTTTTATGTTTTAAGTAATAGTAGTAGCAACTGGAGGCTTGATCATTTTCAAATTATTTAGCTTGTAATGAGTGAGCATGTTAAAATCTGTCTCTTAGTGCTGTGCACACAGAGTTACAGAACTTGATGGTAATGTGTTTTTGGTCTTGGCTTTTTTCAGGCATGTATTTATCTTGTCAGAATGCTGGTATTTGAACGTCTGACTTTTTTCCCTTGTTGCATTGTTCCACCTCACCATACAATCAGATTCTGCTCACCTGTCTCAGGGCAGTCTAAACAGAATCTGCTGGAGATTTTACCTGATAGCCGACTGCTTTCTGATTACAGTACAGCGCAGTGAAATATGGTTCTCTAACCTGGCCAGCTCGGTGTTCAAATTACCATCCCTCCTTTCAAGATCCGACTAGATAAAGATCGCCGGATTAATTAGCAATGTAAAACCAAAAACGATAATTGTGTAGAATGGCTTCTTCTCATTTATAAATTTCCCTTTTCTTTTTCACTTAACCCTGAAGGAGTGGTGATGCCCGTATATATTTAACATTTTTATTATGTATACTTCTTTTCAGTATGCATTTTTTGCAGTGCTTCATTATAAGGAGCATTTGTAGGAAAACTGAGCATTAGAAGTGGATTTACTAGGAATCCTTGAGAGATGCTCACCGAGAAGGCATTGATGTGAGGCCATCACAGGGCAGTCTTTGTTTGAAGTTTCAAAATATGCAGTATTGCATTTCATATACAATATTATTATAACTACAGTGACCTCTGCTTTGAGCTGAATTATTTCAGGAGAAATGAGTACATCACTCCTAATGCAAATTGCAGCATTGCAGCAGGACAGACTATGATCCATTTAAAGTACAAAAATATGCAAAAGTAAGAAGACAAATCTGTGAGAAATAATATGAATATCTAAAAACGTTTCTGTCCTATTTTGTTGCTTAAAATGAAGTTTGGTCATTCTTGTGTTGGTAGAGGCTAAAAAACATCAGAACTCACATTCACCATCATAATAAAAGCTTTGTAATTTGGTTCCATACAGTATGTTGCACTTTTTGTAGCAGCATTTCTGTAAAGTGTAAATAGTTCTGCACCTAATTGAAATCAATATGAAAACTGTAATTTTCATCTTAAGAAATTAAATTATTTACAGTAGTTTGCTGTAGTTTTGAACAAGTGGGACTTCTACTGAATATATACTGTAACATATACCCTTCCCTAATATTCCCATGGCACTATTTAAAAGAGTAGGAGTGTTAATTCATCCTGGCAGTAGTGTGGGGCAGGGGGCAGTGTTCTGCACTTGTAACTGGAAGGTTCTGGGTTCAAATCTCAGGTGAAACACTGCTGTTGTGTCCTTGAGGAAGATGCTTCACCTGAATTGTTCAAACAAAGTGACCAGCTCTGTAAATGGGTAAAAATGTATAATGTGTAAAAATGTATGGATAAACAACTCACCCAAATGAATTAGTGACAATACAGTACATTCCACTGTGGGTTTAAATTATCCGACCTACTGAAAGGACCCCTTTTTTAATTGGTGGAGCAGTTTCTCACTTCTCCAGCTGATCTGCTTTTAGTGAGGCTACAGGGGCACAGACATGGGAGCTGCACTATATCACATAAATTCTATTCAATATAACTATTAATTATTATCTAAATTTATCATATATATTATCTAAAAATGTTAATTACAACACAGTACTTGAATGGGTTTTAAGGCAAAGGAAGTAATTCACTCGCTTAAAAAAAACTGCTGCTCAGATTCCTCAACTGGGAATCTGGCGGAAGTGCAGTGTTTTCTGAACAGGTTTATACAGTACGTCTTGGCACGTTATTACTAATGTCACCACATAGTTGTCATTTGCCAGGAAATGGGGCCGTTGTGTAGCCGCTATCTAGGCGTTAATCCTCCGAGTGACACTGCTGCCACCTAGGGGAGATAGGGGGGAAGTGCAAGTGTAAATGCGCTTTCAAAATGAAAATATATGTAAAAGCACGAATTTATGTAACACGGTACAGGGTTGTCATTCCTGTCTGTTAGACCTAAAAGTTAAATTGAGAGTTTTAACATTAACAGTAGCCTCTTTTTGATAGTAGAACTGCATCTTTCTTTTACAGATTATTTAAAGAATCTTTCGGAAGATTCCTTCGATTACAAAGACACGCAAGGTAAGAGGATCTTTGATTTCATTAGCCCATTTGAATACTTTTTGTTTTTGATAGGTTTAATTGACTATTTAGAGGTCTCAAACACATTTCCTGGGGGACCTCATGACTTCTGATTATTCTTCCAACCTAGTTAGTCAATTAACCAATTAACCTTATTGTTTTTTAATTTATGATTTTTCTTTTGTTCCTTTACATCTGAATTCCTGAGGTATTCACTTTAATAAAGAAATTTACCTATACTTCATATACTCATTAGAAGTATTACACTTATGCAGCTAATTAACTGATTAGACCACCTATATAACTGTGAGTTAAAATGACTGGAACAAAAACCAGAAGACACTAGTTTTTGGTCTACCCACGTTCACAGTTACATAGCTTTAAAATCAGTATTGAGGGTGACGTTGGTTTTCTTTGAACACAGCTGCTCTGGGCATTGTCATCGAGGTGGCCAACCATGCAAATGACATCATGAAACAAGGGGTAAGTTATTGCAAACTTACCTGCCTCCACTTCTTAGTTTTGCACTTTTTTCTGCTTGCATGGATTGAAAACTGAAAAATTCTAATGAACAAATTAGAATTAAATTAAAGCTGTATGACTGAACCTGATCCCCCCCCCTCCTTCCTCCAACAGGACAACTTCCAGAAGCTAATGCAGATCCAGTACAGTTTGAATGGTCATCATGAAATCGTCCAGCCAGGCAGGGTGAGCATGAACAACCCAGGCGGGAGGTATACTGCACGTCCAGCGTTTTCTTCATGGGTTTTGGAACATCCCCAGTTGTCATGTTTGCTCTTTCAGCCATTGAGAAATGGGGCTAGAAACTAGCGTGTGAGTGTCACTCAAGCACAGAGATTGGCTCGTTAGAGGCGCATGTCTCTCTGACTGCGGGGCAGGCTGAGTTACTCCCCGTGGCAGCCAAGTCAAGGTCTCCTCTCTCCTCTTCGGCTGAGCAGGTCTTCCTCAAGGAAGGGACCCTGATGAAGCTCTCGCGGAAGGTCATGCAGCCACGGACGTTTTTTCTGGTGAGGCCCCATTTCAGCTTTTGTGAGAAATATTCCCTCCTCCCCGCCAGTCTATAAATACACAGCACAGGGAATAATCCTGGATGCAAACAAACGGGAACAGATCGCACATCACCCCTTGATTAATGGCGGTTTTGAGAGAACGAAATGTTGCCCGGGAGAGGATTATGTTGACAGTGTCATTGTTTGCCAGGAGACCCATCGCTTCTGGCGACAGATTGTAGCTCAACTCCTCGTTTCACCCAGTGCTGCTAAGGTGGGAGAAACTGGTACTGTTGACAGGAGAAATGATTGAGAAAGAAAACTCCTGAATTTGGAAAATAGGGATGTACAATCCCTCAGAGTAAATTTGGTGTGTGAAAATACATGAGCAAACGTTTCTTCAAGAACAGTAGGTCACATATTTGAACAAAATGGGCCTGTAGCTGCTTTCCTGAGGAAAGGAAAATTCCCACTTTTTTTCTTTAAATCCTGTAATTACTCCAAGTACTGTTTATCTTTAAGTAAATACTTTCTAGACCCATGTACTACTTTCTGTAACACATATGAGCTTCCAGTATGATAGGTGTCAGTCTGGCTGATCCACGGCAAAGACTAGCAAGGCCCCAATTTCCCTCAGGCAGCCATTGAATCTTATACACCGAAAGACTGGTCTCTGATGCTGGGAGTTGGACTCTCTGGACAACCCTGCAATGTGGCTTCATTATTCTTACCTAAAATAGAGGTCTGATACACTAGCAAGGATGGTTTCAAAAATCATACTCCTTAAAAAACATTTGTTTTGCACGTACGTCTAGTACTGTAAACCAGTTCTAAGAGAAGAATTGAGAGTTTTGGAGGAAGCATGTTTTTATTACGAATTTGATCTGTTTAGAGAGAGAAATTTTGTTTTGGCACATGAGAGGGTGAATGCAGCTGGAGTTCATTAACATCTGAGAGTTTTATTAAAGCAGTGATCAAAGTGGATTCGATGGAAGCCACACCTGATGGTGTATATGAACTCACAAGGGACTTTGGCAGGAATCAAAATTTAGTTATGTAAACCCGGATCTCCTAGTTTCTGTATCCATTTCCTGTCTACTTCAGATTTTTCTGCCCAATCATAATGCAATCTGTTATGATTTTCTTTCCAATTTCAGTTTAATGATACACTACTGTATACCACCCCAGTCCAGTCTGGAATGTATAAACTAAACAGCATGCTTTCATTGGCCGGAATGAAGGTAAGCAGTCATGTATCTTCCTGTTATTTTGCAAGCTTCCACATAAATATTTGTATCACACTTTATTAATAGAGAAGGTTGATGGGTGTTGCTGTCATTTGTCTTTACTGCAAAAGCTGCTTTGTAGAGCTAAGTATTTTATCGTTAAATATGTTATAGTGAAGAATATATCTAAAGTTTTTTTTTATTATTTTACAGTTCTAAAGAAATAAACACTCAGATAGCTGGATATGTACTGAGAGGTATTAAAACTGCAAGAAACGATTTGGGGTCTTGTATTTCCACAGAAATATCTGTTCTGTCACAAATTGCCAGGAATAACAGTTCCCTTCATTTCTAATTGATTAACCAAGCATAAAAAACTCGCCTCAGTCACTTCATTTAGAAACCACATGGTTTTCGAACCTGCAAATGTGTTATGTCCCCCTGTTACTGCACTCGTAACCGGGCACCTGGGTACGAAAAGCTGGGTAAAACATGCATGAGTCACAGCTGGCCCAGATCGCCACAATTACCACATCACTGGAGGGAGGAGTCCATTCGGATGTTGGAGGCATGAGTGTCAGAATCCAGCGTCACCTGAGACTTTGCGGTGCAGGGGTGGACGATATCGACGATGTCGAGAAGTAGGCCCCCTCTGTAGTCGCAGTGCATTCACGTGGGCTCCCAAGACACGGGTGCATCGGGTTGGCTTGCCTGGTGTCAGGATCCAGGACCACGTGCAGGGAGAGCTTCTCCTGGAGTGGGGTGTGATTCCTGGGGAGAAGCAAGTGCCCTGGTCAGGCCTGGTCAGACGGGAGCACTACTAACAGCCGGCAGAGGACATAATAATAATAATAATAATAATAATAATAATAATAATAATAATTGCTTACACTTATATAGCGCTTTTCTGGACATGTCAGGTCTTGAGCCATTCAATAGAACACAGACCCTCTTGGTGTTCATCCTCCTCCATGCAGTCCGTTTTTTTTCTGCCGAAGCCAAAAATATATCTGTTTTGTCCAAGTAGTGTAATTAGAGCTCAGCTCATTTGTTGCTTTCATAATGCCTCCCAGTATACATCTAAACTCCTCAGGAGGGACAGGGACAATTGAAGCTTTTGGTGTAGCCTTGAGTAACCAGTGGCAATAATAGGCGAACTGAATCGATCATCCTGCTGTTATAAAAAACGTGCCTATGGTCTTGGGAATATTTTTCTTGCTCATTTCTTCCTTCTTAGAAGGAATATTTTTTCTCGCGGAGGTGATGGTTCAGGAAGAGTGATTACCTCTCTCAAGCTTAGAAACACATCTCCGATCATGAAGAATAATTTGAAAAGTAGTCATTCAAACTCCACTAAATTCTTCCATTGTAACACATCGATCATTAAGTTAATATCTCCATTAATCTGTGGAATGACACTATTTCTTAACTCTTTGCTGTTATGTTAATGAAGGATAACTGAACTTTTTTTCTATGTCAAAACAGGTTAGCAAACCAACCCAAGAAGCGTACCAGAATGAGCTAAACATAGAAAGTGTGGAGCGCTCCTTTATTCTGTCCGCCAGGTATGCAGGGTGACAGCTGTGTGTTGACTTGCCCAGTGAGAGGCATGCTTTCCATGCTTGCTTAATCTGATCGTATTGCCATGCTCAGTAGGCTGGGGTCAACCTGGCAAGACTGGGGTCTTCAGTAAAAACACCACATAGGATTAGTTTTGTCTGGTCTGGTCCATTCAGTATGTGCAGATGATAAGAAAGAGGATTTTCAGTTTTTATGCTAACAGCAGGTGTGTGGATACAATATACAGTAGTTTTTAGTCTGTTTAATGACCTAACACAGGAAGGGAGGGGGGGGCACAATTAGTTAGCAGTGTTTTAAGAGTACAGTACCCCACAATGTAGGATTGCTTTTTTCCCCCAATATCTTTTATATAATACCATCATAATCTCAAAATGATTGCACTCATAACACTTGTAGCCTTATGCCTGTACTTGAAGCACAGATGGCCTTGCATCTGTAAAAAGTTATTTACATTTAAAATGCTTCTTTTGTTTACAATATGTCCTTGCGATCCTGACATAAGGCATAGACTGCAGGTAGCTACCGGTTCTGTTTTTTGATAACAGGAAGACAAAAAATCATCCAGTTGCTGGTAGAGAGGGCTGGAAATGAGAATTGTACCTTCTATTCTATAAAGAGAGCTCTGCCCGGGGGAATTGGGCAGAGAAAGAAAAAGGAGAGGAAAGAGTTTTCTTCCTCACATGCTGCTGTATGGTGCCTTCATTTAGGTCAAAATAATCGCTGCACCTCTGTAGCAGAGACTCTGATTCTTTTCCCAGTCTCCTGAAGAGAGGCTACCCTCACCCATCTGCCTTCACACAGACTTAGGTTCGATGAGTCATGCTGCTTTTGTCTGTCTATAGTTTACTGGTGGGAGAAGCTTTCACCTCAGTTTAGTTTTCAAGCATTCCAGCGCAAGAGGGGCCAGTGGGCTTCGACAGGTTGCTAGAGCAACCGGAGGGGCCCACACTCCTATGTCAATCCCTTTTTTCTTGCATCTTGAAGATCACTAGAGCCTTTTATGAAAGAGAGCCGATTATGGGAGGAATACAGGAAGACAAACTGGGCACAACCCCAAAGAAAACGTCTTTTGTGAAATGTCAGGGGGTCATTTAGTAATTCATGCCAGCCCCTGCGCCTTGGGTAACCTTTCCATTTCTCTCACCAGGATGTCTGGGCAGGAATGATAACATCTTCAGTTTGTGAGGAAAATACTCTTTGTTGAAAATGCAAGGAGAAAATGAACAAATGCATTAGTGTGCTGACTGGGATATTAATAGGCACAGAGTAGGAGCTATTATTGAAAGAAGTGACTTACGTAACGCTAGCTTAAAACTAGTTTTTTGGCCACTTCTGCTTTGTTTGAAAGAAGCTGTGCCTTTTCATGCTCCTTGAGGAGTTTTCTGAAGCAAGTGCCTCCAAGGTTCTTTACGAAACGTAACTAAATTAATTTTTCCTTTCTTTAATAGTTCTGCTACAGAACGGGATGAGTGGCTGGAAGCTATTTCGAAAGCCATTGACGACTACACCAGGAAGAAAATCAGCTTCTTTAACAGCAAAAGCCTCGAAGAGGTATCGGCAAATCGGTGAACTGCTCTGGGACCTACTATTTCACATAGTTCGGTTTTTAAATGACTAACACCGGTGACCTTTAATTAAGCTGCAACGTGGCAGAAGCATTACTAAAATCAAAACCTAAATGCACACGAAAAATAAATATAAAAAACAATGCCGGAACCACAGCAGGGCTCTGTGTTTAGCACCATACAGACAGTGTCTGCTCTGATCTCCTTAGACGGACTCTGCTCAAGTGGATAGCGGAGCTCCTCTCGGCTCGAAAGCTCCCATCTGGATCCCCGACCTCCGGGCCACCATGTGTATGATCTGCACCTGCGAGTTCACCCTGACCTGGAGGCGGCATCACTGCCGGGCCTGCGGGAAGGTGAGGAATAACCGGGGGTTCGTACCCCTTCACTCCCAACCTCTTCCGGACCCTTTGTCAATTTCCGCATGTGTGGCGGACCGCCACGTGTGTCTAGGTTTTTTTTTACCCAGTTATATATGGAAATATGATGCTATAAAAAAAAATGGCACTCTGTAGTGTACGCAACTGTGAGATTATAACTTATTTTAAATGTTTGTGAAGCATAGTGGTGCATGTGCGTGACTAGATACTGAGTAACTTAGTAAGACGGCTGGGTGCTATTTCCCTGACATACCTAGTCTATCGCAGTTTAGCTGACTTACCTGAGTGTCAGACTGATGACTGGTTTAGCCCTAAATTCCAATTCCACATCACTTGTTTCCTTAAACTGACCCCCTGTAGTAACTTCACTCCCCACCAGGGGTCCTCAGACCACAGGTTGGGAATCTGCTCTTTTTTGAGGAACTTAGATCATAGGTCATTATTTTTTCTCCCTTCCTGATTGTTCTGTTGGGGGGAAAATGTGACACATTAATTTAAAACTAAAGTGGGCAAAACAACAAGAGGTTCCTTGTGGATTGTCAAGGTTTGCTAGGTAGAAGATGGGTCTAACGATAGACTCAAAGGGCTGAGACAGGACTGAAGAACATACAAAAAGCTAAGTGGAATAGCGGTGTTGCAACCTGTGAGGTAACTTTCTAAGCACTGAAAGTGCCTGGCTGGGAATCACAAGGCCATGATGAAGGACAGCCAAAAACACTGCCTTGTTTGCAATGAACCAGATTGTCCAGGATGAGACACTTAATTGGAATGCTTTCAGGGGTGAGAAAACTTTGAACCAGAGATGGTGGATCATATTTCTTTAGTTATCGCAGTGCTGCAGATGCCACAGAAGCATTATATAAAATGTTTACGCATGACTTCTTAAGAATCCATTTCAGCGTAATCTTTAATCTGTATGGGGAAAATAAAAAGCACTCATACTGAGTCTGTGTAAATTAAGAGTAAGGGCCTTGACCCCCACTGGACATGTACAGTTCGGTATGTTTCTTAGGTTGGCCATTTTTTACCTTTTGGCTTCCTTTGCTTTAAAGTATTTTAAAACCCAGGATACATATTACTGGCTGGAGAAATTACCAACTGAGGATTCAGTGTGAAGAAAACCTTTTCTCTTTCAACATACTGTAGCCCTATCTCATCTCTCTATTTAAGCCGCGCCTCCACTCGTGCTAAGAAATTCATCTCGGACCCCTCTCTTTCAGCTTCTCCCTCCTGGAAAACGTTTAAAATCCTTCCTCTCAAGGACTGCCCGCTTCAACCTCAGCCTCTTTCCCACGGCCATACGAGCTCTGAATTCACGTTGAACTCTGAATTCCATTGTGTAATTTTTGCTGCTGCACGGAAAGTTGTTTACATATGTATGTGACGATGTTTGTCTGTCTTCTGTCCTATTTAAATTTGTACTGTGTATGTTGTATGTATGTCTCATCTGTGTTCTTGCTGTACCAATAAGCAATTTCCACCAACTATTGTTGTGTGGCAATAAAGAATAATTAATCTGCTGTGCTTTTGAACTGGTACTAATGTGATGTCTGTTCTGCGTGTGTTTGTGTGTTAGGTCGTGTGCCAGTCCTGCTCCTTGAACAAGCACAGGCTTGAGTACCTGAAGAATCAGCCTGCCAGAGTGTGTGACCAGTGCTTCAGCAAGCTTCAGCAGCATAGTATGGGCTCTTCTGTTTTTCTATGTGTCAGGAACAGGCACACCACCTAAACATTTCTGAAATCAAACCAATACCTGTTACTTTGCTTCTTTGCTCTGAGAGTCAATAGTTTTGAAACTGCATTGAAATGGAAATAGTAGCTGCAGGTTATGATGCCGCTAACATGACTGTGGCAAGGGATGTGAGAGAAGGTATACTGTAAATATGTTGCGTAAATAATATCAATACTAGAATTAGTTAAAAATTAAGAGTAAAATGAATGTATTAAAGGATCTTTAAAATATTAATCTCCCAGCATAAATGGTGCAGAAAAACATTTTAGTGACTACGACCCAGGACGGACTGTAATAAATCCTGTGCTGAATTTTTGGAGGTGAGAGTCATCCAAGAAATTGTAAATTATTTTTTGTTGGTTTTTACCTGAAAGTGGTGAGAAAGGATTCCCACAAAGTGTGTTATAATATTATGCCAATTTATTTTATTATAATCTTACCTACTAATTTAAAATGGACATCTGTTTTGTCCACACAAAACTAAAATTTCTTGGTAATTAGTGCATGTACTGTATATAGCATTAATATACAATAGATTTTTAAGTCATTGGTTTAATTTAATACGTTCATACTGCAGATTTCTGGTAAGCAGTGGGTGTTGTTCGTTGTCTGCCTTTTGGCTTTGCAAGCCTGAAAGTTACTTTTTGAATGGTCTCATTTCACAAACGATCTCTGATCTGATGATTGGTGTTCAGTACCATTAACTCATTGTGTAGAGAGGGCACAACGACTGGCTCTGTGACCTCCAGAGGTTTCTTTTCTCCCACTGGGAGTTTTTGTCTGTGTCTCCTCTATTCTCACATGGGCAACTGTTGCTGTACAATATCTACACCTGGTTCATAATTCTATGATAGTGTCTACGTGTCTGAGCTCTGCAGCGATGCCCGACCCTGCCGGGCACTACCACCACTCTCTAGAGGCGGTAGTTCTAGGTATATATCGACCACACGCTAATGCACTGGTCTTTGAATCGAACGACCAGCAGCCTCTGGTGGTCATGCCGAAGCCCTGTTTCTATGGTCCTCACAGATAGGAAATCTCTACTGAGACCAGCAATCAAGTGGGACTGACTGAAAATGTTATTGAGTAAATATGTTAAAGGAGTGATGTTATTTTAAAACGAGAGATTTGTCTATTTATGATTATCTGTGCTTACGTGGTAAAAATTAAAAAATCTTTGATGCTTTTATTTTTTTTTATTATGGCTTCATTTATAAGCCTTCTAAAGGTATTTATATATTAATATTTGAGTACTTTTTTCTGTCAGTGGGTGCCTTTTTCCCTCTATTTGTATGTCTTTGTTTTGTCTTGTCATTTACAGTAATTAAAAAAGAGTGTTGGGGAAAAAAATATAATAATGCTGTGATATTATTCTGTTACATAATGTGTGAAGCTCTTGGTACCAAAAAGTTGCAAAGGACGATATAACAAAAATAAATATTGACTTTTCTTTATTAGTTAGTGCTGTTTAACACTTTGAAAGGTTTTCTGTATTATCGTTAAATGGTGGAACAGATAATATGATTAATTATTCTCTTCTCTTAGACAATCAAGCACTGCCTACGGGATTCTCCCCTACCTGCAAAACCTCTCCAGGTGCCTTCTCTTCAGTTCTGATTAGCATTCCTTCAGGCCGAAAGCAGAAGAAGATTCCTGCGGCTCTCAAGGAAGTAAGTGTGATCTTACCGTCAAAGCTGGAGCCTGGGGCCCATCAGGTTATTCAACAAGTATAGCTCCTGTAGGAAAGGTTACAAACAAGAGGAAGCCATCTGGCCCATCTGTGATCACAGGTTCAAGTCTGGATCATGTCAGTAGCCAACTGTGACCAGATTTCTCCAAGAGGAAGTGCAGGATTGGCTGAGCGCCGACAAGGGTGGAGCAGGATAAGTCGGCTAGGGTTCCCTTGGCATCCAGCAAGATGAAAACTCCTGCTGGCCTGCAGTCATGACTGCTGTCTGTGAGAAACGCACCTCTCCTCCCATCAAGTTCAAGTTTTTGTCATTCCAACTAGAAACAAGTATACAGAGGAGCGAGATATCTTTCTCCTGGTCTAAAGTGCGAACACAGACAACACAATGCTGTAGACAATGTAGACATAGACATTTCTGACAGGGTACAAGTGTGTACATAGTGCAATTTACTTTTTACCAGACCCAGATTAGCCACTGCGTCCGTGCGCGCCGCCATCTTTACCAGTGCTGAACTGCTGGTACAGGACAGTGGAGCCCATGTTCTGAAGGACAAAGTGACTCAAATGGGGGCTGGACATAAGATTGTGCCTACACTGCCTTATTCTCCCCAGTTTGTAGAGTTCATAGCTGAGAGACCAGACATGAAAACACACATTTGGCTATTCCAAAATGGGTGGGTCTCAATGTTTTAATTTAAAAAATGGTACAGCCCCCCTCCATCTTTCACCCTCTGATAGATCAGATTTGCCCATTTCATGTCTGATTTTGAGCTTCAGTCGCAGAAGCCTTCTGTTTTGTTTTTAATTTATGAGATCTCATATAAACCTACACATGTCTGTGTCCATGATTGCTTTCAGGTGACTGCAAACACTGAGAACTCTTCCATCAGTGGCTACTTGTACAGGTCTAAGGGACACAAGAAACAGTGGAAGCGGTTGTGGTTCGTCATCAAGAACAAAGTTCTCTATACATACGCTGCTAGTGAGGTAAGTCTCATAGGGTGACACTGCAGATCTGTGTGTATTCACTCTTGCATAAAATGGTGGACGAGTTTTTACATTGCTGTAGCTGAATGCCACATTCCACATCTAGGTTAATAGTTTTTTAGCTTCACCCCTACATAAGTGGAATGAATGTTTACTTGGCTTATGTAGTTTCAGAACTGAGGAGGGCATCCAGTACTGTTCCTGAAGGGCTGAGGTGTCTGCAGGCTTTGAGAATCAGAAAGAGCTGGGGGGAAACTGTTAAATTGCTCCAGTGAAGTCAGTTACCAACTAGTTTAGTTCATTTAGTTCATTAGTTCATCCTCCTGGACCAATAGGATTAGACACTGCTCATATAAAGATACATCTGTCTCTGCCTTTGGTCAAGTTAGCAGCTTTTTGGACTTTGTACTGCTGACTTTGATTTGTACGAAGTTGATCGTTTTAACCAAAATGTAATGGTTTAAACACAATTAAAAAGCTTTTGTGCTTCTGTTATTGGAAACAACTTTATTTCAGGAAAGGAAAAACTTTCTTACAGGGGAACTGCAGTCCCAATATATCAGACTGGTTATTAAATCTTGTTAATAAATAAATTATTTGACATTATAGAAAAGTTTTATGATTTCTGAATTAAGCATAAAATTGGAAACTTTCTGAAAATACTGACTACCCCTGGTCTCGCCACGAGCAAGAGTTCACAACAATTGTGAGATGAAGTTGGCCATTCCTGCTCACTTGTCTGAGATCTTTGTCTGACCTACATTCCCCAGAATGCTCATCAGTCACCTAAGCAATAGCTGTAAGAAAATTTGTCAGGCGATAGTTTTAAAAACCAGGAAGCGGAGGCTTTCTGGGATGGTCTGTCTACTGTCTGGGAACAGGGCGGATCCCCTGTTAAGCAATCTGCACTAGAGGAAGAAAGGTAAGGACAGATGAAGCTTCTGACTTCGTATGGAAGTCTCAGAGAGAGACTTTTGTAGTGAAGTGGATATGCAGCTTACTGACTACTGCCTGATTACAGATGGAGGTGGGCTAAAGAAATTAGTCAACAGCTCAAAAAGAAGCCTAACCATTTATTTTGGTATTGCTTTTGAGTTTTCCCTGCACTGTAAATAAACGAGCACTTTTCCTCTTACCTTAGGTCTGCTCTACACTGACATGACTATCAGCATGCTCCGTGGTGCCCTACCAGCAGCAGTGTTGAGTAGCAGACAGAGAAGCCAATGCTCTATAGCCCCTAATCCTAGTGCTGTTCTGTACAGTCTGTGGGCACTGTCTCAAGCAGAGGTTCATTCAGGACAGTTGCATTGCAAAAATGATTTACAAATGCTCTTTCTCCCAGGATGTGGCGGCGCTCGAAAGTCAGCCCTTGCTTGGTTTCCACCTCCGAGAAGAGCAGTCTGGTCACAAGCTCAGGTTTAAACTCTACCACAAGAACACTCTGTTCTACATCTTCAAGGCTGATGACTTTCAGACTGCACAAAAGTATGTTGAACATTTTCCAAGAAACGTTTTTATTTATACGTGGACAAAACCACAAAAAATAGTATGTTTTACCTTTATCTACTGTTACCTCTCAAGAACAATTCAGAATTAAATTAAGTTTTCAGTGCTCTACAGAAGTATTCATGCACTGAACAAATTCAGGTTTGCCATAACAAACAGGTTAATAATACTTGTACAATAAAGGTTGACCCCCGTAAAGGAGATAAATTTGAGTTCCGCTGAAAAGTATTCACTTCACATAAATTGTATACAGCATTTGTAACTCATCGAGTTGGACATCTTTGGTATGGGTGAGTTTTTTCAAGCCATTGTTCGTGAACAATAAAAAATTCCCAGTGTAGGTTAAACTGAATAGGTTTTAAAAATAATTCAAGAATGTGAATTTGGTATGATGACCTTTGGCTTTCTAACTTGGTTATGGTATTATTTGAAAATGATTTTTTCAAAGGCCATGGTGATATAAAGTTGCTGCTGTTGCAAAATTATATACTTACAGTACCATCTTTTTTGTGTCTTTTTTTTTTTGACAGATGGATAGAAGCTTTCCAGGCAGCTACCATCTTATAAAACAAATATGTGACAACACACACAGCAAAGTCATTCATCCTGCGGAGAAAGATACCTGTACTGATGGTGCATTACGTACAGGACTATGTTAGCAGTCCATAAACAGAAGAGGTGGCTACGGGTCATTCGTTTGACTGCATGTCTTCTCTTCACCTTCCATCTGCTTTGCAACATAGGCATTCCAGTGACAATCAGCTCCCTTACTGCTCTTTTTGTAGAGGCATCATGGTTGCTGTGAAGGCCAAAGTTGTATCCTCTGCTGGACACTGTGTCTTGTGCAGATCTTTGACCTTGGAGACCATCTTTCAGGGGTCCAAAGAGGTGCCATGGATTTGATAACATGGCAAAATGCAAGTCCAACACGAAGTGCAATGGGCAGTTAGTCCTTTACACAGCAACAAAAAGGCTAGACAGTATCAAGAAACATGTTTGTGGATGGAGAGCATGAACAAGTTGTGTTTTTGTATAAATGATGCCTTGTCACCTGCTTTAGTTAATAGAAAAAGGGTGTGCATTTCTGAAACACTGTGGTATATGTAAACTTTGATTTGACTTGCAGGTTTGACAACAACATTGGTGGTGTTATCTTTTTCTCATGTTTCTTAGTATGTACATGAGAGAAGACATTCTGGGAATATATACCTGGATGCCTTCACAGTGCGAGAGCATAAAGCCAGACTGTACTTTGAAAGCTCCCCACCACCGTATTAATTCAAATCAGAGTCTACTTTAAGGTAGTCAGCAAAGACACCTGGTTTTAAACCTTTTGCACCATTCTTCATAGGTTAGCGTTACTTTCCGTTCTATCAGTGGTGTAGATGGTAGTGTACATATGTATATTTTTATAGTCTGCAGCGTGAGCTGCTGTTCAGCCTTATTTTTTAAATCTTCTTAGTTGCAGATTTTAAAACGTGGGCCCAGGTGGCTTCCGTGTATATAAAATAAGATATTACGCTGGTGCCATGGAAGGGCTGGATCAAGTTCAGAGATTACATTAAAATGTTTTTGTACTGCTTGTAGCCAAGCTGACAGTGTGCAGGTGGCAATATTGTTTTGTTCACTTCAGACATGCATCCCTCTCAGGAATAGCAAGAAGGTCATGGAGACCTCTTCTCAAATAGGCTTATGTATTTAATATACTTAAGTGTGGGGGAATATTATTTCTACCACCTGAAAGAACCTTGTTCTGCGTGATCATGGAAAAGCCCCATTCTTCATTGATTGTAACTCCACATTCTATGCATAGTAAAACTGTAAACAAAATGGTCCTTTCCTGTTCCATGTAACCATCACATTGAGTTCCCCTTCACTGCTTTTTGTGGGGAAACAACATTTGGGGCCTGGATTGTAAAATATATTCAATCGGAGAGGTTTTCTGTATTTGCAAATATCCGTTCAGGTTTAGAAGTTTCATGTATTAAAATTGGACAAATCCTGAGATGTGCAAGTTACTAAATATGAATATCACTGGTGTTGACACCCTGGCAGTTTTTCAATGTGTAAAAATTCAATAGCATTTTCTTCATTCTACGGACCATTCTGTTAATCACTGTTTTTTACATATCCAAGTGTTGCCTTCTCACTAGTTTTCTAAAATGCAATTATATGCTTATGATTTAAAGAAATCTTGAAATCTGTCATACTACAATTTTAACAACCTGAGAAACAACTGAAGCTGATTTAAACAAATATTGTGTGGATAGTTCCACGGTGTTTCTTTATCTGAGCTCTCAGTAGACATTCAGTTCCTAACTATTCTTACATTAATTTGCACATGTAAATGCTGGTTTAAGGTTGTGTTGTAGTGAGGAGTGTATGCAGAGGGCTAGGCTGAATATACAAACCTTCCAATGAAACAATCCACTGTAATTATCTGTAATGTATTTATATTAATTGCATATTGTAACTTTGAATTTTTATTAGAGTTTACCTTTACTGGTCTGGTCACCATGGTTTGCATTATATGTATAAATAGAATTATTGAAGTCCAGTGCAGAGAGTGAATGGGGAAAAAACACTGTAAATTGTCAGTGCCTTACATGCATCAGTAAAAGTCTTTGTACAAAAACAATATATAAAGTACCAACTTTGAAAACGTATTTGTCTTCACGCAGTCTCCTTTATACTTGCTCCTTTGGTCTAATGTTGAATTTCAGTGCTATACACGAAGAACTGTTTCTTTATTCCATTCCTATTGTGTGTTTGACATTTGTTATGCCATGGATCCATAAGCCTTATTTTAACTCATTCACAATATATATTTTTTTAATTGGAACTGCCAATTATTTTAACAACCACCCAATTGGGAATCAGTATTTGAGATGGGACTCGGGCAGGGACTTCTGCACCCACTGGAGGTGTCATTCTCCTCTGACACCCCCACCTGTAGAGCCATTTGTCCACATGTTGCAGGCTCCACCCTGGAGGGCTCGTGCTGTTTGGAGGAGGGGCAGGTCTCCATGATGTCAATGCATGCCTGCAGGTACCCAGTCAATTGCAGATGTTTATATGGGGAAAGCATCCTTGTCTGATTAAGTAGTCAGTCACTGGTTTTACTTTAAAGAGAACCTAAGGAATAGACTGGGAAAAAAGGAATAAAAAAAAAGTGTTTCCACAACCAAAAATGTTCATTTTAAACCAATGAGAAGATTTTTCAGACTGTATACAGCACCATTTAACTCAATCCTGTAAATAAAGGCATTTGGAGATCTCCAGATCAGATTCAGATGCCAGGTAATGGAATGAATGGATGGAATGTAATTTAGACTAATAAACCATCAACTTACCATAAACTTGTCAATGTGTGCCACAAGAATAACATTCCTCATGTAATAAAAGGGCTGTCCCGTGTTCATCTTCAATTCCTTCTGCCACAATACAACTCCACAAACAATATTAACTTGCAGATAATAATGTATCCATATACATATATACAGGGCTGGTGCAACCCATACTTGGGCCCAGGTCCAAGTAAATACAAAAGCCCCCCCCTCCCCGGCTTCCTTCTCCCTCCACCAGTGCACACAGAGCAGAATTCAAACAGGCTCACATATTGAACTTTATACTTAGCGCCTAGTTATTTAAATGGAAAAAACATGGGCCTACCTTACAACTTGACTCGTCGCAGCAAACTAAGCTATGATATAATTTAAATCCACCTGCCCTGCGGTGGTGCTCTCTATAGAGCTGATGGTTTTTCCTGTAACAGGGTGGACTTTAGATATGTTTTTATAAATTTCAGTTTGCTAAACGAGCATTCAGCACTGGAATTGTTAAAAACACTTGACATGCTATCACTGTTTGGAAACGCATATTTCATCTCTTTGTTGACCAAACACTGCAGTACTTCAGTCAGAGTGTTGACTTCATTGAGGAGCAGAGGAGACAGAAACTTCAATTCAGTTGCCAAATCTCCCCCATGAATGTCTCCTAAAAACAAGTTTCTTGCAGGCTTCAGTTGAATTATCTCTGGTATTTTTTGTCAAACAAAATGCAAAAAGATGGCAGAATTCGCTCAAGAAAGAAAAACATTCTTCTCTCATTGATGACTGTGTCCAGTAAGCAATTGAAAAAGTTCACTTCTGGAAGCAACGTGCCAATGACCAATTGCAAATCATCCGAACAGACGTGTTTTCCAATATATCATTGTGTTTTATTTACTAATATTGCTATTGGATAATACACCGCGTTCCCCGCCCCTGACATACGAACTCTCGTTCGTTTATTTTACGGGTGGTCTTTTCTACCAAAAAAAGCTGTCATTTTAAATTATGTTAGCAACAAGCCCCCCTTAAATCTGGGCCCGGGTGCAGTTGCACCCATTACACCACACCTGTAACGCTTGGCCTGATTATATAGCCCTTTTCTTTCTCAAAGCGCTTTACAGGTAATGGATGATGGAACGGCAGCCATAGTGCGCCAGTACACCACACATCAGCTATCAGTGGGGAGGAGAGCAGAGTGAAGCCAGTTCATAGATGGGGGTTTTTAGGAGGCTGTGAATGGCCGGGACACATGAGTTAACACCAAATCTCTCATTTGGAGAAACACTCTGGGATTTTAAATGGCCCCAGAGAGTCAGGATCTTGGCTTTACATTTCATCTGAAGAACGGCACCTTTTTACAGTGTAGTGTCTCCATCGGCATACTGGGGGATTAAAAGCCACTCAGACTGCATGGTGAGCGCCCCTTACTGGCCCCCAATAACACCTCTTCCAGCAGCAACCTTTAGAGATAAGATAAGATCACTTTATTAGTCATATACAATTTCTTGCATTAGGAATTTGTCTTTTTGCATACCCCAGCTTGCTCTTCATGAGACACACAGACAGGGAGAGAAGCTGGGGGTCAGAGCACAGGGTCAGCCTTAGCCACAGTGCCACTGCTCCAACCATGCCTTTCCTAGATCTCCTACTGAGGTACTGGCCAGGCTCACAGCTGCTTAGCTTCAGTGGGTTGCCAGTTATGAGTTTCAAAGTGATAGAGTTGCTCGTATATAATGATACTTTCTCCGCATACACTTTGAATAAGCATTTGGAAATATGCCTCCGTGGATCTGTTGGGCACAGTGTAAGGTCTGTAAAACAGCGGTGGTGGGCAAACACCAGTCCTCAACGGTCATGGGATATTCTGATTTTCATTCCACTTGAGATTTCTGGTAGTTAATTGGACCAGTTTTTTCTTAAACCGAGTACGTTATGTGTTAATTTAAAAACAAGGTACAGTGCAGACATGTACTGCCTTGGCAGAAGTTACGATTATCTAGAACACAATATCTCACTGTTTCATACAGAAAGAGTTTTTACCATTACTTCATTAAGACCCTTATGATGACAGCATGACACAAATCACAACAAAAAGCCACAGAACGCAAATTAAACACCAAAGCTCACTTTATAATGGTTCAGCAGTATGTCACATTAAAGGTACACAACGTTTTTCTTATAGCTACAGAAGAATCATTATTGTGCAACACGTTATTATTTTAATGGTCGAAAAACGTTTAAATGCGAAAAGCTCACAGAAAATTCAGACTTTTAACCACAGGTTGGTGAAAGAGTACGCACACGCTATAAAACCTTAAAAACTGCGGAATCTACAAAAATAAAATAGGGAAATATATAACACCGACGACGGGGGCTGGCTGGCTTTCGAATACTATGAGACAGATGTAAAAGAAAGCGTTTCCACATTTTTATTCCACAATAAAAAACGATGTTCAGAATTTGCAGCATTTCAAATCATTCCAGTCGGGAGGGAAAATGTTAAATCGTGACGTTGTGGACGCCCTGCCTCCATTGCACGGCCTCGGCGCCAGTGCGCATGCTCGGTAGCAGGCGGCGAAACGTTTGCGCTGTGAGAGGTCACGAACTCTGACCCTCCCTGGAGCTGCAGCTACCAGCAGAAACATACATTTTTATTTTAACATTCTCGGATACAGAAAACGAAACAGCCACACTGGGTAAGATTTTCATTTTTATAAACCGCAAATAAAATAGTGGACTACCTAAAATGCAGCAAAAAGGGAAATCTGTTTTCAAAAGGTAAAAGTGCATTAACTATAAGGGCAGATACATACATAACGACAGCGGAACTGCTCAAAAGGATGTTCTCAGATTTTTGCAAGAAACAAAACGAGGTCTTAGATTTCATTTGACGTATACTTCGCATCTTATGCTTCGGTAAAGTTGCACCCCGTCAAGGGTAAACATCGGCAATATTTGGTGTGGTTATACGGGTTTGCCATTTCCTTATTTTGTAACTAGCGGCTCCTGACTCGAAAATGAAATGAAATGTCCTTTTTTAAAAACAAGCAAGTACAGATTAAAATAAAGTCCAGATCCAAACGAATCGTGTTACGGATTCGGTTTGATTTTTTTGTCTAATTGGAGTTAAATGAAGATTGTGGACTGGCGCCACATCCGAACCCATTACCTCCTGCACGAGCTGCTTTGCCTCTGAACCGACGGAACGGCAACATGCTTTAACCCTTCAATGTTGACCTTTCACCCACAGGAAAAAAAAGATGTTTCTTCCTCCATTTTGAATTTAAATAATGTTGTTTACCTAGGTTAAAGCAACGCCTGATTGCATCAAACAACGGGACGATAGCCCTCTGATGCAACTTTTAAAAATTACAAACATGGAGGTTGTCTGGTGCGCCTTTTGTTTTCCCTCCGTCTCACGAGCTCTCTTTGCAAGGCGGCTGTCGGCCAGCAGCCCCGCAGCTACAACATGATATGAATAGCACGAAGTGTTTAGTTATTGTGCCGTAATTCGGCTTTTACCGATTGTGTAAATTAGAAGAAACGTGCAAATTAGAACGGAGAAGTTAGGAGTCTGCAAGCCGGAGCAATGTCGGTACTGGCCTACATCCTGTATCCCAAGTCATTCTTGGAGTTCACCGTTAAGACGTTTTATCGTAGCCAGTTTTTCACTCCCTTTAAAATACAAAAAAATAGACACTCCTGGGTTGTATAAGAAATATATTCGTGTGTTTTAATGGCACGGACTCTATGCAGCCATAGACAAGTGTTTGTAATCGCTTGTGTCTGGTGGCTCCGTGCTTCTGCCACCTAGAACATACTTTTTTTTTTAAAGTGACAAAAACATATGGAAATTGGCAAAAATGTCCAAGGAAAGAAATAACTGAAGAGAAAATATTGTAGAAATAATTTGGAAATTCTAATTATGACAAGGATTTAAGATGTAGAACTGTTCAGTGCCGGCTCTTACAAGTAGCAGTGAAATTGATCGGTGTTGTACTGGTGCAGGCGCGCGAGCTACAAAGACCAAAGCTGTCATTTTTTAAACTTTTTTTTTATGTTACCAAGGCTGTTGTTCTGTCCTCCGCTGTTTTTCCTGGGCATCAGTTAACTAGCAAAACTCATTAAAATACCGTAACGGAACCGTTAGGGTAATGGGAGCTGTGCTCAAAAGGTGCTGTCCAGTAAGGTTTCTAGGTCACATTAAATCTCCACCCTCTTAAGAGCAAGGGAAGACTTGGGGATTTTTAATGACCACAGAGAGTCAGGACCTCGGTTTTACGTCTCATCCAAAGGACGGCGCTTGTTTACAGTATAGTGTCCCCGTCACTATACTGGGGCATTAGGACCCACATGGACCGCAGGGTGAGTGCCCCCTACTGGTCCCACTAACATCTCTTCCAGCAGCAACCTTAGTTTTTCCCAGGAGATCTCCCATCCAGGTACTGACCAGGCTCACACCTGCTGAGCTTCAGTGGGTTGCCAATTGTGAGTTGCAGAGTGATATGGCTGCTGGCTTCGCTCCAGATTTCACTGGAATGCAGCAGGCTTTGCCAAATTCTGGTCCTGGGGAACCACACACACAACAGCTGAGGTCTTTACTGAAATGAATCCTCAACTAATCCAACAGGTTGCTTGGTTAGAACCTTTGCAAGGGTTTTTCTCCACTACGAGCCTGGAGATTTTATGTTTTGAAATGCCTAAGAAACACACTGGATCCAGCAGAATCAGTTTTTCCCAGGAGGTCTCCCATCCAGGTAATGGCCAGACTGCTGAGCTTCAGTGGGTTGTGGGGTGATATGGCTGCTTGCTGACATACAAACTCCATTCAAATAGTACCATGGGATTGAACCCAGGGCAGCCCCCACTGCTGCACAGTAGCAATGTTAACCACTGCGGCACCATTCTGCCGTGTTGTTATATCTGTGGGCAAAATCTATTTCTCACAAGTATCTGACTTCACCCCCACTCTCTTCCCGTTTCTGTGATGGGTAATTTAACCTAATGGGTTTCCAGTAACATTAAAGGACATTAACGTAAATTCATTTATATACTACGAAAGTATTAGGCCCACATGTGCTTAATGGAACACTACAAAATAGTATTTCGGAAAAAATAAATTTATGTTCTGCGTTGAAAGGAGAAGAAACAAGACGCAACATTTAAGCTGTGGAGTCTTCTTCAGGTGTGAAGAACGCTCCACAGCCGAAACGTTGCGTCTCTTTCCTTTTCCTTTTCGGTATATAATACATTTTTATCTGTTCCTTTGGAGCCTATGCATGCTGACACACACCTACTCAAAGTAGTATGTAAGCTGGTACATATGAGATACAAACCTAATCAAAACTTCTCTGTTAAAGTGATTTACATGACGTATTTCTACATATATTTGAAATACATAAAGATTATTTTTAATATGGTGATAGTTGGCATTACTAGTGTTACATGGCAGGTCTGTAAAATCTGTTTAGCTATACCCTGTCCTTATAAGTGACGTACCAGTTGCTGAAAATGACTGTTTCAAGCTGCACTCCCTAACAGGCAATCCACTTTGTTAAATATATTGTGGTATTTCATTTTACTGACATTAGGAAATTTGGCACTGGACAGTGATTTATTTTTCTCTGAAACTCTTTTTTCCATTTATGTACTTGGAGAAAATGTCAAAGCGCCTAATGTTGCATACGACACCACAGCCGCAGTTTTGCAATAATAAACCTTTGCTTTACCAGACTATTAGGAGGGGAGGTGTGTCCAGTACCGCCAGCTGTCTGTTAAATTACCAGTGAGATAGCCCAAAAAACTCATTTATGACAAAAATGTGTGTGTGTGTATATATATATACTGTATAAATATCTTCTGTGTCATGTTTCAGTTTAACTGCATCTCGTTGTCTTTCATCTTGCGAATATCTGAAACACTTTGCTTTTTGTCACTATATTCCACCAGCATGTGAGCCTCGGGCATGCTAGATTCTAATTTTTCAATTAACTCTAATTTTTCAGTTATACACAGATTAACTCTTTATTGTTCTCAATACCCCGTGCAAGATGATGAATCGCACACATAAACAGGGAAACAAAGAGTAGTGTCCCTTTTGCAAACAAAACTCACCATTAACACATTTTGTCCATTAAATTTGCAGTTTCTTAAAGCAAGGGTTTACTGTATTGTTAATCCCAGCAAAGGGCCCTTCACATACTGCATACTTTCAAAAACTGTCCCTGTTTGCGTTTGGGCCATACACAAAGGATAAAAGCCTACAGACCGTTCTGTTTAACCATTTCTTAATTCCCTGTTGTATTTGCAGTAGCCTTTGTCAAAAAGTAGATCGAAACAATCAAACATTTTGAATAAATATTTACACAGTAAATGATTTGTTTTCTTTATAATGGCTTTCGATGGATACAATTATTATTGATAGATGTCTGGAATTGTCTAAATCAGTGGTTCTCAATCCTGGTGCTGAAGTACCCTTGTGGCTGGTTTAGACTTTTTATGGATTCAGTTTTGTGGTTTCAAGAATACCATAAAGTACATTATTTCCAACAATTTAATCTCAGAACTTTATGCAATTCTCTCCTCAACTTGCAAATTTTCTCCCTTTTTTCTGAATAAACATCCCTTGGTAGGTACTTAATTGATGACAATCAAACACAAATTGGATACTATATCACACAACTCCTACAATGCGTCTGTGTTTCTCATTCTGCTTAAATGCAATTAGTTATTTTTCAGTGAGCACACCTGAATGAGAGCAGTGGTGAAATTCACTCATCAGCACAGGGTTTGTACAGATTACAAATCTCATCTTTTTAAGAGCTAAAACCCCTGGTCGAAATGACTAATGTTGCTGATCTGGTACCTGACAAGGTGCAACAAAAACAGCTTAAGAGATTTTCCTGACCGGTCACTTCATTAAACATGCTACACAAGTGCCATTCAGAATTTGGGGTACAAAACGAAATTGCCTTTCTTCACCTTTTCCCTCAGCCTGTGTTGTTTTGATTACCTGCTACTGATAATAGGAAACATGGTTTCTGAAAGTATAGATACACCTTACCATTTTTGGAAAGCTACTCACTCTTCAGGGCTCCAATGAAAGTGCCAGATACAAATAAAAGATCACTTTTTTTTGTGTCCGTTTTGACATTGACCGCTTAAGAAGGTGAACTCTTTTTATTTACTAATTTAGAAATCACCCAAATCAAAAAGCTCTCAAGCACCAGAGGTGACATCTCCCCTCTTTTAACTGAATGTATTTGCTGTGTGAACGTATCAGATTTTTATATTAATTCCCATTTCTTTACACATTATAACAGAAAAACTGCAGAAGTTTGACTGTATCAGCTGAGGAATGTGCAATAGCCTTGGTACAGGCTGTGTGGTTTGGGTTTATATGAATATTTAAGTAAGGTGTACTAATAGAGTTTTTGCGCAGGTATTTCCATCCCATGGAGTTAATAACCAAGGGCTTGTAAAAGGACGACAAACAATGGACAGCACAGCGCAGAGAATACAGCTTGTTCCAGCAGAAGGTGGTGTGGCACTGGCTCATCGTATACAGGTAACATTATTATGTATTATGCTTCACACATAATTAAGGTAGCAGCAGTGTGGCATTTCTTTATCTTTTCTATAGTAATGATTTTAATTATTTTCTCCTACATATTCATTACGCACAAACAACTGTAGAAGGCATCATGTAATTTTAAAGTGTATTGATCTGATCCTTGTGTTTAGCTGCTCTGTGCATGAGAATTCCTTTCATTGTCAGTTATGGTGTCAGGTTTTTACGTTCGTGTTAAAAGAAACATTCTGAACTTGGAATGTTTGTCATTGATATGTTTGACTAAATTTGACCAACATTTGTTCGTCCCATATGAAATGTTGCTTTTTTAAAAATTAGTATTCTTTTTTTATTGTTTATTAATTTGCATGTTTTCTTTTTTAATTAATGGAGGTTGTTGGCTGGGAAGCACAATTTCAGAATAAATAATGTCTTTGTTTTGCAGATTGTCACAGACCAGCAGACGGGGCAGAAGATTCAGATCGTCACGGCACTTGACCAGGCCTCCGCAGGGAAGCAGTATATCTTAACGAATGCTGATGGCTCCACACCGGGCAAAGTTATCTTAGCTAGGCAGGAGCACTCTCAAGGAAAAGTCATCTTGGCGACTCCGGATGGGACTGGTGTCAACCAGGTGCTGTTCACTTCACCGGACTTGTCTACACAGCAGATCCAGGTATGATATTCAGTGATCACTCACAGAATATCCATTCATTCTTCCTCTTCTCTCTTTGTATATTACCTGGAGCAGTGGTTCCCAACCCCAGTCCCGATGACTCTCACACCTGTTGCTTTTTGTTTCAGCAGAGCCCTCAGCTACACAAGCAAACCCTTCATTCATTTAATAATAAAATTAATCTGAATTCTTTATTTCCAGCTCTTAAACATATTACAGCTGTAACGGTTGCATTTTGTAAGTGAAATCCAATCCTAAACTTGTGACTAGAAACGCAGATATTAAATATTTAATTGACGCCGACTTCTTAAGTCAAGTAAGACTTCAATTATCTAATTAAGGTGGGATTTTGTGAAAACTAGCAGGCGTGTGGGTCACCAGATTGGGAACCACTGACCTAAAGGGTGACTGAATTAAAAGGTACAAATGTAGCTGTTTTCAAGAACTCTCAATAGTGAGATATGTAATCTGTTTATTGCTCACATAAGGTTTAGAATTTGGATTGTAAATCCGTGAAATTTTGCTTTTGAAATCCATGTTTCTAGACTATTAGCTCTTTGTAGAAAGGTTAAGATGAGGTCTGGCCTAAGCCCTGAAGATGTGTTATAAAAGCTTCTTTTTATATACATGGGCATTGAGGAGAACTTTGCATGACCAATTTTATAGATGCATTTAAGGACAAGAATTTGGAAGCTGAAAGAAACATTCATTTCCTAAGTTTGCAGTGCTTTTAGAGGATTGCACTGCAAGACTGGAGTGGGTATCTGAAGTTGACATTTGCTTGCATTTTAAAATACAGTTTTTTGTCTACTTTTTGCTTTTGTCTACTTTATTTCTCCCTATTCAAGATAAAATAATTAACATAAAAGAGCTGAGCTTGGGGAATCTGTTTTTGTAATGAACAGGCTTCCAATGATTCAAAATTTGTATGTTCTGCTAAACTGTTAAAAAATTAAAGGATCGGGTTTAACCTGTAGAAATTTCAGTGCACCATAACTGTATGTATTGAAACTGTATGGGATGTACAGTACAAAAAAGTATATGGATTCTTAGGCTTCAAAGTTCAGAGATTTTGATAGTTATTACCCTCTTTTTTATCCTCCATGAATGCACATTGTCCTTTTAAAAGTTTTGTGTTTATTAGTGGCACTTGCTGATGTTGTTTTTTGGTTCTAGATTGTGACAGACACCGGGACAGTGGATCAAAGCTCTTCCAAGCCTATAGTTGAATACTGTGTGGTTTGTGGTGACAAGGCCTCAGGTACAGTTTAAAGCTTTAACAGCTTCAGTTACTACCACAGGGATAGAACGTTGCAGTCGTCATCCTTCTTTTATTTACCACCTCTCATCGTACATCACTTCAGAGGGCTTTGGAATAAAACAAGAGAGACACCCATCCACTTTCTAGTGATGGTTTACGGTAGTATTTGATGATTCTGACTGGTTTTCAAGTTTTCCACTGCCTTTGAATAACAAAGCAGAAAGTGTTAACAGTCTTAGTCTGAAAACGATGTGTAGTGTTTTATGCTGATGGCTTTGATTGGCTAGTACTGAAGATGAACTGTTACTATTAGTTTCTGTACTACGTCTCATTTGTTTTTTTGTATTGCGTTGGGCTGATGGCCTGGCTGTTGTGGCTCCCTCCCAGGGCGACACTACGGGGCGGTGAGCTGTGAGGGCTGCAAGGGCTTCTTCAAAAGGAGCATCCGGAAGAACCTGGTGTACACCTGCAGGGGGACCAGGGAGTGCGTCATCAACAAGCACCACCGCAACCGCTGCCAGTACTGCCGCCTGCAGCGCTGCATCGCCTTCGGCATGAAGCAGGACTGTAAGGCCGCCTCTCAGCTCCCTGCTACTTTCACATTCTGCCAGGTTCACGCAGGCAGTTTTACAAGGAAAAGTCAGTCGTTTCAGACCCCTCTAGCTGCAAAAACTAGGAGGAAAGGGGTTGACGAATCACCTTTTGATTATACTTCTTTCTGAGTCTGTTCATTTTATCGTGTTCCCTGCCTTTGTATTTTAAGACACCTACCTAATATAAAAGTGTGTAGATTTTGGAGAATGTTCTGGAAGAAAAGGAAAAGTACATACTATCTTATCTACATAATGATGTCAACCGGGTGTCTCATAAGCTGCCACAATTTAATAGAGCAGCACCCTATTCAAAGACAAGCGAGAGAGCCGGCTGGTCATGTGCCTGTGTGGGAATTTGTTTTGCGGAAGTGACTGCTGTCAGTGTCGTCGTCAGTTAGTCACTAGCCCCCAAACTGGCCTCCTCTGGTACGTAACTGATCTCGTGTTCATGGCAGGTAGAGTGCATTGTAAAATCCGATTGCCTGTCCATAGAGTAGGAAGTAAAACGGAGCTGCCTTTGTAGTCCGTGAAGCAGCCAGGAAACCAATGAATGAGGGTTGCAACCTGAGACAGAGTCTGTTGTGTCACATCACCACCCTGCTAAAAGAACAGGATACGGGTCTTCCCAACTGGCAGCTGTTACAGCACAAAATACCTCTTGAGAAGCTTTGGGAATTTTCTGGAAATTGCTATCCCTGCACTTTCCTCAAGCTGGTGTAGGATTAAATGCTTTGAGGCTTTATGCAATGAGCACACCACTGATCCTGAGAAGGTGGTTTAGGGTCCCGTTTTATTGAATTATGGCAGCTTATGTGACACACAGCTGACATCATTATGTAGTATCTGGTCTTCCAGAATATTCTTCAAAATATACATACTTTTCAATAATACTATTGTAGTTTTTGTTAAACCATTTTTATATACAATCGCTTGTTTTTGATTGATTTTGAATTATGGGGAAAAATGATCGTTAATTAAACTTATTTGCATGAAATGGAATTGTGACTGCGGTATAATGCTGAGTTGCCTCAGACATTCGGATTACAGCCCTTTTCTGTGTGCTGTACCTCTTTACTTCTAGCTGTGCAGTGTGAACGGAAGCCTGTGGAAGTTTCCAGAGAAAAGTCTGTGAACTGCGCTGCCTCCACTGAAAAGATTTACATCAGGAAGAATCTCTGCAGTCCCCTGGCTGCTACACCCACGTTTGTAACAGACAAGGAGACTGCAAGGTACATGGATACTATTTATAAAGTCAGCAAGTTCTTGTTGTGCAGTAGTTTTCTTAAACCTTTGTTTAAATCGGTTTCATTCTTAAAAAAATAGGTCTACAAGTTTGCTGGAGTCCGGAATGCTTCTGAATATTCAACAGCCCTTCACAAAGGCTGACAGCACTGAGATGATGACATCCCCTGATAAGGTATTAGTTCTCCTTTCTCTCCAGCTCCCACTGGTGCAGTTGTTTCCTGATGGGTCTAAAACAGACTCATTGTTGTTCAAATGTTTATTTCTTTCATAAAACATGACAGTTGTCAACATGTAATTAATACATTTTATAAGTGATTAATCTACAAAAGTATAAGTCTTTTTCAAGCTTTTATAAATAATACACAGTAACCTGAAAATACAGTTTCTGAAATTGAGCTAAATTCCATAAAAGAAATGAACATGAAGCCTTAAACGCATTGCAAAACAGATAGTCCTGCTCTGTCCAAAGAAGAGTATCAGTTCCAAAGCATTGAGAAAGCTGGCAACTGTCAAATACAATCCAGAGAATAAGAGTGGAAACTGCATGGAAGTAAATTTAAGACTAAAACCAAGTTGCGCTTTTGATACACAAAGGCCTGTGGGAGCCTGGCTCAAGCCACCAGGCCATGTTGTTCAATCTGATACCCTTTCTTCATTCAAGAAACATCTAAATGGACCAAATGGCCACCTCTGGTTTGTAACCTTTCTTAGGTTCTCATATGTAATTTTTGGCTCCATTACCTACGGGTAGTCTAACAAGCAATTTGTTGTCAGCAGTGCTGAACACTTTGTAGCCTGATATGTTAAGATCCCAGAAACTTAGCAAGGCTGGAACTGGCCAGTACTGGGATTAGAAATAATGGGATAACAAGGATTGCTAAGAATAACAAAGTTGCTCCTGGAAGTGGTATTAGTGGACTGCTAGATGATACTCTTCCCTGTGTTAGAATTTCCAAATCAAAGCCCGGGTTCGCTGACTTGACACACATCTGTAAGGGGTGCCATTGTTTCAATGAGTCGTTAAACCAAGGCCTTGGGGACTTGGTCTTTAAAGATACCTTGGCTCTCTTCAAAAGAGTAGGGGGTTAACTGTTGCTAGTGGCGTGACTAAATTCCATTTTGGTCTCATACATCTGGCCTTAATGAAGTTCCCGGTGAGGTATTTTTTCACTTCAGCACCTGATCTTCCGCATAGTGGGACTAACGGTGTGTAATGGCCACTGTTCTCCAGTGGTGGATGGAGTGGGTGCCTTCTGTTATGGAACCTTCGGCATGAAAGGTGAAATATCAAAGTGTTGAATTATTATTATGATGTATTAATATTTATTGTGCTTTCTTGCAGAGTGACCTGTGTCAAGGCGATTTGAGCACCCTTGCTAATGTGGTGACATCACTTGCCCATCTCAGCAAAACAAAAGAGATGAGTGACAGTAACACAGACCTGTCAGTGATAGAGACACTAAGTAATGGAGATAATTCAATGACTGAAATTCAGACAGAAGAACAATCCAATGATATTACAAGGTTTGTCTTTTTTCTCAATGCAATTATAAAGTAAAATGGGCATGTGTTATTATGGCAGTGAAGAGTTTATCCTCTTATCACTAACTTATTGCAATGCTGAACACTGCACCGCCCTGCCCCCTCAGTAGCATTTCTCACAAAGTGTGAGTAGAACACAGTGGTGGGGAGCTGCATCAGCTTTACATGGCTTTAAAGAAAGAAGCAAAGGGAAGTTCTGCTCTGACCCTCAGGAAGAACCTAATTTCTTCTTTCGACCCTTCAGTGCAGAAGTAGCATTTTCCTGTTTCGTGGTGCATATACATTCCATGCTGCCAAGTGTACCTGAGCTTTGAATGCAGATTTACTCATATGTTCCTTTTTAATGCATGATTATTATTTTTGTTGTTGTAAAGCTTATGCTCTTCATCCTTTTTAGACTTTTTGCAAATGCCGATACCACAACAGTGCGAACCTCTTTGCAGTTGGCTTCACTTTTCTGTAAATTATATTTTTATATCGAAAGCTGTGCCTACAGGTTTACTTGTAAGCTGTTATCCCTGTGTGTACCATTATGTAACTGAAAGTATGACTTTACCTTATTTAAAATATGTATTTGACCTAAAAGGAGGTGTTATTTTCTCCTGGCTACAGAGCATTTGATACACTAGCAAAGGCCCTGAATCCAGGAGATCACCCTCAGGGGGAGCACATAGAGACGAGTATGCACCTAGTGTCAGGAGACCAGTCGGGGAGTGTGGTGGAAATAAATGGCCCTCTCTTATCTGATGTTCACGTGGCTTTTAAGGTAAATGTAGTTGCAGTGATGTCTACAATATTTTTGTGAAACTAATGATTTTGTCAGAATGATGCAAACCGCACGTTTCTGTACCTTTCCCCCTCTAGCTTACCATGCCTTTACCCATGCCGGAGTACCTCAATGTGAATTATATCTGTGAGTCTGCTTCAAGGCTGCTGTTCCTCTCCATGCACTGGGCTCGCTCCATCCCTGCTTTCCAGGCACTGGGGTGAGTCATTCTCCTTTAGAAATGCTCTCATTGACACAAGCTGAATTTTGACATCACTTACGGTACTTCATAGAACTTTCTGAAAATTGCTTAAGTCTCCGAAAAAGCAGGGTCAACATCACCTTCTCTATTTTCAATGATTTTCTCTGTAATCTGAGCTTGATTGAATATTTTCGGAATTCGGATTTTTACACCACAATCTGTAAATAAATAGACTGGTTTAATAGTGTTTCTCACGACTTTTATGATCTTCCTACTTCCTACTACTAATCTTCCTACTGAAGTAAGCAATTCTATGAGAGGAGAAAGGTGATACAGTTATTGCATCTAAAAGTGTTATGTTGATTTCCTGTGAACCAAAAAAAGAATCGATTTAATGTTCCATCTGTTTCTTCCCATGTGCAAATGCAAGTAAATGGCATTTTCCCATTTTGCTCACTAAAGTCAGTCTACTTGTCAGTTAGGAAAAAAGAAAAACACATTTTGCTCCTCTCTGATTACCATTACATTTTTCAAAAACTAAAAATTAAATAACAGCATTTTCTGTGTGTTGTTGTTGTTTTCCACAGACAGGACAGTGACATAAATCTGATGAAGGCTTGCTGGAATGAGCTCTTTGCTCTTGGCCTAGCACAGTGTTCACAGGTGATGAATGTGGCCACAATTTTAACTGCTATTATCAACCATCTCCAGAACAGTTTACAGGAAGGTGAGTGGTTTTGAGTGTGAATCACTTCAAAAGTTTTTTAAACGCATTTTGAGGAAGTTAACAATTCATTAACAATTCACTGTGCAGTGTAAAACATGGTAGCATTTGTAAAGTATGTAGGAGAACGCCAAGGCTGAATATTATGTGCCTGTCCCCTGTCACCTGATGCTTTTACCAGAAAGACTAAAATAAATTCTACCAAATCCAATGTTAGGAAAAGGTTTTATTTATTAATGAGTAGCAAGACAAATGTTGCCCAGTGAAGAAGAAGACAGGTATTTTTTTAATTATTAATAATGTGAGAGAGGGCAAGAGTGGGATGGTGGGGAGGGGCGTCAGGGGAGTGAATTTGGGAAGGTAATTATGCTTTCTAAGCAAATGAAAATGTCTTTGATAACTTGAGCGAGAAAGGGATTCACACTGGTGTTTCAGTGGGAAATGGGAATCGGGCACAGGGTTGCGTACGGTGTTCTTCCTCCATGGCGCATGTCTGTTAAGGCATGGGGCTCCTTGCTGCAATATTGAAAGCTTGTATTACATAAAAGTTCAGGAGACAACAATTGCTCATTGAAACAAAGCCCTATAAAATACAATGCCCAAAGAACCGAGAAACATGAATTCTGCATATTCACGTAGGTGTTTAACTGTGAAGTTTCAAAATGGGAACTGTTTAAGATGCATTTGTTGGCTTATCAGGTATTTATCACATGCTGTGTGAACATGGTGATAATGATATAAAATGATTTCTATGTTTAGAAACATTAACAGTCATTCATCTTGTCTGTTTGCACATGATAAAACATGCTTGTTCTACTCAAGCTTTGTCAGAAGAAAACACCTCTTTAAGGTAGTGCTTTTCAGTCAATCATCATTCATTGATGTTTTTTTTTTTCCATTCTGACTGTGATAAGGTTTTGTAGGCAAAATCCAGTTAGCACAATAGATCTGAGTATTGCTATATTCTCAATCTAAACTTTCAAATTACAAGACACGGGGCTGATACAACTTTGCTGGTAAAAGCTTCTTTTCCTGTTTCTTTGCTTTGTAGTTTCTCACAAACCCCTGTTTCTCTTTGACAGATAAACTCTCACCAGAAAGGGTGAAGATTGTAATGGATCACATCTGGAGAATGCAAGAGTTCTGTAACAGTATGGAAAAACTGTCTCTTGATGCTTATGAATATGCATATTTAAAAGCAATTGTTCTGTTTAGCCCAGGTAAGAGACTTTTGCTATTGTAGAAAATAAGTGTCTTTCTTTCAAAGAACACCAAGAAGTTAAAATTATGCAAACTAAAATCTACCATGATTAGGATATATTCAGTACATATTCTGTGGTGGTAGAGTGTACGTTTTGCAAAGCATCTTGAGACTTGCATTAAGTCAGTACTTCACTTCCAATCTCAAATCCAATTTCAATTTAAAATCTTTATAGTGGTATTATTTATTATAGTAGTTTCCATTGTATAATCAAGTAGCTTCAGGCAAGTATAAATCTAAAGCAATATGAGTTCCATACATTGGAACTTATAGGGATCTATAGGGCTGTATACATGCTATTATTATTATTATTATTATTATTATTATTATTATTATTATTATTATTATTTTGTTGTTATTAATGATGATAATAATATTAATTAGGCTGACATTCTGTTCAGTTTTTCATTAATATTTTTTCCTCTTATAAGTTCACCTAACGTATCCCATTCATTTGTTTTTGGTAGATCATCCTGGTATAGACAATATATTACAGATTGAAAGGTTCCAGGAAAAAGCCTATATGGAACTGCAGGACTATGTCGCACAAACATACCCAGAAGACACTTACAGGTGAGTCATTTTAGCATTGGTGCCTGTTATTAAGAATAAAAAAAGAAGAAACAAAACTACATTTTAAAAAGTACTGTATTCATTACTATTACCATTTGAATGATCTGTTCATGTACAAAAACGTTTTGCTTTGAACTTTTTAGTAAACGGTCCATACTTTTGTCAACTGAGAATTCATGATAAAATACCTTTATTCAGATCTGCTGAGGATAAACACAGTTTGATCTCTCAGCACAAAGCAACACCCCAAACTGAAACCTGTCTTTAAACATTGATGGTAAAGCTATAAATAAGGGTGTGAATTTTCTCTGAGGTATTGTTGTACTTCTGTTTGAAGAAAGAAACATTTCACTGTTTTGTGAAGGAAATTCTAGTATTGCAGTATAGTAAAAAAAAGAGCCTATTTTACTATTTGTTTGGTATAGTGTTCTGAGTCCCTGAGTTTCTATTTTTATTTTCTTTCACCAAGTAGATAAAACATTCTGGCATTCTGGTCATATTCTCAAACATTATTCAGATTGATGATTTCACTGACGGTACCCAGGTCTTTTTCTGTAAGAATAACGGCCCAGTTCGCACCAGGGTCCCGTGAGTGAGCGCAGAGCTGGTGGAGCAGCTCCAGGGCAGGGTGTTTATCAGTTGGCCAGGCTCTGCCTGTGCTTTTGGATAAATGGCAGCTCCGGCAACCGCTAGGGTGTGTGCAAGCGTGATGATGATGTCGGCGAGAGCGGTGCCCTTCCTGCAGCCTGTCCTGTCTATCCTATTAGGTACCGAAGAGCTAGCAGTGCCTGTAACATGGAATAACTCTTGACAGGTGGCGTGTCTGCAGGCCCATGTTGTCCTCATGCTGCAGAGATCCATTCTTAATTCCATATTGTGTAATAAAATAATAAAAAATGTTGATCCCAAATCTAAATAAATAGGGAAATGGAATTTGCCAGCTCTGCTACCAAAAATCGTCACGTTAGGCTTTTTAGATTTAATTATTACTCCCAATTGTATTCTACAATTACAGGTAGAGAGAGGATATAAGAAATACAGCCAGTATACACAGTAGAGAGACACCCGTGGTACACATGGAACGTAGCCTCAAGATAGAATGGAGGTGGAGGCTGCTCTTTGTACAAATGTACACCGTTAAGTGTAATTAATATCATTAATGTGCTGCTTGTAATGAGCAATGTTTTTCTGCAGGCTATCAAAGCTGCTCCTGAAGCTGCCAGCACTGAGACTGATGAGTGCAGCAATCACCGAAGAGCTGTTCTTTGCTGGCCTCATCGGCAACGTGCAGATTGACAGCATCATCCCCTACATTCTGAAAATGGAGTCCACCGACTACAACAACCAGATTATCACCTCTATAGAGTAAACTGAGCTTGACGAAAAGGCAAAGGCCCTTCATTTTTACAAAAATATACAAATTGTGGGGATACAACTTCTCAGAGATATCAGCAGATTAAGATTTAACAATTCATATTGGCCTGAATTTTACTTTCAAATGTTTGATTGCCAGTAGCCTGGAGTGTGTTTTTTTTTTTTGTGCAGGTGCATTTTGTATGTGAATAAGTAGAAAGTGTATCGCTGTACGAAGAATATTCTGTTACATTTAAGGTGGTCTCCTTTCTCATTAGTTGGATGTTGGATTTCTTTGTCGAGATTTCATTTTTGGATTCTTGTATGCTTGTTTGAGTTTGAGAAATTGTACAGATTACAACCTTATTTCTAAAATCTTTATCCCATCTAAAGGAAATTAGTGCTTAAACTGTAGCTTGCTCTGGACATGACCTGAATGTGGTGCTTTATGTGTGTATATATATAAATATGTATATTAAAAATCAGGGACCATTACTTGTAACCTCCCATTATCTCTGGAAATATATTAATGTACTTAAAAATATTAAATTGATTAAAGGTATTTTCAGACGGTATCGCAAATGCACTTTAAAATCAGTTGCTCTTTTTATAGTGGTATTAATGGGTAGGCAACATATTTTCCATTATGTTTAATGATCATCTGTACATTATACTGCCTTGTACATCTTTTTAAATTAACAGCTATTTCCACTCAAAGACACTGTATTACACAAGTAAAATGAGTTGTTACTCTTCTAGCACAAGTAGGTATTGGGCAGAAAATGTGTTTTTATTACTCCAGGAAAGACGAGTCAATTATGGAAAAAGGTGTTATTATTTTAAAATGTATTTTGTAACTGATTACAAAAGGTTTTGTCCAGAACTGTTTTTGCACAAGTTGCTGCAGTTCATGTTGGAATGCTTGCTGAGCAGCTCAGCGATGCCTTTTAAAGGAAGCATTTTCTTTAACGCTTCTTACTGTGTGTTAAGTTATATTGTAGAGCATCCCCACGGACCGACACCCTTTCCATTTTTAAACTCAACATTTTTATTGAAATGTGATAGCAGTTTGTGTAGTTTTATTTTTCTTAAAGTGTCCTGCTGCATTGCGCTGCAGTGAAATGACTTATCAGGGCTCTGTTAAAAAACTGAGTTTTATCCAGTACCCTGCAATTTGGAAACCTGGCCTAGGTTCTGTGTTTTAGAAAGAGGTGTGCTGTGGTTTTCTGAAGTACTGCATTGCGCCTGCCTATCCTTCCCTTTTGGGATCTAGAAGGCCGGTGGACACCAGGATATATGATAAAAAGTCTCTCCCTAAGCCCAGTGAGGCCAAATGATGCAAGATGTGTGCCATGTTAATGTTTCAGATCTAGCAGAAAAAAGCCAGTTCATCTGCTGTAATAAACATAGTAAATGTTAACTGTATCTTGAAAATTATACTAGAACAATGAGAAAGTTGGAAAAATACTTGTGTAACCATTGTAAGAAATATAATTTTTTTCACAAGTTTCAAAAGATTTGCATTTAAATACACATTTTTGTTTTCCTGGAAGAAAACGTCGAATGGAATAGAGTTTGGTTAATAGTGGAGTATTCGGTCAGTCTAATGCTTTGGGGGGTTCTGTGTTTATTAAGGATTTCTGACATTGTTAACTGTATTAAAGTAGGTGATTCATGTTTTTTTTTCCTTGCATTGTTTTTGTTTATTGTAAAAAGGATAATGTAAACGTTCAATTTCAATTAGATATGTAAATGGCATTTTCTTTTGATTTTTAAAAATATAACATCATCTTTTTTTTCTTATCTGTACTGTAGGCTACATTATTGAAATTATTTTATTTTAGTTTTGTAACCTTAATTTGTCATGTATAACAAAGTCACATTTCGTTCTCATTAAAAAATAGAGGTTATAAGATAAAGTTGGTTTCCAATACTGTATTAAAAATAAATATGCAGGTTGTACTTTGTGGAATGTGTTGAGTATAAAGACCATTAATGATACAATTAGACATTAAATAAGATTTATTTTTCACTGCACCAGCCTTTTCTGAAATCAGCCAATGGCAATTTTGTAAGGGGTATTTGGAAATGACTTTATTAAATGTTTTATTTAAAGTGTATTCCAGTGGTGTTTCTGGCAAAGGTCTGCTATTGAAGAGTAGAGTTAAATTAAGGTTTAAATTAATTCACTAACAAAAAGCTGTAACTTGGTACTTTACTTAGCTTTACATAAACATGAATTTTCCTTTGCCTTCACAAATTCTTTTGAAAATTCTCTTTGCCTACAGGACATACTCATTAGGGTTAACAAACACATTGAACAGAAGAAACATTTAAAAAAGCATATATTAAAAATAACAAAAATGAATTTGATGAATTACAAGAGTTTGGGTTTTACATACATAAAGGCAAAATATTCTGTGACATTTAAAGATTAGCTTCAGAAATGTTGGAATGGAAAAAGATTATCTAAAATCAGTTTAATCAAAATATCAAATGCAGTGTTGTTTTAGTCTGCAAATGGGCTTGTAAATATTTTCACCTCCTATCACTAACATCAAGTTTTGATCAATTACAAATAATGCATTTTGTTTATCAAAGGAACGTTTTATTCAAAACTGCAAAGATTGAACTGAAAACTGTTATATGTAAAGGAGGTTGAATGTCAGTAAAACCAGTAAAGAAAAGTTGACGGTTTACTTATTTACCTAAGTACTCAGCCTCTTACATCAGTGGAAGAACTTGGTGGAAACACTTTTGGCAGCAATCACTGCTGAGTGTTTAGGCAGGTCTCTATTGGCTTTATACAGTGGGGTGGTGTAATGCTTTTCCATTCAGCCTGGCAAAATTGCCATTTTTTACAAGCTCATTGGGGATCATTGATGAACTACATTCTTCAAGTCTCACCATAAAGCTTGTATCGGACTCAAGTCAGCATTTTGACTAGGCCACTCAAAGCCATTCACTCTTTTTGTCAAATTATTCCAGTGTGGCTTTGGCCTTGTACCATGGGTTATCACCCCTTTGAAATGTGAATTTTCAGTGCAGTTTTAGATTCCTGGTTGATTCAAGAAGGATTATTTCCCAGAGGATTCCTCTGTGGTGTGCTCCACCTATTTTCCTCTCTGTACTGACAAGTTTCAAATTTGTTAATCATGAATCAGAAGCATCCCAGAACCATGATGCTGCCGCAATGCTTGACAGTTGTCAGCAGCCGGAAGTTGCTTTGCATTTAGAGTAAAAAAAAAGTCTGTCGCAAGCCCAACAAAGCACACCACTCATTCAAGCTATTTTTCAGTTTACGCTCTTTTCTCGCCATTAACCCACACAGACCCACTTTTTATAGCAACATAGCAACGATTTTTTTTATTGTCCCTCTTTGTTGGCATAGTATCATAACGACTACATATACACGTATTCGACATTCTGCTAGGAACCATTGTTTCGAGCACCCTAGTTTTCCTGCGGATGTTTTTACAGAGAACAACGTTCCTACCGTGTCACGGCTAATTCCGTCTGAACATGGCGGAGTACTTGCAGGTTGTTCGGAGGGCTGTGGGACAGTTGCGAGGTCATGGGGGTGTTCGCGGTGCTATTTTGCAATTACTCAGGTTAAATATCTTTATGATGCATTTTCTTACGGCTAAATAAGAAAATTAAGTTCTAAGATTGCAATAATAATAATCTAATAACCTTATAATTGACCTTTTCTACGGCTTGAGATGTTGTTGCTATGTAGCTATAAAACCAATATTGATGTATTTCTTGATATTTAATAACACCATTCCTAGGAAACCGAGAAATGCCAATTTTGCCACACAATTGTGTCTTTTAGGTGGTGTTGGTGGACGCGATGGATTGATTCACTTGTCGGTTTCATGAACAACATAGCTATAACTTGTTCTGAGAAGCGTTCCAATTAAAACTGTATACAAGCTATTAGCCGAGACCAATGTGAATACTAACCGTTTACGAATAAAAAAAAAACAAATTTGTCAACCTAGTTAGGGTTAATGAATTCTGGGGGATTTTGAAGCTTTTTTTTATATTGCCTGGAGCTAATGCATTAAATTGTAGTGTTATGCTTTACAGAGTAAACGATATGAAGACTGGAACTCTTGTTGGAGTAGACAAATATGGGAACAAGTACTATGAAGACAATCGGTACTTCTTTGGTAAGCCCAGAACTGTGCAGCTTTTTGTCTAACCTACTCACAGACATGCCTTGTCAGTAAAATAAGAAGAAATGTTTAGTCTGTAAAGAAAAAATAGTGAGAGAGGAAATATTTTTAAATAAAAATCTATGAAATAAGAAAAGGCTTGGCTGGACAAGTTGCATTTGCAGGTTATGTGGATTCCTGAAGCTTCAGGATGCATGTACAGTAGATGTATAATGTTCCGCATGGTTAGTTAGAATTGCTGCCTGGCCTCAATTCTGGACCTCACATCCTATCTGCATGGAGCTTGTTTCCCCCATGTTCACATGGGTTTCCTCTGACTGCCCTGGTTCCCTCCCACAGTCCAAAGACATACTGGTAGGTTAATTGGCTTCTGGGAAAATTGCCCCTGTTGTGTGTGGCTGTGTGTGCCCTGAAGTGGACTGGTGTCCCGTCCAGGGTGTATCGTGCCTTGCACCCATTGCTTACCAGGATAGGCTCAGGCTCCCCTGTGGCCCTGTACTGGATGAAGCGGTTAGAAAATGGATGGATGGGATGCTTCCTTCTTTTGGGTGGGGGTCTGTATTTGAGAACTATTCTTTTAATTTCTAACTAAAACAAGGACCAAATCTTGTTCAGGTGACAGCTGGAGGATGAGCAGAGAGCATCTCTCTTTAGGAAGAACCTGTACTATGCTCCTTATTTCCTATTCTGTCCATTAAATGTGTATTGCTCCAATTGAAAATAAAAGTCTTTACTGTAACCCAACAAGGTGTGGGTTTCAATCCTCACAAGCACATCAGCTGTAAGCTGGAATCTCCTATTATGTGAAGGTAGGGGTATTTCTTTTATTCTTTTTTCTGTGATTTAGGTCGCCACAGATGGGTGATTTACACTGAAGAAATGAACGGGAAAAAAACTCTCTGGGACGTAGATGGTAGCATGGTCCCCCCTGAATGGTAATTTAGCAAACAAGACTCTCTTTTCAGTGTGTTTTAGACTGGTGTTTAAATATGAAGGGGGTTTAAGATCCATTTTGTTTGCTTTATCAAATTGTTGACGGCTGTATCCAATCACACAAAAGGCCATGGTACACTACAATTCAACACTTATCTTTCGGCATTCAAAAAGTCTTTCAGTGAATTACATTGCACAGTCCTTGCCCCTCAGTATATCAATTTGTTGGTCTATTTTGATCTTTTGAGGATAACAAAAATCACAATGTAATTATCTCTGTGAGGCCTGGAGTCATTCATCAACCTTTTTTATATTTCCTAATCTGTTGATTGAGAAATGCTTTTAAATCAAGCGCTAGTCAAAAAAAGCCATCTTTAGACTTCTGTTGGGAGCATGTAGGTGGAGAGGTGAGAGAGCCCGATTTTGGGAACGTCCTGTTCCATGATGATAATAATAATAAAAAAAAACTTTATTTTATATAACGCCTTTAAAGGTGGCTTCTTAAAGCGCTTTACAGAATGACAACAACAATAACTAAAAAGAATACACAAGATAAAACACAATTACAATATACAGAGGAGACCGTGGATGGTGGTACTAAGAAAAGCAGAGGGGTGAAGAATGGAACAAGTTAAGTAAAGGCTCTTCTAAAGAAAGGTTTTGAGTCTGAATTTGAAGGAGTTTAGAGAAGGTGACTCTCTGATATCCTTTGGCAAAGAGTTCCAGAGCTTGGGGGCATAACAGGAGTAGGCCCTGTCACCCATACAATGTAGGCGGGCTTGGAGGGCAGATATAGGAGAGCAGAATTAGAAGAGCGAAGGTTGTGAGGTGGGGAGTAGGGCAATAATAGTCCAGACAGGTACTGAGGTGCCAAGGTGCCAAGCCATGCAGAGCCTTGTGGGTGAGCATGAGGATTTTAAAGTCCACACGGAATTTGACAGGAAGCCAGTGCAAGGACTCCAGGATGGGAGTAATGTGATCATTTGCACTAAACCTGGTCAGGATTCTGGCTGCTGAATTTTGGACATACTGCAGTTTGTTCAAAGTAGATTTAGATACTCCAGCAAGTAGAGCATTACAGTAGTCAATTCGAGAGAACACAAATGTGTTGATCAGTTTTTAAGCCACAGTTAGTGATGGTATAGGGCACAGTCTAGCGATATTTCTGAGGTGAAAAAAATGATGATGATGTGAGACACAGACGGTCTGTACCACACGGGGGAGCTCTTTACTTTATTCATACCCACGAATACAGCAAACTCAGGTTTCCTCCTTGTCATTTTCCTTTCTACAGGCATCGCTGGCTGCACTCCATCTCTGACGAGCCACCAACAACGCACCCTCCAGTCCCCCGCAAGTTTATCTGGGAGAACCACAAGTTTAATGTGAGTGGCACACCAGCTCAATATGTACCTTACTCCACCACCCGCAAGAAGATTCACGAGTGGGTCCCTCCACAGGTATCCAGCAGGGGTGAAACTGTATAGCTGGAACAAGGAACTCTTATTTCCAAATGTCCTCGCTGATACTCTGTTCTTCGCAATAAGTGTGATGTCTCATAACAATAATAAAGTTACAATGAAGCTGTGTGACTGATTCTTCTAGTTACTCTTCTGAAAAACATTTTGGGAGACCCCTTGCAAGTAACTTATGAGATATATTAGTAGTAATTTAAGAAAGATTTTCAGTGCCGTTTCTTGCACATTATATTCAGGGTCTTTCCAGGGAAAAACACCTAAATTCCATATAAATTTAAAATAGTGATTAGATCCCTAAATAAAGGCAAAGTTCAGTTGGAGCAGCGTTTAAGGATAACTTTCAAATATTATGTAATATACTGATTTTCCTACAAACAAAAGTTCTCTCAGTTCCTGTAGTTGTTCACATTCAAAATATGTAGTCATATTGAAACAAACGTGTCCTTTCATTACTGTGATAATGTTACACAGTACTAAATTCTGCTAAATAATCAACTGAAATTTTCTTACCAGTATAATGTTTTGCCTGAATGTGTTTAAAATTTGAGTGTGGAATGTTTTTGTTTGAATTCAGCCCATGTTTTTATTAGAAAAGATGGAATTTTGTATAATTATGAAATACATTTGCTTTATTAAATTTTTGACAGTTGTGTCCAATCACAGAGTTCAACACTTATCTTTCGGCATTCAAAAAGTCTTTCAGTGAATTACATTGCACAGTCCTTGCCCTCCAGCAGATCAATTTGTCATTCGTTACAGACAAAAAGAGCATTTCCAAACTCATGTTGTACAGAAAACAACTAGGACTGCAAGGAACCAGGATTTCAAAGAATTGAAAGGCACAATTTTGATTGAAGGTCATTGTACTGTCATGATGCGTAAGGTGTGATCACGAGCGAGCGTTTCTTAATTTAGCATATTTATGTTAAAAATATCTATCTTTTACTGCTGAATGAGCTGATGCATTTTAGCAACAGGTATGACCTCTTTCAGCAAGAAAGGGTTTTAATAGAGAAATGTTCCCTGCTCCACTGAAAACCAATGTGGTGCTGTTCTTCTCTGTAGAGAGTCAAATGTGTATAACGATTTGTACCTTATAACAGAATAGGAAACTCAGACGTGTGGCGTTAGGGCTGTCTGGTATTTTTAATATGTGAAAAGCAGTTTGCAGAGCTTATCTTCTTACTCTTGAGCTTTTTAAGGATGAAAGACATTATTCTGCTTTAGGTATGTATTCTGGGTTTGTTTTGATGTTTCAACAGAAAAAAAAAACACTGACCCTTTCCAATACAGCCATTAGTTTTGCCAACCAGTTTTTGGAACAAACTCTGTCATGCATCTCCTACTTGCATCCTAGCACTCTATTGATGTGGTTTGGACTGTAATACATTTTCCCTCTCCTCTATTACCAGCTCAATAAAATACAGTGCCTCTGGGACCCTTATTTCACTGCACAATGTAAAAGGCCATTTGGTGTTTTTAGCGTCATACAGCATTGTATTGAATTAAGAGGTGCTTTGTTTAAAAATGAAAATAGCCTTGGAATCTGCAAAGATCTATGATGCCCTGTATGAGATAAATTGTTATGGCTCTATTCCCTGGGTGTCAGTCTTAAGCCCTGAACTGAGGTGACTCTTATTTGTTTACTGTAGTAGCAAGTAGCATGTGTGGAGCTTCACCCTGTGGGTTGACAATTTGCACTGTGTGAAGTGCTCGCGAATCTTCACAGGTTAGAGAGAATGTTTAGTTTTCATTTATATAGAAATGATTGTGTGATGGGGGAGGGGAGTGTAGTTTTTTTTATAAAAGCATGAGTTGGTTGTATTCTGAGATGAGAATTAAAAAGAATTTTAAGTCATGGAATGACTTTTTCAATCGCTTTACTGTGTCTGCAGTGCTGCATAACATTTATTCATTGGGCATTGTATTTTTCTGTTCCATGTTTCCTGCACGGTTATGTTTCATATGTTTGAAGAAGCATATTTGTGCTGGTGACATATTATGTTCATTGATGTGTTTGGTGATACCAAATTATGCCAAAGGAAGAGCTATAAACCTCAGCAATGTACTTCAAATAGATTCCCAAATTACTAAAAGGTGTGGCAATCTGGATATCTTGGGGAGAACACAGGTGAGACTGTCTCCTGTTACTTTTATAGCAGTATCCTCAAAAGAGAGAAGTTAATTATATTTTCCATCAGCCAAGTTTAATTGACCAGTGCATGAACTTGTCCTGTTCTGCCATTGCAAGTAATGTTCGTAATTGCTTTAGAAAAGCAGTGCATCTTGTGTTCAGTAAGGCCAGATTAGTTGCAGCTAATTTTTGTGTATGCTATGTATAACACATTATTGTTATGTATGATAATTGTGTATGTGTGACATATACTGTACCGCACTATGAACAGTAATGAAATGTTGAATACAGTCAGCCCTTGACCTTCAGTGAACTTGTTTTAGTGAACTAAACCCTTTCATGCCAAATAAAGTCTGTGAAGAGGAAATTGATTTATTGGTGTCAGCCAGTAGATCAATGTATGGGAAAGGTCATGTTTATGTCACAGGTAAGCATTGACCATCTTTTTTGACTAAGGTTTCTAAATCTCATAAGAGTTCCATACGCAGAAATGTGTGTGGAATTAGAGATAAAGAATTTTTAATAAACACAAAATCTATACTGGATGTACTGGGTATGTTAAGGGGCATATCGGAGCTGTCCCTGTGTGCTTGTGTGTCTGTGGCAATGGATTAGTGTTAGGTCTAAGGTCTAGTCCCATCTTACACTATGTACATCTGGGATAGGCTCCAGGATGCTGGATCTTTGAATAAATGCATGTACTTGGGTAGGATCAAAATAAATGTATCTTCCGAGCCACCGAATATTTTATGATGGGTGCCTGCTTTATGACCGCTTTCATGGTTTAAACAGAAATAATGAAATTGCTGAGGAGTGATTTGGCAGATGCAACCATACATACACATTATGTTGCAGCAAAACATGAAACTAGAAGTTTTATACTGTAGATTATTTCAATATTCCCTTAGCACTATCCCAAAACACTTCAATAAGTGCATTGAATAAAGGGTTTAAATATTTAGGGACTTCATATTTACTGAAATGTACTGTTCATATGTGAAATATACACGTGAATTTATTGTAAGGGTGAGCAAATTAACAAAAAATGTAACGTTTCTACCTTTATAATGATCCGTCCCCACTGTGCTCCTGTTTTAGAGGATTGGTCTGTTCAGAGCACTGGGATGCATATCTGAAATAAGAGACAAATGCTTTAATTCAGACTATACCTGGAGTCAGTTACAAAATATTGAGAGTGGAGGGTGGTAAACAAAATTATTTTAAAAGGACAAGTCCTAAGTCTTCTAATGAGTCTCCAAAAAACATTTTGTTTTAATTTGGAGAGTCCGAGTTAAAACTGTATAGATGTGAAATTCGAAAACATCTTCAGATGCATGCACACGTCCTCTGTAGCCAGCCCTGAAGGATATGACTATTCGTAAATGTAATTAGCTTACAGAGTTGTATCCTGTTTGTTCGATGTACAGCATTGACAGTGTTCGTTTCATGGTTGGCCAACTTGTACAAACAGAATAAGAAAAGCTTTCTGCTTAGCAGAGCAATCAATAATCCGTTATCTGCAAATGAGAGAAACAAATGGAAAACATTTTGTTTTAGAGGTGATTGGGAGTTCTCTGTATTTTCTTTGCAAAAGGCATGTGTCAATGCAGTAGAGTAAACTAGAGTGTAGGATGACAGTTAGCTCTCAAAACATCTAATGTGCTAGCCGGAAATCTAATACAGCATGTTTCCTGTCGTATCCTTCAAGCTGTTTTATAACCTTCCACCACCTTGCCATCCTAGTGGTTTCTTGGCAAACACCTTACAGGGATCTTCATGATCAGCCTGCTTGTGATAAGCTTGCTCTCCCCCTTCTACTGTTGAAGGCCTACAAAATGAATCCAAGGAATATGTGCATATAAAATGGGTTACAGTTAAATAGTAGGGTGTTGTCTTGATGTCTTGTGCTTCAGTAAATCGGCAATATCTCGGAATACACATTAAACAGTTTCAGAGGCCTTCTCAGAGTCTCATTATGGCTGATGTTCCTTCATTGTGGACAGTCTTTTTTCAGTAGATATTGGTCTTAAAAAACACATCCAGATAGCCATGTCAGTTTAAGTCAGTGTGTCTTGCAAAACATTGGAGCTACGCAAGTTTCACTTGCTTGTTGAAAAAATATTGTAACGCATACGGCCGACATTACAAGTTGTGCGAGCCGGCTTACTAGCGCGGTGACGTCACCGCCCTTCCCTGTGAATAGCAGGGACCTCAGCTGCCAGGCTGAAGGAAGATCTCCCTTTAGCTCAGCTGGCTAGTTCCCTGTTGAGTGATGCCGGAGGCCTGGGTTTGAGTCCCCAGTGGTGGGTTGCCAACCTGAGGCGGCAGCGGCGAGGGTGCATACCCACGTGATCCTGAAAGTGCTACAGTATGTACTAGAATTTCTAACCTGTAAGAGTGCTGTTTAAAGGACATACAGATGTATGTCCTGGCACTGCAGGAACAGATTGTTTTGTCTTCGTGTTATCAATGATTTTACTATGGCGTGCTTATGAAATATTTGTTTCTTTGCTTTCTGACTTTTTGTAATACATTAACAATTGTGCACAGCTCTGTGGAATTGTATACTTCAGCAGTATTAAATGTTTTTTGGAAAGTTACATAAGTGTTGTGAAGCTTACCAAAACATTCTAATAACTGCTGAAGTTTGTAACTCCACAGAATGTAATACATATTATTTTTCAATTTTAGAATTTACTGTGTAACTCACTGTGTGATCGGTCATCTTTTACATAAAGATGTCACTAAATTAAATTGCCAGTTATCTTACCTCAGCTCCCAGCCATGCTGCTTCTATCCACGTGGAGAGAATGAGGAAGCACAAACCAACCTGCCCTTTGGACCTTCATGCTTTCTAATGCATACAAGCTCTGTAGTGAGGCTCAGGAGGGACCAATCTAATTGGAGGAGGAGTGTGACATCTCAGTGACATCACCATCGTGAGTCTGCCGGTACCTGCAGGAAAGTTACAGGGGCC